ACCGACATGTTATCGACACTTGAGAAAAAAATGGTAATGATCCGTGCTAAATGTAAAGAGCCATAAATATTAAAAGGAGGCGAATATTTAGCCCTGTTTTGTAAAGAAAAAACGCTAATTATTCGCCTACCTTTAATTTTTATGACTTTTTACATTTAGCACGGATCAGAACCATTTTTTTCTCAAGTATCGGTAACATGTCGGTAACAGGAATCTGTTAGAACGGATCAAAGGCATTTTTTCTCAAGTGTCGGTAACATGTCGGTAACAGGAATCTGTTAAAAAGCTCCCTGTACATCTACTAATATTTATTACACCAAATAATTAAAAAATAGTTGAAAAATACAAGTTATAATTAGCTTGGAGACAGAAAAAGTTTGTTTTTTTTTTTTATAAAAAACCATTTCTTGTTTAATGAAGCGAATTTCACGCATATCATCGCATGAATTGCGAGATCTATTTTCACCCTAGTCATTGCGGATCATTTATATGTATTCCAAAGCCATATGTAAGTCCTGGATTATTTTCCGGATTTACATGTCAACGTTCATAGAAATATTGCAATATGAAAAGCGCGTTATGAATTTATGTGTCAAATATTATATATATATAAAAAAAAATTCGCATCGTGCGAATTCGTTCACTAATCAAAATCCAGTTCATCGAATATCAATAAAATATAGTGAATAGAGGAATCAGATAATATATAGAAATATTATAATAGTAATGAATATATACATGAATTTTTTTTTTTTTTTTTGCTTTTTATTTGCTATAAGGGCAAATCGATGATGATAAGACACGCACGTGTGTGTAAGAAAATAGAAAAGTAGTAAATGATTTTCTATTGGAGTCAAACCCCTCGGCAATATCAAATTTAATAGCCCCCTTTCGATTATATCGCAAAGGGCCTTTCTTATTTCGTCCTTCCTTCCTTCGTGATAAAAATCCTACACGTTTTCCTCCTTCATTCTCTCTTCACTCTATTGCAATCACTGCGCACGAATGACACTGCGAAACGATTCAATTCCCAAAAATTAGTTTCGTTGCGCGCGCCCACACGAGGATAAATAATTGTTCCTCTTGAGAAAAGATCTTTCAACCCCAATTGACAATTATTACTTCATTTCACCCCAACTAATTAAATGTTCTATATTATTTATTTCGTTTATTCATTTCTTTTTTATATTTTTATTTAAATGTACAATTTATTTTTTTTAAATTTTTTCCCATTATTTTTATTTTCTATTTTTGTATTTAAATATTATTTATTTCATTTTTATATATTATTTCTTTTTTTAAGTTTTAAAATTTTTTATAGAAATAAAATGTTGAAAAGTGTAAAATATTTAATCTAGAAATATTTCCCGTACTTTCGCAATATACATATATATACAATTTGTAGAAACTATTTTCCAATATTGAAAATATATTCTCCCTTGTTAAAAATCTTTTTCCATTCGGCGAAGAATATTTCTTGGTGGAAAATATTTTCACTTAACGGAGTTTATTCAATAAAGCGCGAATTTAAAGAGGAAGTATTTACAAATGCACTTTCAAAGAGAGGAAGGAAGCTGGCTCTAGAATTTATTAAATCAATGAAATTCGTTCGCCATATGGGCATATATGAGAATTATTATTTGCAATAATTCAACAATTTATATCACTTCCGTAATATTATAACTTTAAAAAAATTTACTATTTTTGAAAAGGAAACTCTAAATTTGAATTAATGAAAAATTATTAATTTTTTCAGTATAAATGAAGATGAAAAATCCGTTTTCGAAAATAAATAAAAATCTTATTAAATCAGTGAATTATTTTTCTTCGCAATGATAAAAATTACCAAGAAGATAAAACAAAAATTCAAAATGGTCAGTAAAATTTAGGAACACAATTTATTCAGTGGGCATGACAATATTATAACATAAAAGCGATTTGGTTTTGGAGTATCTATATATATATAAGGGCCGAAAATTCTCATAGACATGTTGTTTCCGGTTTACCGCGTCGTGCAAGGATGCGTAAAGCTAAGCGAGAGGAGGCTCAACTTCACTTCGAAATCTTCCGAGGTGAAACTTCCCTAATTGGTGTAGAGTTCATCGAAGCGAGGTCCTACGGGGTCGATTAGTTGACTTTGCTCGAAACCATCTCATATTTGCTGCAATTTCGATAAATTCTCGCTAGTAAAATTCTCATCCCTTGTTAACTTCATTACAGGACTTATTCCCTCTTTCCTATATAATAATGATTCCCCCTTTTTTCATCTCTCTCACTCTCTCTCTCTCTATTTCAATAACTTGATTTTCTCTTTCAATTCAAATTAGCACCAGTTTTCACTAATTGAAATTAGTGGCCAATTTTCACCCCTCAAAATTTTAGATAATTTTTTATAAATTAAGCAAAAGAAAGAAAATTAAAATTTCTTGATTTTTTCCGCTGAACACCGTGAATAAAAAAAATAAAATATAAAAAAAGACTTTTTGCTGTAAATTTTTCAAAAAAACGAACATGAAAAGTAGACGTATAAATTGCCCCCTCTAAAAAAAAAAGTAGAGTAAACGTGAATCGCCATAAACGTAGATCTTGTTTCTTCACATATAAAGAATGACTCGTATGACGACTTACTCGTTAGTATAGTTTACCATAAACTTTCACGCTTCGTTAAATCTCCCATTTCAAGACATATATCTATATATATAAACCATGGTCATTCTTCCCACGATATACGGAACTTCAATGATGTTTTTTTTCTCTCTCTCCAGTAATTGTTACGCATACTAAAACGCGAGTATTATCGCTTCTAAACTCACGTGAGAGCGTGAGAGGTTTTACGTTTCCTTTTATTCACGCAATAGTTAGGTCACAATATTTTTGCATTTTTTTTTTTTTTTGCGCATTGCGACAATTAATTAAGCTCAATTCTTCATTTCCTGCTTTTTATCGTTGGGGATAAAATAATGTAAACATATATAGGGTTCGCAAAAATTCTCTGACGCACATTTTTCACTATAATATAGTCGCCAATCGTCTTTAGTCGTGACGCATCATGATCGCATCATGAACGTCGCCGAAGCGTCTATTTGCATCTCTTTCCTTTGCATTTACGTGCTGAGGGCACCAACGTCTCAGCGACTCAGTAAGAAATTCAAAGTAGTGTCGTGCTTGACGTTTTTTTTTTTTTTCTCTTTTTTTTATCTCTCTCCTTCGATCTGAATAAATCTCAATATCCTATATATATAAGCAGATATCAAGCTGGGTGTGAACCAAAGATTTCTCAATTTTCGTGATCTTTCTCTTTTTCTAGGTACATATTTTATTCTCACAATGCGGAAATGATTTTTGAGAAACTAAATTTACGTGCAAGAAGTTAGTATCTTGTTTTATTATTTTTTTTATAATTTGTGCTGCAAAAATTTCGTTTGAAAAAATAATTATTAGGACTCAAATTAAAAAAATTAAAAAAAAAATTCAGCAGGACAAAAAGAAGTTCTTACAATTTTCAAAATCTTTTAATAATATTTTTCAATTTTTAAATTTACAAAAAAAAGTTTCAGTCAAAAATTTTTTTGTATTTTTTCTCAGAAATATTCCAAACAAAATTGAAAATATTATTTTATAACAAAAAAATTTTGTGCTAAATTCTGCAAGTCCAAGACAAAATGAAACAATTATAACATTCACGAAAAATGGAAAATTTTTCAAAAAATAATTTAACTTTAATATTTAAAAAAAAAACATTTTTTTATCAAGAAAGAATTCAAAAATTATTATTTTATCACAAAAAATGTTGTGCTAAATTCAGTAAGTCCAACACAAGAAGAAACAATCATAACATTCATGAAAAATAGAAAAATTTTCATTTTTTTATTTTAATATTCAAAAACTCATTTTTTTATCCAATAAAATTAAAAAATTATTTTTTTTTTGTCCTGTATTGTGTTCGTCTAATACAAGAAGAATCAACTGTAAAATTTTCGATAACTTAAAAATTTTTTAGAATAATAAAAATTTTTTTTAGAAAATAATTCAATTTTAAAATTCAAAAATATATTTTTTTTTACTCAGACATATTTAAAAATTAATATTTTTCAAAAACGAATTTTGTACTAAATTATGCTGGATATGGAAAATTCCTCACAAAATTTAAATTTTTGGAAACTATTTTCAATATTTCTGAGTTAAAAAATTGTTTTTCGAATTTAAATTAAAATTACCTTGAATAAATTATTATTAATTAAAAATTTGATACAAGAATTTCGTTTTATTTTTGTCTTGCATGTTCATTAGTGAGAAAATAATTTTTTTTAAAGTCCAAATTATTATTTTTCCAAAAATTTTTTTCCAGCACAAATAGATACAAAAATTATTTTTTAAACAAAAAAGCGTTGCTAAATTATTGCACCTAAATTTTGTAATATTTGCTTGAATGTTTAATTCTAGAAAAATTAAATTTTTTTTCACTTTTTCACTACCAAAAATTATTTTTCCGATTTTAAAATTGAGAATGTTTTTAAATTTTTAACCCGCTCCGTTTGTGTAGAATAATTTTCTGAGTTAAAATTTTTTGTTTTCATAAATTAAATTTATAAAAAAAGAAAATCATCTCTCCCCCTCGTGTATAAACATAAGTTATGTATATATATATGTATATATAAAAAGGGGAGAAGCCGAAAATAAGAGATCTTCTTAAATTTAACAAGGTGCGAAGAAAGCTGGTTGTTAGCGATAATTTACGAAATTATCCTTGTAATCCGATGGAATTTCAACGTCGTTAAGCACCTCTGAGAGAGCGCACCTACTACCTGTTGATCGTTCACAATGTCGACGTCCTTAATTGCATTTGGCAATTTGACGCTCGATCGCCCTCGATCAATAAAAAATTCATCACCTTATTTTCATTGTGATAATTTCATATTTATATATTATTGTATCACAGAAAAAAAGAAAATTATTTTAATGATAAATTTAAACATGATCTATTTTTTTTCTCATTACAGGTTACAGCAATGGGGAGTCAAGACTGGAAATTTTGCCAAATGGAGAGGTTCAATCGAAACCCGTTGGTTCAAGTATTATTCTAACATGCAAACCAAATGTCACAAATCCCGAGTTAATTTCAAACATGGAATGGATTGATCATAATGGTCGTGTCATTGACTCGCTAAAGTAAGTTGATTTCTTTTTTCCCTTGAATTTGATTTTTCTTTTTTTAATTGAATGCTAAAATTTCCACATTAACATTGAATTAACAAAATTCCAAATTATAAAATTCAATAAAAAAAAGTATTTTCAAAATAATTCCAAAAATAATTTCAAAAATTGAAAGTAAAAAATTCATAGTAAACTGAAAATAAATTCCATAATTATGTTTTTAAATTAAATTATGTTAATTATTATTTCCAAATTTGAATTTTTTTTTCCTTTCTGAATTCTTTAATAAGAATAAAATTAAATAATTTAAAAAAATTAAATGTCAGGAAAAATTGCAGAAAAATCGATTATATAATAATTATTATTGGCAAAAAAATTAAAACTTTTTCTCATTAAGATAGAAATTGTGTAATACTTGTGAAATAAGTATTCGCTTTTCATTAAAAAAAAGAAAAAAAAATCATAACACCTACAAAAAAATAAGTACACTGCACTCAAACACTCGCAGCACTAATTTAACAAATTTTCATTTATTTTGCACACAGACTTCAGGTCCAGCAATTGGAAGGGCGAGTATAATAATGCTTACACACATAAAGTTCATTTTTTCACATTTTCATTATCTTCTTTTTTTAATTTTTTTTTTTTTTGCACGTTTTTTAAATGTTAAAATTTATTTTGTTTTCTCAGCATTTCGAATGAGCATTGAATTATTTATTAATTTTCAATAATTTCGAAAGTTTTTATAATAGAAAAAAAATAACAATTTTTAATTTGCTAAAAGTGTACGTAAACCTTATATTCACAAAGTTTAATTATAATTTTCTAAAGATTTTTAAATATTTTTAAATTATTTTAAATTTATTTTTTGTTTTTTCAGATTTCAAATATTTATGTCAATTTTAATTTACAAAAAAATACATAAAATTTTTTTTTTTTTTTTACAATATTTGCCTGTCACTTGTTACTTACCCATTGCCACACTCATTGTTTGTAGCACGAAATTTTTTTTTATGTTATTTTATTTTTCCTATTTTGCAAACGCAGCAACAATATGTTTTGTTTTATCTTTGTTACACGAGATATTTATACAATAAATCACGCACTCTCGAAAACCTGACGATCACTTCCGCCGTATGCGGAAAGAGAGAGAGTGAGAGAAAAAAAACAATACAAACTCAGTGTAACAAAACACTTGTCGAAAGTTGTCAATAAATAAAAGTGAGTTGCTGCCTTTGTTTAAAAAAAAAAAAAAAAAAACATTTCCAAGCATTTATGATTGAAGGAAATAATTTAGTTGAATGCGACACTGTTAGCAATTTCCGAGCACGTTCAACGAAATATTTTCTTCAATTCAAAAAGACAAGTTTCAAACATTGAATGTTAAATAATAAAAAAAAAAGGGTTCCTTGAAATAAAAATCAAAAGATTCGTTTCAAAAAATAAATTCCTTACATTTTTGTATTTTTATAAGATTTTTGCAAAATTAAAATAAATTTTTTTTTGTATAGATAATTGTAAATTAAGAATTGAAAATAGGATACAACTTTTAAAACAAAAAATGTAAACTGAAAATTATTATTCTAATGAAGTTTTGATTTTTAAACGCTTTTATTTAGAATACATAGTTTTTCAATCTCTTTTTGTGAAAAATTTTTTACAAACTATTTTTTTTTTGATGGAGAAAAAGTAATTGATTTTAATTGTTAAACATTTTGTTCAAAAAGTAGGCAGGGCAGTGTGAAATCGACAATGTACACGGAAAAACGACATGGACAAACATTGGCTCTGTTGTTCACAAATCTTCAAACACAACAAGGCGGAATGTACAAATGTCGAGCAACTTTTGCCAATAACGAGGAATTAGTGAAAGAAGTATCAATTGTAACCATAGGTAATTAAAAATTATTTATTTTACTATTTTAAAATTCATTTTTTATGGAAAAATTCAAAATCAACTTTTTTTTTTTTGTTGTTTTCTAAAGAAAATGTTTAATTGTTAAGAAAATATTAAATTGTATTTTAAAAAAATGTTTAATTGTTAAAAAAAATATTTATTTTTCTTGCAATTAGTTGCAATAACGTGGAGTGACGCTCCGGAAAATCAGTATCCAATTCTTGGAGAGGACTTCAACGTCAGGTGTAAAGTTGTTGCACAACCTTCACCAACGGTCGACTGGCTCTTTAATGGAGAATTGATAGAAACTAACGAGCACTACATTATCGAGACACATTCCCTCAAGCTCAAAAAAGTCACAGAACTCGACGATGGTATTTACACTTGCAGGGCATTTGTCGCTACCACCGGTGAACTTAAAGAAAGAAATATTCGAGTTGAGGTAATTATTATTCAAAGGAAAATGTTTTATTCTATTCTCTAATTTAATGAATTATTTTATTTTTTTATTATATTCTAATATTTGAATATTTTTTTTCCAGGTGCACATAAAACCACAAATTGAAGATTCAGAGGAGACGACAATTGAAGCAATTGAAGGCGACACGGCTGACATTGTATGTAAAGCGAGAGGCAAACCACCACCGGAATTTAGTTGGGTGAAAACAATAACATATGAGGATTTATCGAAAGCCGATCGATTTGGAGTTAATAATTACACGGGTGTTATGACAATCAAAAATGTGAATCGTGAGGATGATGGAGAATATCGTTGTTCAGCACAAAATGCCGCCGGTAGAGCCGATTGGAATATTAGACTTAATGTTATTGTTAAGCCAAAAATAATGGAATTTATCAATAAAACAAGTCCCGTAATGAAACAAGTGAGAATTGAATGCCGTGCATTTGGTCGTCCACCACCGGAAATTGTTTTTCGCAAACATACGTCCGATAAACGTTTTGAACTTGGCGCACAACGTGACATGGATAGAATTAAACTTGAAAATCGAAAAGACGATCGCAATGGTGAGACAGTTGGCGTTCTTATTATCGACAATGTTATAAGGTTCGTTAAATTTATAAAATTACAAATTATTTAATTAAATTTCACAATTGATAATCGTTTTTTGTTATATTACAGATCCGACGATGGTTTATACGAGTGTATTGGCATAAATAAAGGTGGTGAGAGTATTAAAAATGGACATTTAACAGTAGAATTCCCTCCTACGTTTGAAGTGATGGATAATCGGACAATTTTCGCTTGGAACAATCATCCGGGAAATTTGACATGTATAGCAACGAGTATTCCTAATGCAACAATCGAATGGAGAGCGTATGGAAATATTCGACTTGAATCAAATGCACCACATAATATTATTGGCAAGGGACCAATTTCAACTTTAATTGTTGAGCCAAGGGATCAACGATACTTCACGACTTATCGATGTGTTGCCACAAATATTCATGGCTCAAGTGAATATCCATTTGTCGTCAAAGAAGGCAAAAGGCCTGGTTTTCTTCTTCAAGTACGAATTTCCGAAATGACCGCAACAACTGCAACTTTCGAAATATTACTGCCAGCCTACAATGATGAATTACCAATTAAAACGGTTAATATTCAATATAAACTCGCTGATCAATCGTGGACTCACGCCTTAAATAGAACATGGGCAGTCAGTAAGTGAAAAATTGAAAAAAAAAAAATTTTCTCTTAGTTTTTCATAAAAAATCAATTACTGATTTTAAAAATACTTCTTTCAGATTCAACGTACATTATTGAGAATTTAAGACCGCAAACAACTTATGAATTTCGTTTTGCTGCTTCGAACGACGCTGGCCTTGCCACTTGGGGAAATGAATTGACCGAATCAACTCTTGATAGATCACGACCTGGAGTACCGAAAATACGTTCACAAATTTCACGGGGAATGGAATATGAAACGTCACCATTCTCAAATCAATATGAAGTCTCGTGGGTGGTACCCGTCGATAATGGCGAGCAAATAACAAATTATGAAATTAAATATTGTCAATTGAAAAGAATTTCTGGTGATTGGGAGGAAGTGTCTGGAACGTGTCGAAATGAGGAGGAACGTGGTAAGAGAACAACTTATTGGCTGAAACATCTTTATTCGGATACATATTACAAGGTTGAAGTGAGAGCAAGAAATTTCTACGGTCTCAGTGATCCTGGGGAAATAAAAATTAAAACCAATCGAGGTAAGTCTTTTTTTTCAATTCAATTTTTTGTTTTTAATTGTTGAAGAAATATTTAGGTAAATTTATTGGAGATTTATTGAGAAATAATTTAATAGTAGTAAAAAATAATTACAAAAAAAAATTACATTTAACAAAAATTTGTAATTTAACTGAATTTTTTTATGAAAATTTTAATTACTTTTTTCCATTTACGATTTTTTCTCCACTCAATAAATCTCCAAATAAGAGAAAAATCTCAAGCAAAAATTATTCTCGGTTTGCAGTAAATAATTCCTCGGATATGTTTAATTTTTTTTCGAGTAAAATTTTAAAAAAAATATATGAAACTCGAAGGAGGAAGGAGTTAATCCTTCTTTCTTGAAGAATCTGTCTTTTTAGTTATTCCTTTTGACGTTTTTTTTTTCTTGCTATAATTTTTGTTAAAGCACCAGCTTTTTCACAATTTATTCCAAAAGCTATAGTTATACAAAACTCAAGATACGCAAAGGCTTTTTAGCTCTCTTCTAGTACTAGTTGAGTTTTTTTTTTTGTTTAATTTTTTTTTAATACTAGTCACAAAAAAAAGACCTTAGGTCCTTTAAGCCGTGTGTATAATAGAAAAAAAAAACCAGCACCGACGTATCTACAAGAAAACACTTTTATTATCATTTAGAATCTTCCGGCATCACTGTGGACTACTCGATAGTATCTTCTGGGGATACTACCAGGCTCGGCGTCCTGATCGCCTTTACCTCAGCAATAACGATTCTATCATTAGCCATTTAGAGCCGTCAATGAAATGTGCGAAAAAAAAATCGACTTTTTCAACAAGTGCAAAAAGGGGACTATAACTGCGATCGTTTACACATTACTCGACTTTAACTGTTTATTACTGTTTGTATATTCGCAAACATCAGACACACACACTCACACACACACACCGAGATTCGCGTCGATATCTAAGAGTGTTTTTTTCCCTGCGTTATCAGAATCACGCACCGATTCTAAAAAAAAAAAACAAACGAACGTACGAACGAGAAAAAAAATTAATATTTAAAAGACGACAAAAAAAAAACTATTTAGAAAAAAATATAAATAAAGAAATGTGATTTGTTTAGCGTTCATTAATCGAGATGCAAGAGAACAAAGACAATATCGTCGACTCTAGTCTCGAACCGCGAAAATCAAAAGGACTTCGAGGAAATCATAAAGTGAGCCGAAGTGCTTTTGTTAGTCCATCGATATTTCATTATCTAGATTGTAGACGAATTACGACCAGATCGAGCGGTACATTCCGAAGTTAAGAGTCTTTGATAAAAAAAAAAAAAGAACATCCATCAAGTGAGATTCTTGGCTTCATCTTTAGACCAGTGATAGATTAGATCTGAGAAAGTGAGGAGAACATCTCATTGTGTCTTTATATTTATTGAAAAATTTAGTTAGAATTTTTGTTTATTTTTTTTTCTCTTTTGAAAATTGTCTATTTCAAAATCTTTTTTGAAAAAGAAATGATCTGTTCAAAAATAATGTAATTTTTGAATCTCATAAAAGAATTTAATATTTTCTTTATATCGCGTAAGAAAATCGAAAAAAGAAATCATTTTTTGGTTTGAATCTCATTTTTTTTAGTTATTTCATTAAAAATTTACAACTTTTAGTGTTTTAAGAAAGAATCGAAGAATTGGTAGAAAAATTGTTTCTCCGATTTCTTTATTAATCGTGAATCTCTAATTATTTATTGAAAATATCTCATTAAGAGATTTCTTATAGATCTGATTGTCCTCCTCAATTTCTTTTTTTTTTTTTGGAAAAAAAATGTATTTATACTCGTTGTTGAATGCTCATTGTTGAAAACGTACTGGTACGTTTCCTTTTACAATAAGCTAAAGTCCTCCTTCATTTTTGTATGAATGTCTTGACTTCCTTTAGCGCGACATCAGATTACGCGTCACTCCACACCAGATTTCCACTATTGATTAATTTTACTTTTTTAGTTATTTTTTTTTTTTTATTAAAAGTAAATTTAAAATCGTATTTTTTTTCAATGTATGATAAAAATTATTTTTTTCGTTTTAATTTTATTTTCTTTTGAAAAATGGAACTGTATTTTTTTTTTTAGACATTCAATATTTTGGTGTGGATGACGTTGCATTTAGTGTTTGGTGCGCATTAAGTCGAAAACTTACTGCCTAATAATTGCCAAATACCTGTTAGCGATTTATAGGTAAAAGAAAAAGAAACGAAACTGAAGATTAAAATCTTTATCAAATTCGTTAAAAAGAAAAATTTTTTTTTTCTCTAAAAAAAATCAACCCGGAGATATATTCGCTTCTGTCTTTAGCGAGTTAGCAGATGAAATGTATTTTTAGATAATCGTTTACAAAAACAAAAAAAAAAATAAATAACAGAAAAGAAAAAGTTTCGAGGCGAAAGTATTCTTGAAAATCGTATAGTTTTTCCATTTTTTTTTCTTCTTATTCTATTTCTTCTTTTCTTTGGGCCAGCGTCCAATCCTGTGCAAAATCCGTTTTTATCGTTTATTATTGAAATAAAAAGGACTTTTTTTCGTTGTATTAAATACTAAAAGAACGCATACAAAGTAGAATTAGTAGATGAATCTTCACAGGTTTACGTCGTATTCTGGTCCATGCAATTATGTTTAAAGCCAAAGAATCCGACTCTGTTTCTTTAAAAGAAAAAAAAAAAAAAAAAAACGAAAAACTGAAAATAACACATAGCATAGTTTTAAAACTATAACTGCATGAAAGATACAAATCTGACCAAGTAACTGGGCTAATTTCAATTATTTTTCTTCATTGTTTCATTTTAGTTTTTTAACGAAAAGAAATTATTTTATTTTCTTTTTTTTATAGTATTTTTCCCCGACAATAGTTTCGAATTGACATTTAATTCAGTTCTATTTTGAATTTATTTTTCATGAAGAAAAATTTTTGTCTGAATACAATTTTTTCTTCTAAATCGATCATTTTTTTCAAATTGATCGACAAATGAATAAAAAAGAAGAATTTTATTTTCAAAATTGTTTTTAAATGAAAATTCCTTTTTTTTAAATTCTTTTTCATTTGGAATAAAAATTGAATTCATCAAAAATTCTCTGGAAGAAATTTCATTTTTTGAATATAGAACAAAACTGATTAAATTTCTATTCGATATATTTTTACGAGGGATTTGAAATTCAGTCCTGCTTGATTAGTTTCGGAGAATCGTTTTTTAGTGCGCATGTTGTGTGAATCATAGAATTATGAATCTTAAGTTTATATTGTTACTATCATTGTATTATTATTACAATCATGTATTATTAAGCATTAGTTATTATTAATATTATTTTTAGAATATTATATTTTATTTTTCTTTATAGTCGCTGTCAATAAGTTTATAAATTTTCATTGTCATTCATTCAATATTGTTTACGTATAAAAAAAAAAAAATAGTGAAAACAACGAATTTTTTTTATCAAGTTGTCGAAAAACAACGAATTTTTCATGAAAAATGTAATATTTTCAATTTTTTAATACAATTTCGAGATTGAGACTAAAAATATCTGGGTTATTTACTTATTTTCACATCGCATGGCATGTGCTTAATTTAATTTTTTTTTTTATTTTTTCTCTCTTAAAATATTTATTTTTAATTAGCATCATACGCTGTTTCCTCTCTGTCTCTCTCAAGCGAATCTCTTCTGTTTTTTAACGAACGGGTTGTGGATTCCAACGTTAAAATTATTTCTAAAATCGCAGCACTTTTTTTTCAAAAAAAAAAAAAAAAGCAACAATAATAAAGACAACCGTTAAATATTTAAACACTAGATAATGCTTTTTGATGACAATTTATTCTGTTAAGCGAGAATTTTTAATAACCTCGTATTTAATAATGTTAATTTAGTATCGTTCTTTAAAGACTGGAAAATTGTACAAAAACATTTTTTTAATTAACAATGATTCTTTAATTTCTTTTTTTTTTTTAAGAAATATTTTTGCGATTAAGAAATCTGTTTCCGAGACAATAAAGAAAAAAAGAAAGATGTCATTTGTATAACTAATTTTCTTGTCTCGTATATATTGTATGAATGAAGAGAGCGATAAATTAAGAGAAACTTGAAATAACGGGGAAGCTATTATAGAAGAAGGAGGCTGGTGAGGTGCTTTCTGAGATTGCATTTTAAAATGGACAGTATTACGAGGGGAAAAAGGGATGAACTCGTTGGTGTGAGACTCCTCTATTTCGAAGACAATAGTCGACAGATAATGACGAGAGGACTGACAAAAAAAAAAAAAAGGTTAAAGAATAAGAGGGTGAAAATTATTGTGAGAGAGGGTTTCTTTTACATTGCGCGCAACGAATTATTGTTCTTCCCGTTCAAATTTTTTCAAAGTTTGACACAAGTAACTTTTCAAGTGACAATTTTTTTTCTCCGTATAATCGTTATTAATTCCAAACAAGTTCAGAATTTAAATTCTCTTTCAGAGATAAAAAAAAGTACCTGTAAGTACGTCTAGTAATTTATTATGACGTTCCTTTTTTATATTATGATTCAATAATCTTAATTTGTAACTTCATTTTACAAAGAAAATGTTCTTAGTAATTTTTAAATTTAAAAAATTTAATTCTTTTGAATTTCTTGAAAAATATTAATTTTAATATTAAAATTCTTGAATTTTGAAAAATGTTTCTTCAATATTTAATTATGAATTTTATATTTGTTTTCGAATATTTTGAAAAATATTAATTTTCGATTGGAATTTTGTGTCAGTGAGAATTGTGGGAAATTAAAAAGAATTTCTTTAACGCGCGTATCACTAATGATAATACCCGGAGAGTGTCACTTGAAGAAGAGCTTTCTGTGCGCGAACTGCTACAAATAGCTTTCTAATAAGAAGAGTTGAATTGAACGACGACAAAAGGAGAAGAAGAAAGAGAGATAGTTTTGCACCATCGAGTTCATTTTCTCGAATCTCACTCGGCAATCTAAGAGGAGATTCGAAGGGAGATGGAAAATAGAATGAGATACAGTGCGATAAGAGAAAAAAAAAAAAGAGAGAGAGAGGGAAAAAAAAGAAAGAGGATTGCACCTCTAAAGAAAACTCATTATATAAATAGTCGTGGGATGCCATTAAACATGAGACTAATAATTATTAATCACTGTCGATGAGTGCCCAGTTAGAATTAAAGAAAGAAAAACCAAAATTTGGAATCTCGAAAAAGAATATATCTTTCTCTGAATTATGTAAATAGAGCGACAGTCAGGATTTTTTTTTTTTTTTTTTCGTTAATTTCTTTTCATGGCGACGAAAAAAGAAACATCGAAATTATTTCTATATAGATCTAGATAAAATTGATAAGATATGTATACATTTACGTGTAGATTTAATTAACTCGTAATTAGCATTCTACGATGATATATATTTATGAGCAAGGATTACTTGTCACCTGTGAAACAGAAATATTGTAAATAATTGAAGAAATACGAAGAAATACATGGAATGTCCAAGAAATAAAAAAAAAAAAACGAGAATGATAGGTTTTGTGGAGAAATCAATTTCAAATTATTCCAATTTCATTTTTTACAAAATTTAATTTATATATTTTAAATATAATTCGAATATTTAAATTTACAGTAATTGAATTAAATTCTTTTTCACTTTTATATTTAAAAACAATTTTTAAACATTTATTATTATAATTTCTTAATTAATATAAATGAATTATGAAAAAATTATTCAAAATTGCTTGTTATGAATTTGTTTTGCTCTCGCAGTTTAAAATGAAATAAACTAAAAACGATATTCACGAAGAGAACATTGAGTATAATTGGATTTTTGATATGAATAAAAGTGGAAATTTGAGATGATTCCCTCCGCATAACCAACTCAATTTATTTTTCGCTTCTCGCCTACTGCTTTTTGCCCTGCGGAAAAGCAACTCAAGCCGAAAGAAAACTGGTAAATATACGACCAATGAAAGCACTGCTAAACATCGTAGACTGTGTAAATCCTACTTTTTCTGTTTTTTGCTAGTGGAGAAAGAGAGAAAAAAAAGAGGGCACACTAAAAAAAAAAAAAAATAAAAATAAATAAAAACGCTTGTGTGGTGTGAAGCAATTACGTAGAGTAGTAGCGCTAGAACTAACACCATAAAGCAAATGGGCTTTTCTCCTTTTCTTGGGCTTCTTTGGCACTCTATCGAATATTCTCCTCTTTCCTCTTTCCTCTCGTGGCTGCATTAAAAAAAAAAATGTTCACTAACTATCTCCCTTTGAAATTTCGCTCGTGTTTGTATCGCTCAAATCTTTGATTTGGATTTCCTTTTTTTCCTTTGTTACTGTTTTTTTTTTCTTTTTTGTTTGTTTGTTTGTACATACATACGCTTCCGATAAAGACGGATTTTTGGCGCACCTTTTTTTCTTTTTCAGGAAATTAACAAATTTTTGCGTGAAAATGTGTTTGGTGATGTTATCTTATTTTTATTTATAGAAAATGAACACTTCGATTTTTGTAAAAAAAGAAAATTTTCTTTAAGAAAAGTTTTAATATTATTGCCAATCTTTTTCTATACAGGAAACGTACCAGTACAATAAATTTGGACAAATTGATTTTTACGCGAAAAGTTATTTGTGAAATTAAAAGGAAACATTTTTCGAAATTGAGATAAAGAAATACAAAATTAAATAGAGAAAAGGAAAATTTACTGTTTTTGTAAGCTTTATATAAATTGTTTGAAACTAAAATTTAAGATTCTTTCAGGTTATTGTTCTTTTTTGCTTTATTTTATATGTGGAGATTATATTTATTTTTTTGGTGAAATCCGCGGTTTTTTCACGGTGGTAGATCATCACCAAACATTTTTCAAATACTGGCTTTTCGCACTAACCTATAATAACCAAATATTTTTTTTTTTTTTGAAAAAAACTCGTAAATTGAAATTTTTTGTCTCTTTTTCAAGGTAACGATTCTCCTGTGGTACATCATCGCGGAGCGCTTATTTCCAGCGGTGCCATAATTGGTATTGTGATCGCCATTCTAGTCGTCATCATAATTATTATTGATGTTATCTGCTGTTGCGCCCAAAAGACAGGTAAATATTTTTTTTTTTTAATACAAAAATTTCTATACATTTTTATTGATATTTTTATTTTATTTCATTTTATCAGTATTTTTTTCAATGCAGTAAATTTTGATTTAAAATAATTTTTTATTTTCAATAATATGAAATTATAGTACCAAAATATTTATTGATGAAATAAAAATTTCAGGTATCATATTTTACGTGTGCGAAAGGTCACGAAGAAAACCAATGGATGAGGAAGACGTGAAACTTGGAAGGTAAGATTTTCCAATTACCATAAATAAATAATAATTTTTTTTGAATTTTGAAGAATGAAAAAAGAAAAAAAATCGATGAGATTTTTTTTTTTGATATTTCCAATCTCGTGTATTTTGTTCCTATATTATACATATTTGATATTTTGTGCTTTGGCAAGTCTGGCGCTGTCATGTCATCAAATATCGCACTTGATCACACGATTTTTTAATTTTAAATTACGAAACAAAACTCATTTAGATCGCGTTTTGTCATTTTTTCACACATTCACATATATATTAATGACTTCCTTAGATTTAGAACGATTTATCATCTCATATAGGTATTCAATACTTCATCATTTTCATTAGAATGCATTCCTTCTTTCTGAAACTAAAAAAAAAATTCTCATTCAATTTTTAAAATTTTTTAAAATATTTTTCTCCAAAAAAAATTGTCCGATTGAAAATTTGATTTTAATAATTCAAATAATAGTTTATTAAAAATGTTTTTAAAATTTATTATAATAATAAAAAGAATTAAAATTTCGGTCGGACATTTTAAACGGTAGTCGGATGATTTGTAAATTAATCAAACTAATTGGAAATGGGAATAACAATAGTTAATTGTTTAGAATTTAGATGAATTTTTTTTATGGCAATGGTCGAAGAAGAAAATTCTCATACTCTCTTTCTTTTCTATTGTTTCTTATTAATATAGTCTTTACGGTTGGCGGTTTCCACTTCCATATTGCGACCAAAAAATGGCCAATGTTGCCGGGGTTACGGCAATTCAAGATTCGGGTAGTGGTAAAAGTACCATTAGACTGGTCAAACACACTGCCATGTAAGAGAAATTTTTCAAAAAGAAAAAATAGATTTAAAAAAAAATTTAATTCAAATCTTGTAAGAAGCATGGCTCGCCTCTCTGAGGAAACACTAATTGAACACTGCTTTTTACTTGGCATGAAGATTATATATTATTCTTTGTTTTTTTTTGTGCTACCTACTCTTTTTTCTTCCAAAACTTTTTGTTTAATATTAATTAAATGTGCATCACATATATAACTGTTAACAAGACTGTTTCATTTGCATTCTGTTTTTTTTTCTGAAAAACTTTTTAATATTTCCAAAAATATAACTGAAATTTGAGAACTCGCATTTTTGAAAATAATTGATATAACGAATTTGTGGGGAAAAAATTTGTACCTTTTAGAATAAAATGAATTTTGTAAATAAATAAAAATGTTAGTGAAAAATAAAATAAATTTTTCATGAAGTTAAAGCAAAATGCAAAATTGAGGGTCAAGAAAAATAATTAAATGTGTGCACTTGAAATAAAAGAGAAAAGCAAAGAAAGATGAGCATGTGATTTTCAATTTCTTCATTACTTTTCCCTTAGTATTTTTTGTGTTTCGACAATCATTATCTACACACAAACTTATTTTTTTTATACTTTCTGTACTCGCTTAGGACATGTACATTTATTCGCTCTGCTTTGGCTATGTTGCATGTTTCACAATTTTCATCAAATATATTAAATTCTTTTTTCTTTATTTCAAATCATGTGACTATTATAATTTTTTCGAAAGCAAATTTTATAATGCTATTGAATGACAGTATATTTTTGTTGGGAAAATTAACTAATTAAATTATTCTAGATTTTCTTTCTCGGCGAAAGATAATTATTTTATATGATTATATTCTAATGTAATTATTTCATTTTCAATTCGAGTGATAATTGAACAAATTTAACCCAATTTCTTCTTGAATATATTTCTAAAATTCCTTTAATTATGCCAAATTAATGAGATTTTCTTTTAAAAATTAGAATATTAAAGATGGAAATTTATTTTATCTTTAATTTGTAAGAATTTAAAAAAGAGATTTAGAATTTTATAATTGACAATTATGAGAAAAAGAAATCATAAAAAGTCGTTATCAAAGTCGTCTTAAATTAATTAAAAATATCAAGATTAATTTTTTTTTTTTAATTAAGTTTTGAATTTTAAAATTAATGTACTTGTCACGAATAAATTTTTTCTTATCAACTATAGCATGTCTAATATGTTTTGTATTGTACAATCAGCGTCGCATTTTCGCTCAAAGAAAAAAAATAAAAAAAATTATTTTGTTTACTGAAATTTAAATAAATTTTGTTCTCTTAGAGATGAAAAGGAACCACTTCGAGAGGAGAAGAAAATTACACCAATCATTGACTCTGGACTACGACGAGAAACGTCCATCACATTCGATGGTAAAAGATCCATCTCTAAGACCGGTTTCGTCGGCAAGGACTCAGCCGTCTAGATATTCTTCCGGCGTACTAGATTGTAAATGGTTCAGATCGCGATCTCCGGATGAAGTTTATGAACGAAAAAAAAAAAAATAAAACAAAAGCTCTCTATCAAATTTAATGTGAAAGAAAAAATTAAAAGAAATGTTTACACATTTTTTCAAAACTCATCCGGATTGAACTAAATGAGATCGTTAACGAAGTGGCCTTTCTATTCCTTTGCTTTTGAATTACTCGAGTCAACAAAAGAGTTTCGGATTGTAATATTACACGTTTGTTTACCTTTCTAATCTGGCGTTTTGTGCACGTTGACTCATGTATCAAAAAAAAAAAATTACCTGCATCTTTTTTTATTTTTTTTAAATTATTAATCGATTTGATGCAGGTTTTTGGAAATTTCGATTTTAAAAATCGAATTGATCCTGATACAAAAACTTAAAATCGTTTCGTGTAATATTGTATGTAAAGTAAAAGTGATTAGGTAAAACTTCACAAAGACGGCAGCTAGTCTCTCCCAGCACAAATAAAAAAAAAAATTATAAAATTTTTTTGCAAGTTTTCAAAAAAAAAAAAAGAAAAATATTGAGTATAAAATAAATTATACTAAAAGTTGTGGAATTTTTCATTTCCGAGTAAAGTTCTAATTAAGATTTAATTAAATTAAATGTCAAATAATAAAAACAATGCTTTCCACACTGAAAAATTTATTATTAAATTTTACTAAAATATTTTACAATTAAAGTATTTTTAAAAATACAAAATATTCATATAAAAAATTATGAATTACATTGAAAACTAATTTATATTTAAAAATTCGAAAAACTACTTCGAAAATAAAAATTAAAAGAAGTCAAATGTTCTCTAAACTATTTTAAAATAGTTTTGGTAAAATTTTTTAATTTCTCTCAGTGCAGTAAGTGACATGAATTTTGCACAATTAAACAAAAGTTTAATCAAGTGTTTAAATTCTCTTAGGAGAGCTTCATATGAGAAATGCATATCAAGTTAAGAGTTTTTTTTAACCTCTCGAAATTAAAAATTTTTAAACTTTGTATTCTTATGAATTTTAATGTCCTTTTTTTCAAGAATTTGTTTTTGGTTTCTTTAAAAATGGAAATTTTTTAAATTTTATAATTTTTATTCCACATTTCTACTAATGATTTAGTATAAAACAAATAATTTAATAAACAATTAAAATTATTGATAATAGATAAACTATTATTATTAGTTTTTTGGAAACTTGCAAAAAAGAAACTTGAATGTTGATTCTCCTAAAAAATTGAGCAAAAAATAGTTAAAAAATATATTTATATTTTTTTCCTATTCGAAAAAAGAAAAAAAAAATTGAAATCATATTTTCTTCGCTCAATTTTTTGAGGGAAAAGCCCCTTAGTAAATTGCTTTCGTGAAAAAGCCTGTAAAAGTATCGCAGCGTAGCACACATTTTAGTGAAGAGAAGAACTAGAAAGAGAAATAAACGTAGTTAGGCCGTTCTAAAAGCGAGAGAAAGGAAATGTACAAAATTTAGCACACCGTAAGTGTATCGATAAAAAAAAAAATAATTGTTAGTGGTCACTCTGCTTGGGGAAAAAAAAAGATGAAAATAAAAAAATAACAAACATCATTTACACAATGATTGCGATGATCTAGTACGCCGGCTTTGGAGCGTGTGTCACGACAAAAAATTATTTGCGAAAAATACACATGAAAATTATTATTATTATTAGTATTATTATTAGTATCAGATATCAAAAAAAATATATACCAAGTGAATTTTTCGCAAATGAAATTTTGTTGGCACTTTTTTTGTAAATAGGTATTGCACTTTTTCATTTTTATTATTTTTCTTGTTTTTTTTTTCGCAAAAAAAAAAGAAAAAACAATTATGATAATTGTTCGTTGTTGCGCATATAATTAATGCTTATATAAATATTAAGATTCAGCCACTATTCAGCTTAAACGTTCTTCAGTGTCATCGATCGGGTTTTTATCACTTGTTTTCAAAGACTGATTCAAATTTTTTTTTTTCCTTTTAGTCATAGAGTCGAATGTTTTGTATATTAAATAGTTTATCATTACAGTCATACGTTCGACTCGCCCGATCCCAAATATTTCATTACAAAAGCACAATTCAATATTCCCGAAAATTTTTCCTTTTTTTAAAAAAAAAAAAAAATATTATTAATTGATCCACTCTCAGTTATGATAATAATTAATATTAAATATTAATATTTTGAAAGATTTTAATTCAAATTTTTTATTGACAAATTTTAAAAGAACAATTTTTTAATATTCAAAAATTTGTAAAATAATTTTTATGTTTGACAATTTGTGGATAATTATCTTGAAAAAATTTTTGGGTAATATTGATGTGTTTCTCGTTGCACAGAATCTTCTTGAAAAAAATGTGTGTTAATTAATTTAACTCGTAAAAGAAAATGAATATATCCCGTCGAAAATGTGATTCAAAGATTGCGTTTAAAATCTTATGAAATGTGTTCTCGAGTGACAGAGACACTTTAGCTTTTAAGGACATTTTTTAATTAAGAGAGCGAATTTTATTGAAATTCAAAACACAGAACAAAAATTATTTTATTTTTCGTTTTAGTTTACTTAGAAAAAAAACCTTTTTTTTTAATCTTCTGAATATAATTTATTATTTTATCCTTGAATTTCAATTATTTTATTATGTGAATGTTTTAAACGAATCTATGCATTTCTTAGTTTCAAAAGAAAAAAATAAGTGAAAAATTTGAGTGTGTAAAAAATCCACTTAAATTCGAAGCCTGCTTTTGGTATTAGTCATGCACTGATGTTAAAAAAATAAGTACGCACTACTGAAAGTGGACTTCTGCGAAAATATCAGTAGTTTCTCGAAAGAGAGAAAAATACGATTCGATTAGAATTTTTTTTTTTTATCGTTTTCTCTTTTTGAATCGCACAGTCTCTCTCTCTTTCTACATATATTATACAAGTTTTGTATATTGCAGAAAAAAAGATAAAGGCATTTCAGGTACACCTTGCAAAATAGTATCTACGACTTAATGCTTGAAAGAAATTTAAACACTTCATGTTCTGTGTGTATAATATTCTTTACTTTTGAAGAAAAAAATCGAAGGCTTTTTTGCAAGGAGACATTTAAAATGTGATAAGTTTTTGTAAATGCTTGTAAACGTTCCCTTTAGTGTGTAAGTTAAATAATCTTTAAAAAAAAGAACATTCTTGGTAATTAAATATTTAGAAAACATTTTACCCCGGCGTGGAAAAAACATCCGTTTAGAGTATTATTCACAAATTGCACAATTTTTCGCTATTTAATATTTTAAAAAAAAACGACTGCCAAAATATAACATTTACATCATTTTTTTTTCCTTAAAATGGAAAAAATATAAAAAAAAAGGTTTTCTGCACAATTTAATATTATTCGAATGCTTTTTCTACGCAAGTAGCTTTTATACGTAATGTGACGAGAAGTTTGCCAAATATTATAGTACTTATTAGCTCATAAGGTATTACATTACTATTATTATAATTATTATTATTATTGACAAGAATTATTATCACGATATTGGGAAAGACAGTTAATAGAAAAAAAAAATGGGGAAAAAAATCAACACTATTTTATACCCGTTGCCAAGAAAAAGATAACAAAACGAACTTCTGTATGAAAATTAAAAAAAAAAAACAAAGTATTAAATACATCTTCCAATTTCGAGAATGTTTTTCGATTTATGGTCATGTTTATTAGATAAGGAATTTTTTTTATGTATTGCTTTTTCTGTATGCGAAAAAGTCAAAACTAAATAAACAGGAAGACATTTTGAAAATGTTATTGTTTTTTTATTTCTCCATTGACTTATTCCATTATTTTGAATAAAAAGACTTTTTTTTTTAAATGTTACATTTATAAAAATATGCATAAATAAAATTTTCAATTTTCTTATGTTGAAAAAACAATTTTTGTTTTACAAAATTCTTTTTTCTTTTTTAAAAAGAAAAATATATAAAAATCTGGAAATCACTGGATTTTGATGACATAATTTTTTATATTAAAACTATTTTAGATAATGTGTTCATTATTTTTCTGATATTTTGACTAATTAAAAATATTTCTTAACTATAATACTTGTGGCACATATCGCAAATGTATTTACAGTATTGTCCATGATTTTTTTTTTTTTGTTAAAAAAATGTAGATTAAAATACCTGGCGTTTTTTAAAGAAAAAAAAACTCGGAAATTACACTTCAATGCCAAAATTTGATGGCTTTCCTTGTTTTATTAGCATTTGTTCGGTACGAAGGAGAGGATGCTCGGTTCTTGTATGCCAAACATAAACCTGAAAATTGCAAATAATAATTATTTTATTAGAAAATATTAATTTTGTAAACTATATTTTGACTTAAGTGACAATTCTCTTAACATGGAAACTTTGGATTTAACTTGTCTTAAATAAGATTAGATTAGAAAGTGATATTAATAGGCAATCAAAATTTAAAATTAAAATATTCTTTTCAAATACATACCTTCGTGCAAAAATCAGCCAATGGTTCCAAATCATCTTTCGTAATCATTTTCCTTAAAATTTCACTTTCTTGATATCCACCTTGAACATCAAACGAAAACCAACTATCTTTATGCTCGAGTATTAGTTTTAAATTTATTGCAAATCCTGCCATATCGACTGGAAATGGTCTATCTGGTTTCCACATTGAATTAAATCCAGTTACTTTCTTTGTGACCTTATCGCAAAGTGGCTTCTCTACCATTAAACCTCCAACTAAACCCACTGGCCAGACGCCGACCTTTTTAATTCTGCTCATCTGCGAGTAATTTTTTATTTAACACAATTTTAAATCAAATTTCAATTATTCAATAGATTCTTCTGTTTACAACTTAAATAAATAATTAAAATTTACCTCAGCAAAAATTTGAATGGAATAAGTATTATCGTCATCAGCAAAAAATACAATTCCATTGTGACTAGAATCCAAATTTTCTCTGATCCATCGAAGAGCTGCGTTTCGTTGCTCAACACCCCGTGGCTTTTTCCAATGTGGATCGCGTTTTCCAAGTTTGTAATTTGTTGGTGTTGCAACATTTAGATGTGTATAGGACAATAAACTGGAAGCCAATAAATTACTAACTAATTTTGTCTTATTAACAGCATCTTCGATGACAATCCAATGGAATTTTGGAACAAGAATAAATGATTGTGCCAAACGTGTTAATTCTGCTTTTTGCACTGGCCTTGCAAATGTTGGTGTAATCGCATATATTGTTGGTGTATCTTTATAATAAGAATTCAATAACTCTTCAACTTTATCGAGACAAGTTGATAAAATTACTTCATTTCGTCTCGATATTCCTAAATCTAATTTATATAATTTAAGTCTCGTTAAATCTCGAAATGTTTTCTCATTTATTATCGATCTCTCACATAAACCTAATGATTTTATATTTTCCAACATTGACGACAATTTACTTTTACATTTGTCGTCCTCTAATTGCCATACTGAAATTAAATTAAATTAGTAAAAATTTAGAATTTTATCAATTATTAAATTTAATAAACTATTTAATAAACTATTCTTTGATGAATTAAAATAAACGTAAAAAAAAGTTAATTCTAGTTCATTATAATTCAAATAAGTCAATTATTGCTCATCCATAGAAGAAGTATTTTTATTTTAAATTAATATAAAACTAGCAAAATTAAACGCGCGAAATTGAGGATTTAATTGTTTCTTATAAAGAAATTAAAATTAATATTATCAATAATATTTTTAATTTATTATAATATTATTACATTGTTAATAATAATTCCTTAATTTTTATCAAATAAAAAAAAATATTTCTTGATGTTTTTTTTGATTATCTGTCGATAATTTTTCATTTAAATTGATAATTTTTAATATAACATATATCGGTAAAGGTCTTGTAAAAATTTCTTATCATCAAAATATTTAACATTAAATAAAATTTTTTATTTTTTATTATATAATAATAAATAATAATTATTATTAATCTATTATATGAAATATATAAATTTTCAATTGCCTATAATAAAAAAAAAATATTTTGCAAAAAAAAATTATAACCAAAAAATAATAAAAATATTTGTTATTAAAGGAAATTTTTTATTATTATATAATAATAAATAATAATTATTATTATTAATAAATTTAAATTAATAATAAATAAATAATTTATAAATTATAAAAAATTAATATTTAATATATATTATTCAATATTCCTAATTAATTAATTAATGTAACATATATAAATATATATCAAATATAATAATTTAAATTTTATTTTAAATAAAAATTATTTTAAAAAAATTTTATATTAAGTTAATATTTAAAAATAAAAATTATTAAAAAAAATTAATATTTAGACAAAATTAAAAATTAATATGTATATATAATATAAATAAATAAATAATATAAAATTTTTTTTATTATTTTTAAAATTAATTAAATTATTGTGATTTAATTAAATAAATTTTTGAAATTTGATAAAATTATCAACTTATGCAGCTTACTCTAACAGCAATCGAATGAATTTTTCTCACAATCCTCACAATTTTTTTGCACGATTCTAACAATTTTATAATTTTTAATAATTAAAATACGCCCGCACAAATGACAATTTCAAAACATTGAAAAATTTTAACCAACACAAAATAATGTCAAACAACACATTTAAAAAAAACAAAAGACCTATAATAAATACTAACTTCAGGTGTGGACAGAATGAACGAAAGATATTCACGATTATTAATATAAAAAATCAAATATTAATATAAAACTTACCGTATAAACAAATGAGTGTAATGGCTATTACATTTATCATTATACAAAATTGACTGCTTCGAAAACATCGTGGTTGTCTTTGAAAATTCATATTTACTCCAATTTCTGTTTTGGATAGTAAAAATTTTTCTGACATTCTTATATATCATACCTTTTATATAAAAACTTTTTCATTAATTTATATTCATACGTGTCAAAATATGATGACATTGCTGTCGTGTAATTTCTTATCTCTCACAGAATAAATACTAAAAAACAAACAATTATTACTTTGGTATAATATTGCATTTACAATGCTTTTAATTGCAAATTAAATGATAATTATTGATAAAAAATAAAAAAAAAAAACAATTTGTTATTAAAAATTTTAAAGTATACAAATTTACGATTTAAACTATTTTTAGAATAGAAATTACCTGCGGTTTATCCGAAATAAGAAACACAATACAAAATAATAATTTTCTCACTTAAACATAATAATACAACAATAAAACAATAAAATGCAATAATTTTAAGGTTATATTAAAGTGCCGTTTAATGACGCGTATGACTTGAACTTGGCTGCAAACTTTCATCTTGTCCAAATATGTCATAAACTCGATACGATTGGTTCAATTTTTTAAAATACAGAAGAAATTTCCACCAATAATTATTTAGTCTTAAGGGAAGTGATTGTTACACGTTTTTTTCGTGTTTTTATATTTGGTGCAGAAAATAAAATTTAATTATAGAAAAATGTCAAATCAAAAAGATTTTTTCTTATCAATAACTGAGAGAATTTTAAGTAATTGGACAGCTTTAAAAGTGAGTAATTCCAAAAACATGTTTATTATTTCTATACATCATAACTGTTAATTGAGGTTATGTCTAATCGAAAAGTTCTCTTTATTAATAACAAAAATTATTATAATTTCAATAGGATTTATTTATTCGAATCAAATTTTCGCTACCTAATTTTTGTATCTCTTTTTTTTTATCAATATTTGATTTATTTTGCAAATAATTAACATTCGTTATATTTGTTATAGATCGCTGTAGAACATGGAATGGGTTCGAAAGAACATGCACAAGAATTCGGTCCTTATATTACAGAGGTTTTTTTCATGAATGGTAAGATTTGATTTGATATATTCAATAATTAAATGAGGATAATTAATTATATATTATAATTAGGTATGGATTAATTAAAATTTTAATATTCCTTTCTTAATAAAAGGTTGTTGACAAAAATGTAAATGATAAAAATTATTTAAATACTTTAAGGCCTTAAAAATAGTTTCCAAAATTATTTACACTTTAGTGTATTAAATATTTAGTATTTATGTAATTAATGTTATTTATTTCCTGTTAAAATTAAAGAATGTAAATTAAATACATATTATTGTAAATTAATATAAATAACGAATTAAATTTTGTTAATCAGGAAGTTTTGTTGTTTAGAAAATTTGACACCATCCGAAGTTGCGAATGAATTAGAAGACTATATGGACACTACATTTAACACGGAACTTGAAGATGATAGTGCAATTCAAGTTGCAGAAGAATTAGTACGATTTTATCGTTTATGCGTTTCTAATAGTGAGAATAGTTTAACAGAACTTGAAAAATTACCTCCTCTTCAATCTTGGTTAAGAGCTGAAATTTCAAGAAATTCATTATCACAACGGTCATCACGACAAAATGATTCGTCTTCTGAGAGTGACGAAGCAACGAACGATCAAATGGAGGTCGAAGATGAATGGACTACTGTTAAAACACGACGAAAAAGATAATTTTGGCAAGTTTTTTTTTATTATTTATAAATTACATTTTATAAAACTGAATAGAATTTATTTTCTATTATTTTTTTTGCTTACTGTAAGGGTGACTGCCATTACCTTTACAGCCGAATGACTAATCATTTGGCTAGAAAGGTTATGACAGCTTAAAATCCTTTATGGAGAAACAATTCATGTGAAGCATAAATTGAATCATGTAGGACTCAACTGATGGCCTTGCATTGAATGCGAAGGACTTATGTCAGCTATACCATACTAAAAACCCTTTTGTATTTTTGAACCCTTACAGATGTTGTTGAAGATCGATCCACGGAACTGCTGTTAAGCTTCTCTGTCTTCATGGATGAGGTTCCCTTTCGTCGCGCGCGCGACCCTTGCGTTCCCAATCTTCCTGGCCTATTTGCTCTTGGTTCGTGCGAGAGTCTTCTTTGCTTCCTCGAGGGCCGTTCTAAAGACTCCGCATGCGCCGCTGTCTGGGCCTTCTTTTAATTGGGCACGACATGAACCCAATTTTAACTCGTGCTATTTCCTCCAGCCTGTCCGCCTCGTTTTGGTCAGTGACTACCACTGCGAACTTCATCCCTCGCTTATTGGGTCCAAGGACCGTCACGTTCCTGCTTCCTGGCTTCCCGAGTACTTCATCGACGTACTGCCTCTTCTGCTCCTCTCCCCTTCCACGATGATCTGTAATAAGTGCAGCCGTTTGCTGTTGGAAGTTAGTCTCCGTTTCGAGAGCTCCCCAACAACGACTTGGCGTTCAAGTTTGTTAGATATCATCTCGTTTACCTCAGGAGGTACGAGAGGCTTAGTTTTTTTTCCTTTCTGTGACTTGTTAGCATTTTGGACTCTGCTCAAAGCCGTCGACGGCTTTACTCGCAGAAGTAGAAGTGTAATCGCCATGTCCACCCATCGCAATTACCTACAAATATTAACCTTATTTTCTATTATTATTTAATGCGTTAGGTGTATTGAAAAAAAATAATTCGTTATTTTTGTAGTAAATATTATTTTTCACATTAAAATTGACATATTAATTATCTTTATACAAGAAAATTCTTTACGTATTTTATTATGATTATTTATAACCTAACGGATTTTCAAGCATTCTAGGTTTTTAAAGTGAAAAATAATGAGAATAGATCACTTGAAAAAAAAGAGATTTATTTGTTTTAATTTATTCCGTAATTATTTTTACTTTTTAACTTTTAGTTTAAAGATTAATGGAATCTTAGTTATTTTTGAAAATTGTCAATTGAAAATAAAATTAAAAAAGAAAACGATATTTTCTATTTACTACAATAAAGAATTGAATATTTTTAAAAAAAAAGTGAGAGTCTCTTGTCTGAGAAAGTAGAAATGTATGCGAGTGATAAATTGATGAAAATTATGAGATAGATTTGAAAATAATAATGCCGACAATGGAATGTTGGCTTTTGAGGAAGCCTTTAGTTATAATCCCATGCGTGGGATTTACAGGTGCGGGTCAGACAAGGTAGGGAGGTTACCAAAGTGAATGCTTCTTTCTCATCAGAAAACTAGCACCAGTGCTTTTACTTCCTCTCAATTCGATGGACGTGTTTCGCGTGTTCTCGTCACGCAACTCGTGGTCCATTATTTGCCATTCGTTAATAAATTCTAATTAACAAAAAAAAAGTGTCTTTTTTTATAAATTAAAAAATGGTCCAAAAGTGAGTTTTATTTATTTACATATCAAATTATTAAAAAAAATTCTATTTATCCTTTTAATATTTAACTTTTTTTTATTTAAAATATTTAACAAAAAAGAAAGAAAAAAAAATTTATTTTGCAATAAATCCCAATTTCAGAAACATGAAGCTCTCGTGGAAATTTATTTTCCTTCTATTCATTCATCTAACATGTGGACAATTAAATTTCGAAGGCAATCCATTGACCGAGAACACTGACTATTTAGCAGAAGAATCACAAATCTCAACAAGAACATCACGACAAAATAATCTTGAAAAAAGTATCACTAACAATGAAATAAATCAACCACAAAAACTTTATCCCGTTTATAATAATGATGCAAAAAATATTTCTCATGAAAAATCAATTGTGAATAATAGTTCACAATTAAATCTAGAAAATAAAAATACAATTCAAGTTGTTAAACTTGTTCCAACAACAAGACAACAATCTCGTCAGCTTCATGATAATTACATAAATATAAATCCCGTTCAACAGGAACAAAATTCAGGACAAAGTCCTGCTGATTTAGCACTACATATATTTATGAATTCAAAAACCCCACAAGAATCGGAAATGGCTTTAAATTATTATCTCCAAGGTGGTCAAGGTTTAAACGAACAATTGGAATTACAAAAACAACAGCAAATCAGAGAGAAGGAATTACAGCAGGAACAATATTTACGACAGCAGGAGCAATTGTTACAGAGACAGAAGCAACAACAATTACAACAGGAACATTTACTTCTTCAGGAGCAAGAAAATCAAATATTGGCACAAAATCATCAAGATCAATCCCAACAATTTCAAAATATTCAATCGCAGCATTTAAATAATCAAATTCAACAAAATCAATTGAATATCCAACAGATTAAAGGACAAAATCAATTTCAAAATTTAAATCAAAATCAGTTTCAAAGTCAACCAATTGGTGGATATTATCAGCCACATTTATCACAGCGAATTCCATTAATTCAATCGCGAAACGATTATCCAATGATGCCCATGTATCGTCGACCAATGAAAAGAATCAATTATCGTCAATCTTTTCAATCGCGAATTGGTCCTCCATTATATAAAGGACCACCGCCACCAATGTCGGCACCAATTTATCCAGGAAAAATGATGAAACCACCCGTTGAAGTGATATATTCAAGGCCACCTAATTATGCACGTGGCGCGCCAATTGTAAGCAATCCACCAATTTATTATGAGGACGCAAGTCCCTGGTTTCCTGAAGTTGAACATAAACCACCGTCCAAAGATATTTATTATTCACAATTGTATGCACAATCATACGATCCACATTATTATAATTATATTGCAAAAACTGGCAAAATAAAGCCCCATTTATATGGTAAATTAAATAATGAAATTAAAGAAGATGATGGTATTTTAGCTGAACTTTTTCGTGGTTTCACAAAACATGGTATGAAAAATATTATGAATCCAACATTTTTACTTGGTATGACAATACCAGCCTTGACATTCATGCTCACTGCTCTTGTGCAAAAAAGATCTCTTGCACGTTCCGATTCTAGGTCATTAAATGAGGATGAAATTCATGAATATGTTGAAAGACTTAAGAGATCTTTAGAGTGCTATCGAAATTTAAAAGTGCCGACTGACGATCGATGCTGGCGGTGAAAGTTTTTTTTCTGTGAATGAATTTTGTTTTTTTTTTAGTGTCACACGACAAGGAAGAATCATTATTTATTGAGTTTTGTGTGATGGAATTCATTTTTTGAACTTGATGTGTATTTAACTGTGAATGAGACGAGGCAAGATATTTTGTAGAATATAGAAAAGGCGAATTAACACTAAAATTAATATTATATTCCCTAATAATTTGGAATTATTTTCTCCAATTTTCGTTTAATACAATTTTTATAAATTAGTTTGTATAAAAGAAATTTTTTGAATTCAAATATTTTGTTGTTTAAAATTTGGGATAATTTTTTTCAATTCACAAATATTGTGATGGTAATAAAAAATTAATTTGATTACATTAAAAACATTGAAATAATATTTACAGTGAATATTAATTTTAATATAATGAAAATTATATTTAAATATATAAAATGAAAATTTTAATAGTGAGTAGAAAAAAAATATTTTCAATTCGTACGATGTAAAAAACAAAAAAATTATTTTTATATTACACGAAAATTCGGGAAAATTGAATTCTAATAACCGATTTCTGTTCATTTTGTACAAAATTTAAAATGAAACGGAATTTGTACAAAGTACATTAATACTCATTTAAAGTTGTTTCATAAAAAAAATACGCTTTAAGTAGTTTAAAATGCTTTTTCTTGAATAATTTAATAATCAAAATTTTTTAAACTTTGGATTAAAAAAAAACATAATTAGGAAAAATTTTTTTCCCTCTAAAAAGAAATATTTTATTCTCCAAAGTACAATTTTCAATCTTTTATGTGTCATATTGCTTTCTAATGAAAAATTAGAATAAAAAGTGAATTGAATTTTTTTTTGTATAGAAAAAAAAAATTATAAATATTATAATTATTGGTTTATGTAGTTCAAAATAATAATGATGTATTTCCTTAGATTATTCTCAAAATGACTCAGTTTAAAATGAGTTTTTCCTTTACTACAATTTATTCTACCAAATAATTATTTTCTATATTAACTTCCATTTCAATGTTATTTCACACTTTATTATTTATTATAAACTCTAAAAAAAAGTATTTTACAGTTTTCTTTATATAAACTTTTTAAATCATCATTTTCAAGGGATATTCATTTTAATCAACTTTCTACTAAAAAGTAGGTGATAAAGTTTTTATTCCTTATTAAAAACAATTTCTATGAGTCTAATTACATGTTATTTAAAAAAAACAAAAAGTTCTTAAAAGCTTTTCTTTAAATATTCCATCCAGATCTGAGATTGAAATCTGAACTTTCTTTCATTTTATTGTTTGTACGTGAACTTTATACAGAATTAACTTTCTTCCGTCCAAAAATTTTTCAACGAAGACGCCAGTAGAGCAAAAAAAAATATTTAATAGAATAAAAAGTTTTTGTAAAAAATTTATTCTATAAATCGAAAAACTTATGAATAAAAAATCTTGATAAAGCATTTTATAATTAATCATTTTTTTTTAAACATGATAAATAATGCAGAAATCTTTCTAAGAAAGAGAAAAGGTGAAAATGCTTTGGCATTTCTTTATATTTGTAGAAAAAACATTTTTCGTGTAAATTATAGAAATTTCTTACTGTATCCAAATATTTACATATTATGTTAATTATTAAATAATTTAAAAATTTATTCTTTGTTTTTCTTCTGTTGTGTCAATAATTTAGAAAAAAAAAACCATTTTTTACGTAAAAAGGAATCGAATTTTAAAAATAATTTTCACAATATCGTAAAAAGGGAAATTAATAATTATTTTTTATAAAATATTTAAAGTTGAGTGAGAATTGAGGTTTCTGAAGCGGAGGTTGCTCGTAAGCGATTTAAATGAGAACAGATTTGCACGATCATGCTTTTTGCAATAAGAACTAGGAAAAGCAAATAAAACAATTTTTGCAAACTATCATCACACCGTTAATATTTTCTTAGAACTCATCACAAATGTTGTCATTCAGTCTTAAATTATAGAAATTAATTCTATAGAAATTTTCTTTATAGAAAAATGTAAATTTTCTTCCAACAAATTTTTAATGTATTTCTGAAAAAATAATTTTCAAACTCAATTTTTTTTTATCTTTGATTTTTAAATATTAGATCATTAATTTTGTTTTTTTTCTTTTAAGACGCAATTGATAAATTCATTGAAGTAGGACTTTGGCAAAAAAAGAAATAATTGTTCAGAAAAGGCGACAGTAAAATCGAACTAAGAAATGAGAGTATCAGTATAGTTTTTAAAAGTCAAAAAGAAATTCCTCGGTCAATCACCTTTGTCCTTCTTCGTCCTTTCTCCATTGCGAATATCATTTGAATTCCAAATCGAATCTAGGAATTTCGAATTTTTATTTTTTCACTAAATTGATTGATTTAATGGAAGACAAAAAGAAACGAGAAAATCATGTATTTAAATTTTAATGTTTCTTGATTTTCAAATTTAAATCAAAAATCCATTAAAGTTGGTTTTATATTTTAGCTTTTTTTTAAAAAAAAAAAAAAAAACTTGTTAATTTGAATAATAACTTCCACTAAATCGTCACAGGCTCGATTATTGAGGTCTTACCATATAATTTACTAACAATCTCTTCTATAAAGAATTAAAATATTTATTTCATGTATGCTCCAGCTAGCTGGAAAAATATATACACGTGTATTAATCATTGCTTTTTCGTTCTAAGAATTATTTCTCAATTACTTTTTTTTTCATAATTATAATTATTATTAAAAAAATATTCTAGAAATATTTATTAAAAAATTTTTTTATAATGTTACATAGAATTATTTTTTTAATTTTCGATTTTTTAAATGAAAATTTTTAAATTACTATGTTGTTATTATTATACTTATCAATGTTAATTAATAATTAGTTAGCACTATTTAATTATTGTCAATTTTCAAACCTTTGCAAATCCCGTAAATAAAACCACAAAAATTATATAAATTTATAGGCATTTTATGATTGCGAACATTAAGATAATCAACGTTACCGTTGCTTTAAGTCCTCAATTTATTTTCTTAATAACGAAATCCTCAAAGGATCGAGGGTCAAATAGCGTTTAAATTATCACGAAAACTTTCCTTTTCTAAGTCGTTATATTGAACATGATCTTTAATTTACTTAAATAGGATTTCAGAAAAAATACAAAAAATTGAAAGTTAACGAAAATAGTTCAAACATTTTTTTTTTCCTTTGGATGATTAACTGATTTAAAAATAAAATTTTCCAAATAATGTTTTTTTTAAAAGAAATTGAAAATAAAATATAATTACAGGATTTCGAATAATTTGTACTTTCAGATTTTATACAAAGTAAACAAAGTTGTGTGATGCGTGAAGAATTTCGACAAATAGAAAATATAAAGTCGATTACTGGGTGATCTAATTATCGCGTGAATTTATGATAAGTAGTAATCAATGAACTAGTATGAGAGATGGTTCAAGAATCGTTCGACGGATGTGATAACTGGTCAAACTACTTCCGTAATTCGTTACCTATATTATTATTAATGAGATATTGACCTAATTTTGATTGAGCTGAAATTTAAAAAAGAGGTAAATGAATTAAATAATAAAATCAATTGTCTTAAGTAATTTTAGAAAATTCAAATATATTAAATTTTTGTTTATCAAAATAATAATTTATGGTGAATTTAAAATTTTAGATTTTTTTTTTTAAACGGAATCGATTATTTAAATTTAATTTCAACCGTAAACATGAAAATTACAAAAAAAATAAATATTTATAAATCTCAAAAAGACTGGATTGTAAATTTGATAGGACCACCTGAAAAGATTTTCGGAGATTAGGTATGATAGTGACAAACAAATTTTTTAAAGATGAGTCTATCAAAACAACTATAAAAATAATTCCTATAAATATTAATATAAAAAAATGTTTACAAACTAAATTGTAAAATATTTAATTAAATAAATAATAATAAATAAAATAAAAAATTACAATTTGGAAAAAAAACTAAAAAATAAACTAATTGAATTTATCTAATAAAAAACCAAAAAAAGAATAATTAATTAAATTGAAAAGAAGTTAATATCAAAAAATACCAATAGCTACTGAATAAAAGATAGTAAAAAAAAAGAAGCGAAAATTGAAATAAAATACCAAAATTTTGAACTCGATTTTAAATCGGAACAGAACTGCATTAATGATGTAAATATAATTAATGACTTACAGGTCGCGAGAATGAAACTTAGTTCTTCTAAAGGAAATATCGTTAATGTCAAAGAGATAGGTAGAGATGATTTAACGGTAAAACCGGCTACAATCGTTCAAGAGCGCAACCTTGTGATTCTTAAGGTGCTTCGTCTAATATCTGAAATTCAACGACAATTTTCTTGTCATCTACAATCTATTAATTTCAATCTAAGAAATTGCACAGTTGTCATTTTCCCGTATACTTTTTTTTATACAATTCCAATAATACTCACTCATCATTATTTATTACTATTCTTAACACTCTTATACACTCCCGGATCTTTCATCTAAAATTTGTTCCATTTAACAAAAAGGTATTCGCCTTCAGGCAATTTGCATCCATAAAAAAGGAAAGAAAATTTTTAAAAAGTACAATACAGTAAATTTACGTATAAAATGAAAAATAAATAAAATATATTCTTTTTCACTGTAAATATGAATATTTAATTAAATTACCTTAATTTCATTTTTCGTGATCTACTCTCGTTTTCTATGGGACTTTTTATTAATTAATTAATGCACTTTGATCAACACAATGTGATTAACACTTTCTGGCCTTGACATTCAAGATCAAGTGGTTCACGCGTGCGAAAAGTGAAAGAAAAATGTAAGTTTCTTGACCTAGAGTTGTGGTTGATTTTTACGCCCAAGGCGACAGTTGATAATTTCTTTTCTTCAGCTCCCAATAAACGGGATTCAAAAAAATTCTCAAATTCATTTATTTAAAAAAATTTTCTATAATTTATTTTTTAAATTTATTAATTTCAAATTTCAATTTAAATCAGAAATTTGATACAAAAAAAGATTCAAAATTATTAGAAATATATATTAATATAATTTATAATAACTATAATTTTTAAAATTAAATATAATTCATTTATTAATTTGAATGTCAACTTTAGAGGAAATTTTTTGAAATGGTAATTTAGAAAATAATTTTTCTAAAACTTGATTTTTTTCGATTATCATCGTTTTATATTATATTTACTATAATTAACTACACTGTCTCGTTTTGAAGATCATCCACTGTTACTTTCTCACGTGCATACTGCTCATTAAAACCTTATCCTATAATTACTTTCATATACACAACGCACTTGTATAGTAAAATATTTATATTAAGCACGTTTTTGTACAATTTTTATTATTAATTATTTTTTTATATATATATATTTAGCGAAGGATCATTAAATTATTCATCATCTGCAATCTTCACGAGTATCATTATATATATATACATTATATTTTACAATTCAACTTTGTTTTGTACATTTTCTAAAATCCTAATGTGTCTAAAAGCTTCGAGGATCGGATTTTAAACTTTTCAACTATTTTTCAATTTTATTAAATATTCAATGTAAAATAGAAAATTACAATTTCTCCGATCATCGTACTTTTTAATCTTATTCGTCAGGTTTTTTTTTTTTAACAAATCATTTTCAAAATTTTTGAATTTGAATAATCTTATAATTTCAGAAAATTCAAATTTTTTAAGTACTCTGAAAATGTTTTTGCCTTTGAAATTTTAACTAATTAAATATTTAAATTCTAAAAATCGATAATTTTCATAACAATTAAGAATTGACATTATTATTTTATTATAGGAAGTGACAAATTACTTCCAGTCGACAATTATTATTATAGAGCCTCATTATTTCGAGTGCTAATAGTTTCTTTACAAAAAAAAAAAAATTATATCCGAAACTTTGTAAAAGTCACGTGCACTTTAAACACAAAAATGTATTTAAAAATATTTCTAAAATTCTACGGATTAGCCACATAGAATTATTATATTATTCTCGTTTTTTTTTCTATTTATAAACAATTTATGTCCTATTTTTAATTTTTGTACGCTTTTACATAAAATTTCTTAAAAAAATCTATTACAATAGATATAATAATTATGATTGAAATAATATTAACATTATTTTCATTAAAATTGCAAGCAAATTGTCTAATAAAAAATAAACTAATACAAAAATAAAGATACTCTGGTTGTAAACATTAACAAAAATGTACGTGTCGACTATTTCACAGTATTGATTAAAAAAAAAAAATCGAAAAGTTTTCTATGTCATGACTTTTATCACTTTTTTGCGATTTATTTTATTGCAGTATTGTAGCTATATGGACTAGATATTTATTAACGAATTTGCCAGAAATTTTCTTTTTCAATATTGACAATTACAATTTCAATCGATTAATTATAATCTTAAAAAATTTTTACTATCTATTTAATTGTTAAAAACTTTAATTTCAAAATTATTTTTAGAAAATTATCTGGCAATATCTTTCGTCAAAATATTTTATTTAAAATTCATAATTTAAAAATTTTGTTTAAAATTGAAAACTATATTAAATTAGTTTTTTAAATATACTTCTTTTAAATAAGTCTTTAATATTGCTGTAAAAAAAATTTCTGAATTCTATTTTTACTGAAAAATTAATTTTCATTTTCAAAAAGCGAAGAATTTTAATCTATAATTAAAAAAAAGATAAGAGTCTTGAAAAAGTAAAGAAGATTTTTTGATTTTCAAATTCAATAAATGAATTTTACATCTTCTTTTTCTTTTCTTTTATCACATATTATTATATCTTGCTGAAGAAGAACAAAAAAAAAAAATTAAAAATAGTACTCTATGCTATACGAATTTAGGCCTTATTTAAAATTTTCTTCTTTGAAAGCTAAATCTATTGCACAGCCTACGTCGTTTACGATAAAAGCTGGTTTACACAAACCTTCCTCAACTGGCAAAAAATCCCTCGGACAATGATCAATTATGAAATCGGAATCTCGTTTATGAACTCCAGTTTCAACTAAAATACTGATGCAAGCCTTTGCACTAGGTCCCGTGATATTTTTTCCTAATAGGCTTTCGAGAGTTCGTGTTTTCGTTCCTTTTCCTTTTGTATAGCGCGCCAAATACTTGTCATATAAATTAGCACCGAATACGTCTGTGTTAATATTGTCACTGGAATAGAGAAATTTTTCAAATTCTTTTTATTTCGTTTCTTCAAAGTATTTTTCAAAAATTAAAGAATTATTCATTAATTTTAAATTTATATAACTCTTTCAAAATTAGAAATTAAACATTCTTAAAAAAAATTTGTCAAATTCGACAGGTTTTTTTAATTTATTTATTACCAATTAAAATTGAATCCAAAATTTTTCCTTTATCATTTTTTTAAAGTAATTTTGTTTTAAAAAAAAATTTTTAAAACTGCATAATAAATAGGAAATACTAATTAATTATTTAAAAAATTCAATTCAATTTTTTAATTATTAAAAAATAATTTAGGAAACTGTACTAATTTCATTTTTAAATAAATTAATTTTATATTTTAACATAACATTTTCTTAAATTCGGAATAGGAATATTTTTTTTTGTTGAAAAAAGTGCTTTTAATTTGTAAGATCAATGGAATATTAAGTTCATGTTTTATTTATAATTTCTTTAATTTGTGTTCAAAATGTAATTTTTTTTTATTTGTTTCTTAAAACCAAAAGTAGAAGAATATTCTTTTCTCGAAACATTAAAAAATCATTAAGATAATGTGAATTCAAACTTATCTTAAATCATTTAAAAATTACACAAAAATATATATTTAAAAATAATGTTTCACAATTTTTCAAAATATTACAAAATAAATTTATCTAAAAATGTAGAATATTGTTAAAGAGAAAATTAAATTTAAAGTATCTGAAAACCATAAAATAAAAATATTTTTTACAGCACAATTTTTTTTTTGATTATTTATTTTAAAAAAAGATTTTAATTTTGCAAAAGAAATTGATTAGAAATATTTTAGAATTTTATTTTAATGAATAAGAATTTAAATAGTTAAAAATTATAAATTATTTTGCAATTATTGATAAAAAAATTTGAAAAAAACATTTTGTTAAATTTTATAGTTTTCTGTCTTAGAAAATAATTTGTTTTCTAATCATTGATCATAAAATCGTGAAAATAATTTTTAAAAAAAAGTGATTTTGTTCTCACTTACCCTATGGCATAAATAGTATCTACATTATGTCTAATTCCAATTGTCTCTGCATGATCGAGAATTTTATGATTTGCATGATAATAAGTTATTTCACTAGGCTTTCCAACGAGTGCTGTGTAAACCATATCTTTTCCCGTGACTTTTTTATATAAATTTTCCAAACATAGCAAAAATGCTCCATGTCCATAACGTGGAATTGGCGCTTCAGAAACCCACAATAAATCCATATTACACGCCAATACGGGAATATGTGGATATGGAATTGCCGGTGGCATTGATGCTGGTTTTCCATTTGTCATTAAAAGATCAACCATTAATTGCAATGGTGTTTCCCATGTTATTGGCTCGCTAAGAAGAAGTAGGCCTTCTATCGTTGGAAAATTTGAATCAATAGGACCACTTGTTGCCACACGTTTATCTTTATTTACATAATCTAAATTTGGATAATTTCTCACTAATTCATCTATTGTTACTGTTTTCATGAAACCTAATTCTTTAGCAATTTCACGAATTTTTCCCTGTCCCGATATTAAAACTTGTTTATCACGAAACTGATGAAACATTTGTAATGGTGAATGTGCCATTATCACTTGATCCTCGGACACTTCGATTCCAGTCCATTTTGTTAAATCGGCTGCCTTTTCACTGCGTAAGGCATTACCGCTGTTTGTCACAAAAACAGTGGGTACACGAAATTTCCCATCGGGACCTTTGAGACGACTAAAGGATTCACGAACTGGTGGCAGGACATTTTTTCCTCGAACAATCACGCCATCAATGTCAAAGAGAAGGCCAAATTTTGATTTGTTACTCAAATGCTAAAAAAAAGGAAACAAATTTCAAATCGAAATATAAAAACAAAGTCTTTTTACATTGTTTTTCTTTATTCAAAATAAAATTCGATTTCTCATATTAAAAAAACTATTGTTTCAATTTTCATGACATAAAATTTTTTTAAAAAGCATAAATATAAGTCACATGATATTGTACTTGGTCTTGTCAAAGTCAAAGTAAAAATACATTTGCCTTGTAGCTATATAGAAGGTACAAGGGTATTTATATTTTTATCCTGTTCGACAACTCTATTTGCGAACACAAAAATATAGAAAATAGGAAACAAAAAAATTGACATATCCATTGTATTGTTTATAACATTTTTTAATGACATTTAAAAATCATTAATTTATTCTTTTTTTAAACTGTATAAGAATCTGTCAAAAAAAAAGATGAGAATCAATTTAAAGAAATTTGGAAATTTATGACTTGACATAGTCTTGTCATTTGATTAAATGCTTTATTAAAGATACTGTACTTTGAACAGTGAGACAGAGAATTTGACGGGGGAGTTGATTACTATATTTAACTGGTAATGAAATAAACAATGCTTAAATTTCACACCAATTTTGTAAGGAGAAACAGTATATAAATATTAAAAATGTTAAATTCAACTTACTTTGACTCCAAAAAATCGTTTTAAGTCCGGTCGTTTTAGAATTTGTAGAATCGCCATATCGTAATAGGCGAGGAGATAATTAGAAAATTTTCGAAAATGGAACTTAAAAATAATGTTTTGATATATATATATTCACAAGTCACACATAATGTGATTCAATTTTATATATTAAGGTTATATCGGACACATTACCACACGCACATACATACAAGAAGAATGTGTACAATTAAAAAATTATTTAATTTTCCCCCAGAGGGCACTTTTAAAATTTGTTTACACGCCTACCAAGAAAATAAAATATTTCATAATTATATTTAAACTGTTAATTTACACCAAATTTTTATATCAAAACATTGATAAACTTTATTGGTATTAAAAAAAAGAATTATATTATTTAATATTTAATTGCTTTTGAGAAGAAATATTTTTTTTTCATAATATTGGCTTAACTGGAAAAACAGCTCGAAATTCAAAATTTAACATGATTTTTAAGCTTTTAATCCATGATTTATTAATATATAAATGTTATTAACCTTGAAAAGTTAATAAAATACAAAATTAATGAACCATTTTGTTTTATTTATGTTCAAAATAAAACTTTATACATTTGTTTTACAACCCGGGTCTTAAGTTTTGATACCTACGGTACTGGTAACGTGTTTGTCCAAAATGAAACAAACGGATATGCAATTTATAAAGTAACTTCCGTTTCCCATAGCGGAAAACTTGAATAAAACTTTATTCCTGCAAAAAATAAAATAAAGTAATTGTTTTTACTTATCACCAGATTATTAAAATTAATAATTATTTATTATTAAATACATTGCTATAGTATTTAAATTATATTTTGTATATTGTATATTTTGATTTTTCAGTTTTCCGTTGGCACCACTGTCTTGCAAATTGAGGTCGTCGTCAGGTGATTAAAAATCATGAAATTGTGAATAATTGTCGAGAAAATTATTCTAATTCTCTTTTATAAATGGAAATAAGTATTAGAAAAACAAAATTCTTTTGAAAAATAAGTAATTATCAACGTGTGATATTCAGGTAATGCTGTCATGAAAATATACTTATCTTGAGGTTAGGTTTTTTCAATCATCATCACAATTATATTTTATTAAAAGTAGAACAAATGAAAAAATGACATTATTGTACAAGTGTATAATTAACAACACAATAATTCAGAATTCTAATCGAATATGTTTGAGTTCATCATGCCTTTTTCGCTCGATTCATCTTTCACGAAGAAAATGTACGTGGCCAAGTTTACGACATTACACGACCAATACAATAAAAACAAAAGTTATTGAAAATACAACAAAAAATATTAATAAAAAACGTGATTCTGAATTAAAAAAATTATTCGCTTTAGCGGTACCAGAAAAATGGAGACTTGCAAGTGCTGTGGCTTTTTTACTTGTATCATCAAGTGTAACAATGGTTGTACCTTTTTGTTTAGGAAAGATTATTGACCTTATTTATTCACCCGATAGGGAAAAAACAAAAGAAAATTTAAACCGCGTGTGTCTTACATTATTGGGTGTATTTATTATTGGTGCAATATGTAATTTTAGTCGTATTTATCTTATGTCAACATCGGGACATAGAATTACACGTAGTTTAAGAAAAAAAGTCTATTCGGCAATTATTCGTCAAGAAACGGCAATGTTTGATAAAGTTAGCACTGGCGAACTTGTTGGAAGATTGGCAGGTAATTTATTTTTTAAATTAGAACGAAAATTATGTTTTTAAAATTTTGAATATCATTAATATTTGATAATTTTCAGATTTTAAAAATTAATATACAATTATTTTTACATTTTGAAATAAAATTCTTGACGAAATGATTTATTTATAATAATTTTCATGAATTTATAAAAAAAAATCAATTTAAAATCTTTTTAAATTAAAAATCGTCTAAAATTCAATTATTTTTAAAAATCTTGTAATTTCTTTAAAAATTAATTATTTAAAATTAAATAATTAATGAAATTGAAATTCTATTTTAATTCTATTCTATTTGTATTATTTTTAGGTGATGCTCAATTAGTGAGTTCATCGATAACCAGTAATGTTTCGGACGGATTGCGATCAACAATAATGACGACAGTGGGAATATCAATGATGGTTTATGTATCGCCTCAATTATCATTGGTTGGTTTACTTGTAATTCCTCCAGTTGCTGGATTAGCAATTGTCTACAATGGTTTTGTAAAAAAAAATTCTAAAGATGTACAGGACAATTTAGCATCATTGAGCACAACGGCTGAGGAGAAAATCAGTAACATTAGAACAGTGAAGGCATTTGCTCAAGAAGTTAATGAAATTGAAAAATACAATCGAAAATTACAGGATTTATTAACACTTTGCTATAAGGAAAGTTTATACAGAGGATTATTTTTTGGAATGACAAATTTTTCCGGCAATATAATTATTCTTTCAGTTCTTTATTATGGTGGTTTTATGCTGTCAGATGCACGAATTACTGTTGGTAGCCTTAGTGCTTTTTTGATTTACGCCGGTTATGTTGGATTTTCCATAAGTGGAGTTTCGAGCTTTTACTCGGAACTTAATAAAGCACTTGGAGCGAGTACACGACTTTTTGAATTAATTGAACGTCGTCCAACAATTCCAATTGAAGGTGGAAAAATTCTCAATTCTGATTTATCCGGTGATGTGAGATTTGAAAATATTAGCTTTGCTTATCCAACGAGAAAAGATTCTTGGATTTTGAATGATTTTAATTTACATCTACCAAAATCATCGATAACGGCAGTTGTTGGTCCATCTGGTTCGGGAAAATCGACTTTGGCTTTATTACTCCTCAGACTTTATGATCCAAATAAAGGTTCTATTTTAATGGATGGCCATGATCTTAGGGATCTTGATCCCATTTGGGTCAAGTCTTTTCTCTCAGTTGTACCACAGGAACCAACACTTTTTAATGAGACTATTCGTGAAAATATTATTTATGGGACAAAGGATGTTACTGAAAATGATGTGCTGGAAGCTTCGAAAATTTCAAATGTTTTCGAATTTGTAAATAGATTGCCAAAAGGCCTGGATACTCTTGTTGGAGAAAGAGGTATCACTCTCAGTGGAGGTCAACGTCAAAGGGTTGCTATTGCGAGAGCTTTAATTAAGGTATATATTTCATATTTTCAGCAATTAAATTTTATTGAAATGATTAAAGAGTAATAAAATAATTTTTTGATTCCTGAGATCAAATTATTTATAAAACTTTAATTATCATTATATTCAAAAATCGAATTTAAAAATGATTTATATTCTAATACTTCGTTCATGAGGAAGCAAAATTACCGTCATGTTTGTTTTCACTGATAAAATTTTCTGAACAATACAGTTTTTTTAAGAAATAATTAATAACATTTTCTATCTCACTTAAGATAATTACATTACATAATTTGTGAAAGAATATTTATAATAATCTCTTGTGTAATTTTGTTTAGAAAAATTTTATGCTCGTGTATTCATTAAATATTAGAATTTTTTTTTAATTTACTATTTCTATTTTCAAAATAAGCTGATAGAAAATGCAAATTATAATAAATAACAGTATAAATATAATAACTATAAAAAATATTTTAAAAGTCAAGCGTCTTCTTGACTTTCTTTTTTTAAAAATGAAATTTTTTTTAAGAACATAAAATAATATTCATTTTTATAAAGTTTAAAGAAGACTGCGATACAGTTTTGATTATCGCAGAAATTGCTGGTAGGTTAATTTTAGCTATTATTGAAGGTGAATAAATTTACCTTCTTTGCAAACATTCTTATCGTTGTTATTAACATTAATCAAATAAACTTGTCATTTTTTTTTCTCTAAACTTTTTAGCTACTTTAAAATATTTAAAAATTACATAAAAATATAATTATATAGCTGTAAATTTTTTGATCTTTTATTTACAATTATTATTATAATTGTGACTAATATTATTATTATTACTATTATAATTAATAATTAATAATTAATAATTAAAAACTTGAAATTCAATTCTTGTCTATAATTTCTTATAAATTCTTCATCAATAGAAATTATCGAAAATTTCAATTAAAAATTACTTGAAGTTTAATTTTTTTCAAAAATCTGAATTGTCAATCTTTGAAAATTCAATTCCTTTTAAAAAAATGTTATCTAAAATTATGTGATATATTATTTTCAAATTTCAAATTAAAACTAAAATTGTTGGCAGAAATTAAAAAAAAAACTACAGCAGTTTAAATTTGCAGAATATTTATTTCAAATGTAAAAAATCGTTTGCAATTTAATTATTTAATTCAAAAATCTGTAAAATTTAATTATTGTCTAAAAATTTTTTTGACCATTAAAACTGTGCGAAAATTTTTAAATTTAAATAAATTACTTAAATCAGACTTCAAAAAAATTCTAAAAATGGTACTTTATTGATTTATAAAATAAAATATTTATAAATTTCTAATCTATATACCAATATAAATTTAATTGTCATTAATTTAATAAATTTTGTTCGATTCTAGAATCCGAGGATTTTGATATTGGACGAGGCAACAAGTGCCTTAGATGCGGAAAGTGAACATTTGGTGCAAGAAGCATTAGAGCGAGCATCTCGGGGTAGAACAGTATTGACGATAGCGCACAGGCTCAGTACAATAAAAAATGCTGACCAGATAGCCGTCTTAGATCAAGGTCGAATTATTGAAACTGGAACGTACAACGAACTGATAGCACTTGAGGAAGGATTTTTCAAAAAATTGATCAAGCATCAGACGTTCAGTTAGTTTTAGCATCATTCACACACATTTGTCTGGGAGGCTCGCGAGCAGATAACGTTGACTACTGAATAATCTGTGTTGTATAAAACTGGACTTTGCCCTCTGACGCACAACCGGTCCGCCTACGTTTGCATTTTTCTTTTTTTTTTTTTTTTTTTTTGCAAACAGAAAGTATTTGAGAAAAATCAAAATGTGAACCTCTGCTCGAAAGGCGGAGCCTTGTAATAATTTAATTGCAATGTCCATTGGTATTTAAAATTAAAGCAAAAAATAAGTTTGGCGCCTAACGATGAAGGGGGGAGAATCTCTCGTAAAAGTCAGTGACATCGACTACTTATGAACTTTCCCCCTCTAGCAGCATACAAAGTGATTCTCAAATCGAGGAGCGTTAAACTTGTTTTATTTGCATTTATCTCGAAAAACCGTTTGAAAAACCGGCTTTTGAGAAATTAAAACTGAATTTTATTTTTTAAATCAAAGGGTAAAATCGATAATTTATATAAAAATCGAGATAAAAAATTGTCATCTCATACTTTCTCTCATCCCTCTTTTACTTTTTTTTTCCTCCCTCTCTTTCTTTCGCTTTATTCTTTCTGGATCTCCTTTTGAAAATCTCATTCTACGAGCGGGAAATCGAGTTTTACGCTAAACTTTGGACTTTGATTGAGATTATTACGCGAGTTAAGATCTTTCTGATAATACTGAAGCCCGGTGCGTGCAATTTGTTATTTCTCACACAAGTATTTAATGTTGATTAGTACATGTGTGCATGTTTATGAGATACTACGAGTTGCAGCGCTTCACCAGTGTGTTCGAATTCGTTGAGGAATACAGACGCAAATTTATAATTGTATATACGTGTAAGTCTACTGTGTGATAGTTATTATTATTATTATTATTTTTTTTTTTTTTGGAAGAGGTATAATAAAACATTTATCTACATAAACTTTTCATTTATTCTGTGTACTTAATAAGTGAGTGAAAAGTTATCTCTTTTTTTTTTCTTTGAATTCTTTTGCTTTTTGTTTATATTATTTTTGTTATTTTACATTTATTTCAAAAAAAAAATCGGGCTATGTCTTTACTTCGTACAATTGTCACGCGTAATGTTAAATTGACCAATCAATTTAAAAAACAATGCTTGAAGAAATATAGTTCGGCAGTCTTGAAAAGCCCGCTTGGACAAATCCAAATTCCGGATCAATCTTTCACTGATTTTGTTTTCTCCAATTCCACGGCATGGGAAAATAAACCTTCCCTGGTAATGAAATTTATTATTTTCTTTTATTTCTTCTATTTTGCTTCTAATTTTCTATTCTTGAACTCTATAATTTTCTTTTCTAACATTTCAATTTCTCCTTCTTTAATAAATTTATTTTTCTGTTAATTTTATTTTTGAACTTAATTTTTAAATTTTATTTTATATATTTAATTTTGTTAATTCTAATATAAAATTTTAAGTTTTTCATTTTTCAAACACGTTGCTTCCGTTCCAAAATGAAAGTGAATTTCAAAGGATTTGAAATTCCATTGGTTCCAAAGTTCAAAGGCACATTCAATATTATGACGTTTGTGATAATAAATAACATTAAATTCATATGTGAATGTCGTTACAAATTTGTATCATGAAAATTCAATTGAAAGTAAATTAAACATCATTTAAATAATAATGCCGTTTTGTTTAGAATCGTAAATTGAAATTCAATAAGAAATAAGAAATTTATTAAGATTGTTTATATCAATTATTGAGAATAAAATCGATAAAAATATCTAAAAGTAAATGTTTACAGTAGAATAAAAAAAAAATTTTTTTTAATACTAGAGAATTTAATGTAAATAATTAATCTAATAATAATTTTTAATTTAGAAATTACATAAATTGTTATTTTTTTGTGTTTTATTTATTTAAATTCTTTTTTTAATAAATAATTTAATACAAATAATAAAATAAATATTATTTTTTAATTTAATAGATTAAATTAATTAATTTTGTAATTTAATAATTTTACTTTTCAAATTGATTTTTTATGCCTTATTTGATTTGTAATAATTTTTCCCCATTATATTATTAAATAAATAATAAATTAGACATTTCATCAGTATTTTCTTTTAAATGGTAATTTAATTACCGCTAAATTGTAATTTAATTTTTATTTCCTAAATTAATTTTAATTTAATTTAATTTTAATTTGCCAATGAATTATTTAATTATTATTAAGTCGCTACTGATGACAAATAAATTTTCTATGGAAATACCAAAAAACAACCTAAATTTGCATATAGGTAAATTTATCATTTCCTCCAAATTAAAGTTATAAAATGTGAAATACAAAATTTATTCAAGTTTTAATTAATATTTTATTTACGTTGCATTTAATAGTAATTTTTAAAAATAACATCAATTTTTTGAAGTTAAAAAAATAAATTACACTTTAATAAGCAAAAATTTCTTAATTATAAATAAAAAATTTAAACAACTTTCATTGAGGAACTCATTTTGAATTATTACATAATTTTAATCTCGCATTCCATATAATGATAAAAATAATTATTAATTTTTGACCTGGGATCGAAAAGATTTTTGCGATTATAAATTTTATGATAATGTGAGGATGTAAAATGAAATTTTTGTTATCTAGACATGTGGTCTCACCGGAAGAACATACACGTATAATTTAGCGAAAAAGCTAAATTTTCTAACAGCTCAAGCACTTTTGGAAAAAGTTGGATTGAAACAAGGTGATAAAATTGGATTACTTTTGCCAAACATACCCGAGTATTTAATAGCCGTTCATGGAAGTTTAAAAGCAGGATTAATTGTCACATTTGCCAATCCATTATACACAGCTGAAGAAGTTGCAAGACAATTTAAAAATGCTGGTGTCCGATGTATTATGACAGTACCTCAACTTCTTGAAACAGCCCTTAATGTTGCCAAGGAATTGAATAATTATACATATACTATTAATATTGGCGGAGGCAACCAAGATGATAAAAAGTAAGTGAATATTTTCTTCTGTCTCTAGAAAGAGAAAAAGATAAGATTTATAATTAAAGGCATTAATTATCAATTATTTCGACATTACAATTCTCGTCTTCTTGATTAATTATCGTGAATCATTTTTATGCATTTCTCTTATCAACACTTTTTGCATACTTGTCTCAGTCGCAGTGATTACATAAAATCTGTCTACTGATTTTTACAATGTAAATTGGATTTTCCCTAAGGTCATTTCTGATTACAAAAAGAAAAGCGGAATTTCAAAGCAATTTTTCAAAAACAGAATTTGCATATAACCTTTTGACAAATAAATTTTCCCCCAGACAATAGTGAAATAAAATTAGTTTTAGAATTTGTAATTTTTAAATTACAAATTCAAGGTAAAATGAAATTTTAATCATTTCTTTTTTCAGAGTTTTGGGTTTGGAAACTATTCTCAAAGAAAAATACAGCGTCAAATTGCCCGAAATAAATAATAATGATGTTGCAGTTTTGCCATACAGTTCAGGAACAACTGGTTTGCCAAAAGGTGTAATGCTTACGCATAAAAATTTAATTTCCAATCTTTTGCAATGCAATAATCCAGCATGTGTAAATAACATTCCAACAACTGAAACAACACAGGAAGTAACATTATCAGTTTTGCCATTTTTCCATATTTATGGATTCAATGGAATATTGAATTTTCTTTGTTATCTTGGTGGACACGTTGTCACATTGCCAAGATTCACCGTCGAGGATTATGTCAAATGTTTAGAAAAATATCGTCCAGATTCCATTTTTGTTGTTCCGTCGTTATTATTATTTTTAATAACTCATCCAGAAGTAACGCGTGATCATTTATCATCAATAACAAAAGTGATTTGCGGCGCTGCTCCTGCAACTAAAAGTCTTCTTGATAAATTCAAAGAGAAAATTGGCCGAGACAATTGTTTATTGTCTCAAGGTATTTCTTTTTAATTAATTAATTAATTATATTATTAAATTAAATTTTGAAAATAAAAATTTTTTTTTGTAGGCTACGGAATGACAGAAACGAGTCCAGCGACAATTTATACTCCAAAAACAATGCCAGAATCGAAAACAGGAAGTTGTGGACAGCTTCTTCCATCAACGGAAGCTAGATTAATAGATCTTTTCTCTGGAAAAGACATAGTTACACCAGAAACACCGGGCGAATTACTTGTTAGAGGACCACAAGTTATGAAAGGATATTTAAATGATTCTGCATCAACAAAAGATATTTTGGATTCTGATGGTTGGCTTCATACGGGCGATGTTGTTTATTTTGACAAAGATGAATATTTTTATGTTGTTGATCGCACGAAGGAACTTATCAAAGTTAAAGGAAATCAGGTATGTAAAACAGTTATCTATAATTAAAGTAACAAAACAAAAATCAATAAATTATTCATTGATTTTGTTTTGGAATTATTAGTTTGCATTTAAATTAAAATAACTAATCATTAAATTTAGCTGGCTGTGAAAGTAAATTTTTTCATTTTTTAAAAATCGATTTAGGTAACAAATTGAAAAAGGTAAGATTTTATTTTGTTATTTCTTAAAGTTCAAAGTTTTCGATTAATACTATTATTAATTATTATTTTACGATAATGGTTTAATTTGAAACATCAAATTGAAAGATAAAGCTGAATCATTGTACGCGATAAACGTCGGTTCGTTCCGAGGCAGATATAATTTTTTTTTTTTTTGTAATTAGTTGAATTTTAATTGAATGAGGAATAATGATTAACACGATTATTGTAGATTAAAATTCAAAAAAAAAAAAAAAAATTGGTATCATTTCCATGACTTTCATATTTATGAAAATTTTTATTTTTCAAATTATGCACATTTAAAAATTGACCTTTTAAATTAATTAACAAATATAATTACAATAAATTAAAAGATTAAAAAAATTTTATTAACAAAACTGAGTAGTAAAAATAATTTTGAAAATTTAATTTTTTTTTATCAATTTCTCAAGATTATCAATGTTAAGATTATTTTTCATGTCCTCGTTATGTTTCTTAATTAAATCGATAAATCGTTTCAAGAAAATGCTTTTAGAATGAGGAATTTTATATCTATTAAAGTAGATCAAACTAATTAGAGTTAAATTTAATCAATAATATTATTATTTCAAATGTGGAATAAATTAAATCATTTCCAAGACAATTCGAGGATTTTTTTTTTTTTTGGTAATGACAAGATTTTCTATTGTTAATTATCTTTGTGTATTTTACTATAAAATAATATACACAGTGACCTTAAATAATTAATATAATTACTGGTTTACAATCTCCGTTAATTTTTAAATTAAATGTCTCACCTCTTAATCTTTATTCTTCACTTGGTAGATCTGCGTCTTAACTTGTAAATTAAATACAATTTGTTTTTTACGTATAGATAAAAGCTTAACATGTGTGAAAAAGTGTGCTTTTCTGGCATCACAAATTTATGAAAATAATTACATATTATTCCAATTTTACTAACAAAAGACAATTAAATTTAAAAAAAAAATATATTTATATATAATTGACACTACCGCGCCTCTTTGAGAAAGAGAAAAAAAAAATTCAGACACAAAAAAAAATAAACACAAAACAGAGAATACAATTATTCTTCTTTACGTTAATTTAAATGCTCTATTTTCATCCTATCACAAATTTTCTGAAACATTTAACTTTGAAAAGGTAATAGTTTACATATTTGTTATCTTTAGTTCGCAAGATTCTTTTATATATATATATATATTTATATATAAATTTTATTTATGCGTCTAAATGTTGATATTTGAATATTTACAAAATGAGTACATACATTTTTCCGTATTTCCTTCGGGTTAAAGATCAATCAACATTGATTTGATAACAATTTGAAAATACTGAAGACATTACAAATTATCTTACAAAAATCCAATACATACAAAGTTGTATTAAAAAAAAAAAAACAAAAACAAAAAACGAAAATTGTTCAATCATTAAGAAAAAAAAGAACATTTTTCTTATGTTAGCAATTTTCAGCGGTAATTAAACTCTTTACCTCTTTTAAGTTTTCTAAAAACAATTTTAATTTCTAATTTGCAAAAAAAAAAATAAAAAAAAAAAAAAATACTAATTAAATTGACATTAAACGCACACTGCTTTCTTATTATTTTGTCTGCTAATTAAGCTCTCGTTTTATTTCTTTGGACAGTTTTATTAATTTTGATATGTTAAAAATAAATTTACAAAGAACAGTAAAGTGCACTTGTTACACAATGCTTTTAAGAAAGTCAATATTTCACTACAAATTTTTTTTTTCAATTACAAACATAATTTTAATGCATTATTATTCTACATGTTGACAAATGAGGTTCAATTTTGAAGGAATGTGAAATGAATTTAAATTTTTGATGCAAAAAAAAAAAAAAAAAAAGAAACCTTAATGTCCAAGTCAGCACGGTAATGATAAACGTAAAAATGAAAGATGTAAATTTTTAATTACCTAGTCAATCTTATATTTCGGAACAGGCAGTGATCTTGATTTTGAAACAATTTGAAGTGTTTCTACATTATCTTCTTGGTAAAATTAAATATTTCTCAGTTTGTCAATTATGGATCATAGAAAACGAACTGGGTTATAAATATTTTTCCCTTTGTTTTGAAAGTTGATTACAATTATAGTTTTTGATCCCTGTATTTACTTTTTACAAGAAAACGTCTAGAAATCGCAAAGAAGAATCACAATTTCTAGCAGTCGTTTGCGCATATTTTTTCTGAAACCTGATAATTTTTCTCATTGTTCCCATAACCGAAATTGAAGAATTTATTAACTTGCAACTTGATGCGTTTCCTCCTCCATTGGTTCATCTTGTAAATTAGTCGTTGCTGTTCCCTCTCCGTCTACTTCCATTGATTCTTCGGATTTTGTCACTTTTTCAGGAATAGTCTCAGCAATTGATGATTCAGGAACTTCTTTTTTCTCATCTGAAATTGAGACGTCAGTCTTTGTTTCTTCGCATGGAACATTTTCTTCTTCTTCTTCTTTTTTCTCAGATGCAATGATATTATCATTATTTTCTAAATTTTCGATAATAGTTGGCTCATTCTTTGGCAAATCCTCAGTTTCAGTTGGCATTGTTTTTGAATCGATTTCTTCAATCGACGTTTCATTGTCACTGCTTTTAACGACAAATTCTTCTTCTTTGGGTTCTTCGACAATTGGAATAGGATCAGGTACAATGGATTTTGTTTCCGATGAATCGTCTTCCGTTGTTTCTTCAATTGTCAAACTGCTGTTTTCCGAATTTTGTGAATCATCATTTGAATCGCATTTCTCGGAAGTTGACTCATCAATTTTCTCTTCTTCATTAATAATTTCGGATTTCTCTTTATTTGGAGTTTCATCATTTGTCTTATCTTCTGTTTCTGTTACTGGATTTGTTGATTCTTCTTTTGTTTCTGCAATTGGTTCTGTTGGTTTTTCTTCTTCTTCTTCATCTTTTTCTTGAACAGGATCCGTATTCATGGAAACTTCTTCATTCTCAACTTCTTTAGAAATTTCTTCCGCTTTATCCTTCGGAATATTGTCTTCTGAAAATGACTCTGAAGAATTGCTATTTGAAGATTGTTCCTGACACGTCGAATTTTCCGGTACAAGATCCTTATCTTCTTTTGAAGAAGTGTTTTCCTCAATTTCAGACGCGGATTTTTGATTTGATGTTCCTTCCGATGTTATCACTGAATTTTCTAATCTTGTGTGCAGGAAATTTTCTATATTTGGAAGAACTGATCCTCGCTCGTTAATATCTGATTTTGCACATGCATCCAATGATTCAGAACTACTTTCAACAGATGGAATTTCGTTGGCCGCTTCTAAATCGGAATCAGTTTGTACCGCAACTTTGGTGTCCTCGTAAGGCTCTGGAGATTTTTCATGAGTAATGAAATCTTTTGCCTGAAAATTAATTATTTTCTTTAGTCAACATTCGCTATTGTTTCAAAAAATATAAAATGTAATTTAATAAAAAAAATTTTAATTATAAATATAAAATAAATAAATAAAAAAAAAAAAAAAACAAGAAAAGTTAAATAAAATCATTCATTAAATGAAAAAAATTAGAAATCTTTTTTAATTTTCAACATTATTTCTTTTAATATTTAAATTAAAAGAATTTAAAAAATTTATGTAAAATATAGCAAAAAGAAAATTTTATTTTTAAAAAGATTTTCGACCTTGAAGTAGGTAAATTACTTTTTTTTGTAAATAATACAAGTTGTTGATTTTGTTTGTTTACCTGTAATTTTTGTTTTAATTAAACTTTTAAATTCCAAATTAATATTATCTGTATTTTAAAAGAGTTTCATTAAAATTATTGAAAATAATTAATTTAGAGAAGAATTTTAGCTAAAAATTTGTTAAATATTAAAAAAAATATATATAAATAAATATAAAATATAATCCGAGACCTGAAAACATTTTTTAAGATAACAAATTTGATAATTTTCCGTTTTAAAAAATAATTTGTTTTCTAATCGTTAATCATAAACATTGTGGACTTCAGCACGATTGAAAATCTATTTCAATTAAAAAAAAAATATTTCTTTAAATATTTAAATTGCAAGAATTTAAAAAATGGTTTATGTAAAATATAGCAAAAAAAATTTCTTACTCAAGGTTTCGACTTTGAAGTAGAATTACTTTTTTTTGTAAACAATACAAGTTAATTTTGTTTATTTACCTGTAATTTTTGTTTAAATTAAATATTTACATTCCGAATTAATAGTACTAAAACAATTAATTAATAGTATTGAAAACAAACTAAAAAAAATTCTGAAATAGACTAATTCAGTAAAGCAAAAATATTAAAAACAAAAGGAAGTTTTCTATAAAATTTTGAGGTTAGATTATTTCAAAAAAGTTTAGTTTCGTAAGTAAATTCTAACTGAAATTAATAATTATTTAAAAATGAGAAAAAAAATCTTGTACATAAATAAAAAAAACGCACCTGAAAGGTCGTTTGGAGTTTTCGATTAGGATCAGCAGGTTCGCTTTCAGGACTATCGATATCCAAACTTGGTTGTGAGCTGGTGTCTTCATTCATAATTGCGTCAGGAACCTCCCTGGCGATGCTTGGTGTCTCATGTACAACCGATGTACCCAAACCTTGTGTACCAAGTCCAATTGAATCCCTGCTCTCGAGACCGTGACCCGAAAATTCTGACGTTGATGGTACAAAGTTTAAGCCAGATTCGCAGGTATTAATTGTTGAATGATCAGCCTTTTCTTGTGAAAGAAGATTTCCTCCATTGGCTACAGGCGAAGTTTTAGGAAAATTGGTTGTAACATCGTCCAACAATCGTGTTTCGGCATCCATAGTTTGTGCCGACATTCCAACTGTCGAAGTGGCACAATCTTTAACCCAGGAATCCATTTCAACGTCGTGTGACTCACCACCTGGTGCATCGTCTTCCATGGAACCGTTAACCATACCATCACCATTTTCATTTCTTCTTATTGTCGAACCTGGTTCCCTTGCCGAAATAACTAGAATATTTTTTTCAATAGCGCGCATAAATTTGTCCACTCGATTATATTCTTTTCGCGATGTGGTTAGAAGTTCACAAATTCGTTGAACAGTAAATGGTGCATTTATAAATGAATCGAGTCGTTCCAGGAGGCTGCTTTTCATTGTGTCATAATTAAATGTTTCAACGTTTGGGCATGGTGCCAAATCAAGACTTGGACAGCTTTCGTAGAAATCAGTCATAACTCGAGTGAGTTTTTCGCGAAAAAGAACCTTGACCAATGACCATTGATAAACGGGGTCGCCGGTCTTTGCAACCCAACAGAGATATTCCTCGAGTTCCCGCGGGATCTCTGTTGGTCGCATTTTCTGAAACTCATCGAGTGCTTGCAACACTTCCTCGGGATTTTCCATAATTACGGTGTTCTTTTGGCGCTCAGCCCGACACAAAATGAGGCAGTTCTCGACGCGCACCTTTTACGAGAACACCAGGATTGAGTTTACAACACCACGACAAAAATATTGTTTAACACCGGGAGACTAACAACCTAAACCAGACAGACAGACAGACACACTAAACATGGCCTAAACAGCCGTCGCTACAGGGGAGTGAAGGGGGATTAACAAGTGCTGCCAACCTTCCAACTTTGAAACTAATCTTCGCTCATTGGCTGAACAAAAGACGCGGGAATTTATTTGTCATTTTAAATTGTATTGAAGTTTCTTTTCAGTTTGAATTTGTTATCTAAAATAGATAAAAAAATTTTGATTTCTAGATTAGGCAATATTATGCAATTCGATTTTTTTTTCTATTTTGTGTTTAATTAATAATTATAAAAATATGAAAAAATATTTTTAAATTGTAATTAAATAGAAATTTTTATTTTTACAGGTATCTCCGACAGAATTGGAATCAATTATTTTAGAAATACCAGGTGTTGCAGATGTGGCCGTTGTTGGTATACCGGATAATTTTGCCGGTGAAGTGCCAAAAGCTTTTGTTGTTAAAAAACCGAACGCTGACTTGAGCGCAGAAATAATACAAAATTTCTTAACACCTAAGGTAATAATTAAATAAAAAATTTTAAATGTTAAAATATGAATTTGCTAAAAAAATTTTTTTTTTTTGCAAAAATTACAGGTAGCGACGTACAAAAAATTAGTGGGAGGCGTTTCCTTTATTGATGCAATTCCCAGGAATCCTGCAGGGAAAATAATACGCAACCAATTAAAAGCTTTAAGCAATTAAGTAATAATCATTAATTGTCAAATCCATTTTTCATTTATATATCATCCCAATCCAAAATAGAGCTACTTTCATTTTTAATTGGTACTGTTAAATGTATTATAATAAAATTGATTTTTTTTTATATTCCATATATTCTGTACTTAATATTATAATTAAATAAAATATATAACATACAATAATAATTATAAGGCTAAATAATAAAATATAATTTAGTAATTACTGGTTTTTTTGTTTTTTACACAAAAATTTTAAAATACCTTTTTTGTTGAATAATTTTTAATTTATGCTTTTTAACTAAAAAAAATTGTTGCCACAGTGTAAAAATGTTTATGAAAATAAAATAAGAATTAAAAACAAATCAATTGTAGAGATTCATTGCAATATATTTTTTTAAATTCTGAACTTTGATTGGACATTTAGCGAGAGCACATAACATTTACATATAGAAACAGTTAAAACGTTAGAATAAGTTTTTCTTTATAATTATATTATGTATATTTATAATATATACTTTCACTTAAATAACCACACTTTAAGTAATACGCAACCAATGCAATATTGTACATTCGAAAGACGCAGAGAACCGAGATGTTTTTCAGTCTTTTGCACGAAACATGGCAAGACGTAGATATCTAGACGCATAATTCTTACAACTAGTTCTCTTTTTTTTTTTTTTAAAAAAAAAAAAAAAAACTTGGATCGACTCACAATAATTCTTGAGAAAAAAAAAATCATTGTGCCTCTATTAATGTGATATTTGGCCTTGATCCGTTTCTTCCGAAGTTACAATGAAAATATATTAAATATATTAAATTTAAATACATTGGTGGGCAATAAAAATAAAAACAACAACAAATAAATAGAAAATGAAAAGAAAAAAATGCAGGGACATAGAAAAATGTTCCTGACAAAATTTTTTTTTCAATTACTCTCGCAAGATATAAAATAACAAATTTGCTTTTTTCTAGCTACAAGTTAAGAGTTAATAAATCTTCGCGAAACAGAAATTTCATGATATGCCATCCAAGAACTATAGTTCCTATTTGAAAAAAGAGGAGGTGTCCTATATTATGCGAAGAATTTGACAAGGCGAACACTCCATTATATATTGCACACGTTTTGCATTTGCATCAACGTCCATTTTTTTTTTTTTTTTTAAGCATTAATAGTTTTTGTTTTGTTTTGAATTCGAGTGTATTAGTGGAATTAGCGAGTCATACATTTAAAAACCCTTTCCCAGGCACATGCTAATGCAAAAAACTTGCATTTTGCGCGTATTTCAAAGACAGTTCTGTTACTTATAAGTCGCTTTACGTATTCTTAAATAACTTACGGAATTATAAAAAGTTTCAAACTGATTCTATGCTCGTATATATGTATGTAATGTATTATATCGAGATGTATGTATAAATCACTGATCATTTGGTGGGATAATGAGTAAATTGCGAAGAGGTAAAGATAATAATCCAGATGGATTTACAATATATACGTTGAAGCTGTAAAATTGAATAAGATTGTCTAACTCGAAACAATGGCGGATTTTAGGGAGAAGTTTCTCTAAACGAACAAAACAAAAAATAAAAATTATTAATGGCAAAATAAAAGAAAAAAAGCCAGAAAAAAAACAATTTTATCTTCTCCCTTACTATATAATGCCTGTTTAAAAAATTTATTTCTTTGTTAATTGAGAGAGAAAAAAAATCTTGATCCGCCCTTGATTCGAAAGAAGGAGAAAAAGTTATAAATAGAGTAACAATTGTACTATCGAAGAACTTAACCAGTATTACTGGTTAAAAAAGATTATAAATTAGTACTATCGAGAACTTAAGCAATTCTATGTGCTATGGTACAAATCAATTGATATCGATGATTAACGTCTGAACGGGGATCATTTTAATTCACCCTAGTACGAGACAGATCTTTATTTTTACTTATAAACTATCCGATAAAGCTATGATTAGTAATGAATTCATGAAATTGAAATTACATTACCGTTTAGCATCGTTTAAAGTTTTTACATGTCGAATAGAGTTTGATTACTTAAACGTCAACCACCATTTTCTTATGAATATCCGTGTTGCCGACAACCTGAAAGGAATTTTTTTTTAATTAGCTATTATTAAATCAGGTCCCTGAAATTCTAAACTAATGAACAAAATTTTTTTAGAATTATTTTTTCAATTTTGCTATAAAAAATTTAAGCCTCGGATCAACTTTAAGGCGCAAAATTTGGTTTAGTTGATTTACATTAAAAAAAGATTTAAAAAGTCGAAAAAGTATAATCCGAGGCCTGAAAATTGCTTTACACATTAATTATAAATAAAATTTTAATTTAATAAATTAAAAGAAGGAAAAATTTCATTCATTTCAAAGTTTAAAACAAGGGACATTTAAAAAATTATAAGTTTACCTACAATGACGTGTTCAGTGCAGTTTCTGTTCACTTTTATTTGTAAAACAGTTGTTCTAAATTATAATTTTATAAAATAATTTATATTTTACAAAATTATATAAAAATGACTGTTAGAAATTAATTAAACTAGTCGCTATTTTTTAATTCACATCATTGTTAATTTAAAATAAATAATTAATTTACCTGAGAATTGATAATTATAATATACTATCTACTATAAATAACTTAATGAAAATCTGTGTTAATTTTACATAATTTTGAAAGTCAAATTTAAAATTCTAAAAAATTACATTAAAATTCATTATTTTAAATTAATAAAAAACAAATATTTCTCATATTAAAATGTAAAAATTATTATATAATTTGAATCTGTTTTTAGAGTCAGTAAAATGTATAAATGTTTCGAATATATTTATTAAAATTTCTTATGAAACTTTTTTCATGAATGTTCAATAACTTTAATGAATCTTAAAATTAACAATTTTTACTAATATAACTTCTGTTAAAAAAACATAAATTGAAGTTTAATTTAATATTGTTGACTAATAAATAAAATAAAAAAAAGAACAATATGAAATATTTTCATACTCACTGAACAAAATTCTTCAAAACTAATTTTTCCATCCTCATCTTTGTCTGCAAATAATATTGTTTTGTCGACAATTTGCTGCAATTGTGTATCCTTTAAATTATTTCCTACCATCATTTTTAATACTTGAAACAATTCGCCATTACTAATGAATCCATCATTATCCATGTCATAAATTCTAAATGCAAATCTTAATTTACTTTCTTTATCACCCTGTAAAAAAAGGAAATATAGAAAATTTAAAATAATATTGAATTTAGATCAAGATTATCGACCTAAAAAGATATAAATTAAAAACAATAAATTACTTTTCATTCAAATGTTTACTTATTCAACAAAAAACTAACACAACAATGAATTTATTGTCTCGCAAATCTTTGTTGACACAGAATAAATATTTGATATTTCAACAAAAGCAACGTTCGATAAGGAGTGAATTATTTACTTTTTAAAATAAGTAACTACATTTGAATATTATAATTTTTGTTATGCAAGAAAATTCTAATTTCTTGTTTTGTAGAAAAATTGTAAATAAATTATTTTTGTTTATCAATTTTTATTAATTATAAATAATAATTACTAACCTTTACACTAAATTGTGAAACACCACGAATAAACTCTTTAAAATCTACTTCTCCATTGCCATCTGCATCAAATATATCTATGACACGTTGCACCAAAGGATTTTGTTGCAATTCTGGTAGAGACATAAATTCTTCGGTACTGAGAGCACCACTGTTGTCAAGATCTAATTTTCGAAATCGTTTGCCCAATCTTTTGATTTCATCGGCATCGACTATAATGATAAATATTTTTTTTTAATTTTCTCAAATTTAATATAAAAAAAAAAAATTGAATCTTGAATAAATTTCAAGAAAAATTTAATTAATCATATTATCTTACATTTCCCAAATTTTAACTGTCTAATAATGATAATTTTCCATTAACATATGTTTTTATTTGAACCTTAACTTTATCTATTAATAAATCTGTTGAAATCTATTTTATACCAAAATTCAGAAAAATTAATTCTCACATTATGAAAAGAAATAAAAAATTATTTCAATAAATTTCTAATTTATTAAGTTAATATTAATTTAAGATTGTTGACGAAACGTAACAGCAAAACATGAACACCAATAAATTGTCTCTTAACAATGGAAGAATTACGACGTGTCATGTTGAATAAATGAATGTATTAACACTACTAATAACTTCTCAGGAATAGAGTCTCCTACAACAATAATTTCTAAATATAAATACCCTAAGAAATCCTATTTAGAAAATAGTAATAAGGCTATTCAACATACATATTTGGAAATCAATACTTGCGAGAAAAAATATAATCAAAATAGATTTCTACCTAAATACTATGCCACTGTTTATAGATTTTAATGGGTAAAATTTTTCAGGTCAAGTAAATAGATCGAGTTTTCTTTTTTGAAAAAAATGTCATATATAAATATCACGAATAGGTTATTTATGTTTTGAGTTTGAATAAATTAACAAATAAAAACTTACAGTTTGAGCATAACTCCATGGGTAGAGAGCTTTCGTTACCCTGAAAATAAAATAAATTACCGATATTATAGACATGAATAGTAAAAGGAAAAGTTTTTTTTTTTTTTCATCAAAACAGAAACAAACTACGAATTGTTTTCATTCCATACAGGGCATTAGAAATAGTTATTTTTGTATGAACATGAAGTATAAAGAATCATTAATCATTAGAATTAACGTTGAATAATATACTTATTTACCATGTTTAAATAGATTTCACCGTTCCTGCGAGAAATTCGAGGATAATGTCAAAATCTAAGATCAAAATTGATCAGCAGGTATCTTATGGCAGACTGCCAAAGCGCTTGCGTTCTAATAAATGGCAAATCTACCATTTAATTGGAGTAAATTTTGGACACAATACCAAAAGAATTAACATTGAGATCAAAAGAAAAACCAATCGTATCTTGTTTTCATGTATTCTGATTGGTTATACTCAAAAAACTAATTGCTTCATCAAAAACTGTATCAAAATTAATAAATAATAATAAACTATCTTGTTGATTTTCTTATTTTGACTCTAAATTTATTCAATTGTAAAAATATGAAATTTTTTTTCAAGAATTTAAATTTATTTTAAGAATAATTGAAAATATATTTTCGAATTATTGTGTAATGCGCAGAAGCAAAAGAGAGAGAGCGTTGTGCGCACCTTTTACATCCTTGTCTTGCGCACATGTTCTTGTCCAGAAAACAAGGATAGATGTGTCGGATTTCGGAGGTTTCACCATGTGTAAAGCCCTTTCTACAATAGCATGGATGACGTTGCGATTCCAAGATCATTGTAGAAAATTTAAAGGTCGATAGTTTGTTGCTCAGCTGTTTTGATGAATCGTCGATCCACTGGCTTGACGTTGACAGACAGAGTTTCCGTGATTTTTCAGAGCTTGCTATCTTCCCGTCAAAACCAAGGCAGATGTGGAGTGACTGCCCAAATTTCTGACATATCTGTGCCACAATTTTCTAACGGAGCTTTTTATATATTTTCTAAAGTTAGAGACTTTTAGAAAAGAAAGCAAATTATCAAACTTGGCATCGTTACTCAAGAAATAACAACTATGAATGAATTAACTCAAGAGGAAGTAAGTATCGAGTTCATGACTTTAATTTTCATTCTGCTGCGTGCTCATTTATTCTATTTCACTAATGATTATGAATTCTAACTTTCTCTTTTAATCTTGTTAACAATACCACTTTCGTAAGACTATTTTAACCCTTATCTTTTATGAATACTCAGGAACATATAAAAATTAAAATATAATTAGAAACCACTATAAATTTTGCATTTTCGTTTTCTTTGTTTGCCTCGTTCTTTTGCGTGAAAAAAATATTACTATTTGTAATTTTCTACACAAAAAAATTATATAACTAATTAAATTCCAATTATAAATTATATTTATTATCCTTGTATTTTGTATTTTCATCAAAAAGAAGTAAAAAAAAGTTTTGTTTTTTAAATGCATTTTATAGTCATTTGAATTTTTTAACAGAATAATCCAAAAATAATATTATTAATCAAGTTCGTTTGAAGCAATTCTTTAAACTTTTTTTTTTTTAATAGACTAGAGGAAAGAAATTTTTTTATTTGTCTGAATTGAGTTATAGTCTGTCAAAAGTAAAGTAAAAATCAATGAGTTGAAGGTTAAATACGATCGATTCGACTGCATAATATTTCTCCGAAAATTGAAGAAAAATACATTTTTTTTATAATGAGTTGAAAATTACAAAATTGAAAGTTTAAAATTTTCTTATAATTTCAAGCTTATTTTTCACTTACAAAGTAACCATCAGGCTGGAACAAAAAGTCACTAATATAACTTTCTTTGTTTCAACAGTTTGCCAACTTATTTTTGTAACATCGTATATTTTAATTTTACACATGCTCTCTTCTTTAATTATTAGTATAATGCTCTTTTGTGTATTTAACAAAAATTAATATTAGGGTTTTATTATTTATCTCCAATTTGAATTAAATTTCTATAAATTAAAATTTTATTTTTACAAAATCATTTGAATTTGTGTACTTTTTTAATGATTATTTTTTTTTATTTTAGATAAGACGAAGAAGGTTAGCTCGCTTAGCGGGTTTAGGATCAAGCAATGCTTCACCGAGTACAAACAGTAGTTCTGTACCCACTTCTCCTGATACACCAGGACCTTCAAATATTTCACCAAATTCAACTGCACCACTTCTACCACAACAGCAACAAGTGACAATGGATGTTGAGGAAAACAGTGAAAAACAGTGCAGTACATCCGGTATTGATGTTGATTCAGGAATTGAAAATATGGAAGTTGAAGAATCTGATAGGAAAGAAGCAACACCCAGATCACGAGTAGGTTTATTTATTATTTATCAGTTCAATTTGTTCTGGTTAATTAAAATTTTGTAAAATTCCAAATAAATTATCCTGATAATATTCTTATAGAATTATTCTTATTAAGGAGTTAATAAATTAATAAAATTGAATTTTTAATATAAGAAATAAATTTTTGAATTTCAGACTACTAGTTCCAGTATCGAAGTAACTCTGGATCAAGTTCATGCTGTAATATCGCGAGTGCTTTGCGTCACTTGGAAAGAATCAACGGAGGGTTTTATATTTTTACCTGACACTGCAAAAACTGTTCAGGAACAAAAACAAATGGATTCCTCGGATATAATAAGTGAAGCATTAATGGAAGTTCTCTATATGTTTTCACGCGATGAAGATCCTTTGAAGGAAATCACAATGGACGTTTCACTTGACCTAGAGGATAGTCCCAATAGTCAAACGAGTCCTTTATTAAGTCCAATAATGACACTTCCCAACAGTCCTCTTCCTCTGATCTTCAGCGAAAAATCGGTACCAAAAAGTCTTACTTATTTACTAGATTGCTATACTCGAGTTGCAATTGAAGAGAGAAATCATCCAAAAAGATCGAGCAGTCCACCTCTTTCGGAAGTATTAGCCATTCTTCGTGCACAGTGTATTCAACATACAAATCTTGTTCTCCAAGGACTAGTTGGTCTCTCACTTAATACAACTCCATCTTCAAATTCCTCGATTATGATTTATCCTCTTCTATCACAAAAATTACCACGTGGTTTTCTTCATGAACTCGTTGCAAGAACGCACACACAATCGCAAACATTTAATAAAATATTCACACCTCTTCTTCAAGCCCTTTATTTAGCGATGCAACAGGGTAGTTTAGTTGGGAATACACATCGTCGACCCATCGAGGCTTTAGAGGAATTAATTGATATTCGCGTTGGAACAAATGGTACCGCACGACCCATATGTCGACTTTTAACACAGCAAATACAATTTCTTCCTGATGTGATGACAAGCGCAGTTGGTAGAGAATTAGCGAGAACATCATTTCTTGGACCATTCTTTTCAGTTTCAGTATTTGCCGAAGATCAGCCAAAAGTTGCTGAAAAATTCTTCAGTGGAAATCCATCGACTGACAAATCAATGAATTTAACACTTCAACAGGAATTGGAAAGTATTAGAACGTCATTACATAAAATTTTACATGCAATTTTGGCAAATGGTAATTGTCGTAAAACAACATTAGATTATCTCGCAGCATTATTAAAACACAATGAGAAACGAACACAAATTCAAGCAGAAGAATTTTCCCTCGCTGGCGATGGTTTTATGCTCAATTTATTGTCTGTTCTACAAATGCTCTCGGTGAAAATTAAATTGGATACAATTGATTCAATGTATCCATTTCATCCAAATAGTTTAGTTGACGTCAGTAATGAGACACGATTAAAATTGTCCTCGCAGGAAGTTGAGGATTGGCTTAAAGAAACGAGTAAGACACATAAATGGACAGAGGCGAAATTTCCCACTCAATGTTGGTTTTTGACTTTACATTGTCATCATATAGCTCTACTTCCGGTATTGCAAAAATATCAAAGGCGATTGAGAGCGCTTCGTGATTTACAAAAAATGTTGGATGAATTGCAATCGAGCGAAGCACAATGGAAAGATGGTCCTTTCGCTAGTCGCAATAAGGAATTTATAAAACGTTGGAAACAACAATTAAAACATCTTGGTAAATCTAAATCATGCGCCGATGCTGGATTAATTGATCCAGTTTTGCTTAGTCGTACACTTCATTTTTATGCATCTGTTGCTTCAATTTTATTGGGACTTTTGACACAAACTGATCCCAACAGCGCACTTCCTGAACTTCCACTTCCACAGGAGGTACCTAATGTTTTTACTGCTCTTCCCGAGTGGTATGTTGAAGATATCGCTGAATTTTTGCTTTTTACTCTGCAGTAAGTATTCTGAATATTCTATTTTATTTAATCCAAGTGCTTGAATTTTTTTTTTCAAACATGAAATTCATTGAAATATCAAAAACTTGAAAATAATTTGTTAGACTGGCAAAAAAATTGCAATCATTAAAAAAAACATTTTTCAAAATTTCTAATTTATTTTTAAAACGGAACAAAGAACTCAATTTTTTTACTATAAAATTATAATTCTTTTGGAACTCGAAAATTTTTCGATTATTTTTTCAATTTCTATTTTTTAATACTTTTTTTATCTCCTTAAATCTTTTTATTATTGAAAATTCTCGTTCGTAAAGCGATTTTTTTAAAATTATTCTTTTATTAAAGAATTAATTAATTTAATAATCAATACTAGTTAGTAATTGATTTTATGGAGCAGAATCAAATTACTTTCGTAATTTTACTTTTGCTTTCAAATGTAGTGACGAAATAAAATTAGATTTTCTAAAATATTAGAAAACTAGCAATATTAAACGCGCGCCAAATTGAGTATTTAATTGTTTGTTATAAAGAAATTAAAGATTAATATTATCAATAATAATTTAAATTTATTAGAATATTATTTCATATTAAATGATAATAATGAAAATTATTATTATATGTTATTAAATTATATATAAAATTGAATTATTTTCCAAATTTTCAATTTAAAATTCAATTATTTACCAAGTTTTCAATTTAAAATTAAATAAAATTCAAATATTACCCGAAATTTTAATTCAACATCAACTTAAATTAAATTATTATCCAAAATTTCAATTAAAATTCAATTATTTTCCAAAATTTCGAGTCAAAATTAATTATTATCAAAATTTTCAATCAAGAATCAACTAAAATTAATTATTATCAAAATTTTCAATCAACTAAGATTAAATTATTTTCAAAATTTTCAATTTAAAATTCAATTATTTGCCAAGTTTTCAATTTAAAATGAAATAAAATTCAATTATTTTTTAAAATTTTTATTCAAAATTAATTATCGAAATTTTCAATTAAAAATGAACTTAAATTAAATTATTATCGAAAATTTCAATTAAAATTCAATTATTACCCGAAATTTTAATCCAAAATCAACTTAAATTAAATTATTATCCAAAATTTCAATTAAAATTTTATTATTTTCCAAAATTTCGAGTCAAAATTAATTATTATCAAAATTTTCAATCAGCAATCAACTAAAATTAATTATTTTCAAATTTTCAATCAACAATCAACTAAAATTAAATTATTTTCAAATTTTCAATTTAAAATTCAATTATTTACCAAGTTTTCAATTTAAAATAAAATAAAATTCAATTATTTTTTAAAATTTCTATTCAAAATTAATTATCGAAATTTTCAATTAAAAATGAACTTAAATTAAATTATTATCCAAAATTTTAATTAAAATTTCGAGTCAAAATTAATTATTATCAAAATTTTCAATCAGCAATTAACTAAAATTAATTATTTTCAAATTTTCAATCAACAATCAACTAAAATTAAATTATTTTCAAATTTTCAATTTAAAATTCAATTATTTACCAAGTTTTCAATTTAAAATAAAATAAAATTCAATTATTTTTTAAAATTTCGATTCAAAATTAATTATCGAAACAATGCCAAAAAAACATTGAAAAATTTTAACCAACACAAAATAATGTCAAACAATACATTTAAAAAAAACAAAAGACCTATAAAAAATACTAACTTCAGGTGTGGACAGAATGAACGAAAGATATTCACGATTATTATATGTAATATTAAAACTGAACTTATTTTACAAGTACATATTCAAAATGAAATTAATTAAATTATGTCGTCTTTCAGATTTAGCCCCGCAGTGGTAGTAAATAATATGGATAATTCATTGATCACGTGGCTTCTTGTTATGGTTTGTACACCACATTGCATTAGAAACCCCTATCTAATCGCAAAGGTCATTGGAGTTATATTCATCATTACTCCAGTTGTACAGGTAATAATAAATTTAAAAAAAAATTGTGATATTAAAAAAAATTTATAGAAAATATGTTGATTTTGTATTCTGATGAAATTTTTTCTTATAGGGACGAACTGAAGCACTTCACGAGCAAATAATGTCTCATCCAATATCAAGAACACATTTAGCATCTTATTTAATGAAATTTTACACAGACGTGGAAACAACTGGATCGAGTTCAGAATTCTACGATAAATTCTCAATTCGCTATCACATAAGTGTGATATTAAAATCAATGTGGGATAGTCCAATTCATCGTGCGTCTATCGTTAACGAAAGTAACAATGGAAAACAATTTGTTAAATTTATTAACATGTTAATGAATGACACGACCTTTTTGCTGGACGAAAGTCTCGAGTCTCTTAAACGAATTCATGAAGTTCAAGAATTAATGTTAGATGAAGCTGGTTGGTCGGCATTTACACAGGAACAACAACAGTCTCGCACAAGACAATTAACTGCTGATGAACGTCAAGCGAAATCATATTTGACATTAGCAAAAGAAACTGTTGCCATGTTTCATTATCTTACTGTAGATATAAAAGAACCTTTCCTGCGACCAGAACTTGTTGCAAGACTCAGTGCCATGCTGAATTTTAATTTGCAACAACTTTGTGGTCCTAAATGTAAGAATTTAAAAGTGAGAAATCCACAAAAGTATGGTTGGGAGCCAAGAAATTTGCTTAGTCAGTTGGTTGATATTTACCTACATCTAGACTGTGATAATTTTGCTGCGGCGTTAGCTAGTGATGAAGTAAGTTAATAGAAACAAAAATATTTATAAATTTTTATTTTAAAAATGAATTAAAATAATAAATTTAATTTTTATTTTCTAGCGTTCATTTTGCAAAGAATTGTTTGCGGACGCAGCAAACAGACTGCAAAAATCGGCAATAAAAACAACGACTGAGATTGAGCATTTTAGAGGATTGGCCGAACGAGCTGCAATTATTGCAAGAGATAATCGAGCACGTGATGTTGATTATGGTGATGCTCCTGAGGAATTTAGAGATCCTCTAATGGATACGCTTATGGAAGATCCCGTTAAACTTCCCTCGGGAATTGTTATGGACAAGGCAGTTATCATTAGACACTTGTTAAACAGTGCTACTGATCCATTCAGTCGTCAGCCTCTCAGCGAAGATATGCTCACACCAGGTAAATGAATAATTAAAATTTACAATTTAATTATTATCAGATCGTCTTTAAGTTACAAGAAAGTCGATTTTTTAAATAACAAAAAACTTAATGAAGAATTATTTATTACAGATCGCGATTTAAAAGAGAGAATATCAGCTTGGAAGCAGCAAAAGCAGAAATCAGAAAACATATAATTGTCTTCTAGAAAATAAAAACGAGTTGAAAAAAAAAATAAAATCTTGAATTGTCTCGTGAGTAGTGAATGGTGAATATTTTGTCATCTGATATAAAATATAACTACAAAATTCGAAACAGTCGCAGTGCAAAAAAAAAAAAAAAAAAAAAAGATCTCACTCTATTTGTGAAAAATTGTTGCGCTCAATAAATTTACAGTTTTATATATACATAGATGGTGAAGAGACTGCTGATGCGAAACTGCCAGTATATAAATTTAAATTATCATCGGACGTGAGAATATTGTAAATATTAAGCGCAATCTAATCATAGGTATCGGAAATTTTATTATATCTTGCTCATTAAGAAGCATAATTTCTCTTCTTCAGATACTTACAAATTGTAGGATAAAAATATTAATATCAATATAATAATACCTAAATGAATTAGAAAAACAGCTGTCTCTATAATGTTAATGACTTTTGAAAAAATGCTGGTGACATTTTTTTTTTTTTTTGTGAATATTTTATATATCCTGAAAGGTATGTTGTTTAACTGTCATATCCACATTAGAAGCTGCATTAGTGATGAAAATAATTTCAATCAATTGGATTGAATAATGCCTACAAAAAAGAAAAAAGCTCGTAGCCAAGAAAAGTGTTTATTAAAAATAATTTTCAATTTTCTTGAAATGTTTAAAAATATTTAGATAAATTTACATTTAATACCTCTGCAGGGTATATAGTTATTATTTTTTTTCGTTACAAATTTTTTTTATTGGTTTTTCTTTTGATTTCAATTGCCCTATTATGGGTGAAATGTGTAAAACTAACTTCTAATAATCAATTGTAAGTTCTTTTGACATTCCAGGATTTTTTCAGCCTATCTAACCCGACTTTTAAGCGGTTCAGTTAAAAAGCGCATTTATTTTTGAAAAAATATTTTTGAACTAATTTTTAATTTTTATCGAAATGATTAGATTTTTAGAGATTCAAATTTACAATAATAGACACTAATGCAGCAGAATAAAAAAAATTTAAATTTGTCAAAAAAAGAAAATATCGAAAAGTTTCAATAATGTGTAAATAAAATTAAAAGAAATAAATAAATTGGTTCATTTTATTGCACAACTGAACCAATCATAGAATTCCTTGTTTACAATTTAATTTATAATTTAAACACGACTTCTTAGAGAAATTAAAAAAAAATTAATCATTTTCAATTCCAGTAAAACTGCTGTATATATTTTCCTGTGCGATTTCCCTTCCATCTTAAAAGGGAATTATTATTCGCAGTGTGCAACATTAAATATGTAATTCGATATAATATTTCTTCGCTTCTGTTTTAAATCTTGTACATATTATCATGAATGTAAGGTTTAAAAAAAAAATTCAACCAACAAAAAAAAAAAAAAAACAACTGTAAAACAGAAATTATGATGAATGATTTATCCATTAAAATTAAGATATATTATTGATAGATCTTAGAACTATGACTAGGGTTAATGTAATCAATGTAATTTTCATTTTGAGAAATAAAAAAATTGTCAAAATTTTCTTTCTTTCTATATTTTTAAAACGAATAAGTCAAAAATAAGGGCAAATTAGTTTTTATTTCAAAAAATGATGTTGCACCATTTAAAGCCAACCCTACTTTTTTTTTTTATTTAAGTAGTAAATAAATTAATTATAAATAACAGAAATCAAGATTTTTTAAAACGAAATACCTGATATTCTTATAAATTATATAAAATATCATTTACATTTGTTAAGTAACATGTAAAGGCTCAACGCTTAATCTTGAAGATTTTTAAATTAGTTTTATTACATAACAATTTTTTTTACCATTTATTTTTTATATATATATATGTATGTATAAACAAAGTTTTTCAATAGAAGAAAAAACCTAAAATTCTGCAGTTAGAGAGCAAATTAATTTTATTTTAAATTAAGACTTGAAAATTTTTTCTGAATTTTTTTTTTTTATAAATCAGTCTCTAAATTGATATATATCTTATTTTAATACGAATTGACTAAATCTACAAATCTACTTTTGATTTAACGATAGAAAACTGCAGTCCGGTTATTCTTCTATTATTATGTTTTTTTTTACAATGAATACATAATTTTTTTTAAGCCCAACGCCAAATATTTGTATAAGATTACTTTACAAATGTAGTGTGAATTAGTCTGAAAAAATATATAAATTTTTTTTTTATGCTTAAACATGAGATAATTCGAAAATGAAAATCTCATTCCCGAAAAATTAGTGAGTTCTTACAATAATTAGCAAAGTTTTTTTTTTTCATTTCCGCAGATGAAAGTGGTAAAATAGAAACATCACCACTTCTCATTGTCTACAGATCTACCAGTCTGTCGATAGCAATTAAAAATTCTTCTCTAATCCTAAGCCACTGACTCCGCTTGTAGCTAAATCTCCCTAGGACTTAATTCCCATTTAAAAAATGTTCAATGTCCACTTTAATTTATTTGTTCGTATTTTTTATTTCAATTATAAATAAGGAAGTGGCTCAGCGGCGAGACAGGCGATAACGTAGAGCATCCCCAGATACATATTAAGCCTTGCTGTTTGTTTAGGAACACTCTGAATCATACTCTGATCACGAAATTGCTTTTCAATTTTAAAAGCAGTTGGTACTGTAATCAATGGCAGTAGAAACCAAATTGAGTATCTCAGAGCAAGAACTGCGAATATAATATACGGCGTAAATAGTAAAAATGCATATAAAACGTGCGATGCCGTGTGACCGATTAAAATTGCAAGTGTCACTATTCCAGCCTTTTTGTCACTCTCCAAGTCTCTTGTATTGTTGCTATGTAAAATAGCCTCTGTATTTAACGCAAGTGGAACGGCAAAATAAATTGTTTCCCAGGCAATAAATCCAGTTTGTGCCATATAAGCAAATAGTACCGATATTGGACCGAATATTACTAAAATAATTACGTCCCCAAGTGCAATATACTTAAGGCCAATTCCACCTGTATATAAGAATGACGATGAAAGACCACCGAAATAAACAAGAGCAAGATGCTCCATTTTTGCAGGCGATATGGTTGTTAATAAAACAAAACCTAAACATCCTGCCGCATAAAGTAAAGCTCCCAATGATACCAATTCATCTTTTGAGAGCAATTGATCAACTAATATTCTGTCATCACTTTTACGACTATCCACACCTTTTATATAGTCGAAATATGTGTTTACAACGTTACCAGCGCCGTGAACTGATATTATTGTATAGAGTGTTAGGACAAAGGAAATCCAGCTAAAACTTGTTATTCCCGTTGTTCGATAGGCGAGTGCCGAACCCAATAGTGTTGGCATTAATGATGCGCTCAATGACCAGGGTCGAACCGCCAGAAAATATGATGATAGCTTCATTAATGGCGAATTTAATGTTGAATTTGTCGATGAAAAACTGCTTTTTGAAGCAGTTTCCTTATCTTCTGTCGTATGACTTTGTACACCGTTCGACATCATTTTTCGATTCTAAAAGAAAAATTCTATTCAAAATTCAACAATTTTTTAGAATATAAATAGTAGGGTTTAAATAAAATTTATCGAAAATCATCAGTTCCTTCATTATTTTTTTAAAAATCAGTAAATTATTATTCAAGAGTTAATTTGGTAAAATATCCTTTATTTTGTAAGAAAATAAATAAGATTAAAAAAATAATAATAATATTCCATAAAGGAATGTTTCAATTACAGATTTTTTAAAAATGATGCCACTCGGTCTGGATGATTTTCGCTGGATAAATAAAAAAACCCAGTTATTGACAGATAAATAAAATTATCAAATAAAGAAATATGTCATGAATTATAATTATATTATTAACCCAGCGCTTTATTCACAATTTAAACAAATTATTTCAATTAATTAATTTTTGTTATAACATACGAAACAAGGAGATAATTTTAATAAACTAATTTTTAACTAATTTCAGTAAAATTTATTTTTATTGTATTGAAATAATAATAGAACTAAAGAAATTATTCATTGATACTGTTATGAAATTATAAGAAACTTTCACCCTTGATATTTGACTTGAATTGAGATGACGATTTTTGAAATTTATATTTTAATGATTATTGAAAAATAATGATTTTGTACTTATAAACAAACATCAATGAAATTAATTAAATATCGTATAAATTTAAAAAGAGTCGGAATATTTACCTAAAACTTTTTTTTTGTTGAAAATAGAGGTTAGGTTAACATAAAGTCCACGTTTCTCCAATGTGGGTTAAATTTCCTGAACACATAGTAATCTTTGTAAATCAACATTTGTAAATTCCGCCAGTCATTCACTTTGTGAACATTAGGAAAATAATAACAGATCTTTTACAGCTGTTTACTCAAAATGCATTGATCTTTGGTGACGTGTTTTAACCTCAGTTGATCTTTCCAGTTGTTTGTAATTCACTGACTTTCTACGAGATGGCGAAAACATATCCAAAAAGCAGGGATGAGTATGTTTATTTGTTTTTTAAAATCTAAAGGTGCGTTCATAACTCAATTTTTTGAAGACTCTCCTTTATGTAATTTACGATTTAGAAATGTCTCGCATTTTGAAATCAACATTGTTTCTAAAAATCACCACCGTGGCGCTACCAAATAGAAAAAAAATGAATATTTAACTTTATGTTATAAATAAATAAATTTTTTAAAAATATTAAAAAAATATTTTAAAATTAAAATACCTACCTATTTAAAAAACTTACCTATTTTTATATAATTTTTCCATTACTCAAAAACACTGTTCACTTCACTATTCACAATTAAAATTTAATAACAGTATATTCATCGAGAAGTAATACTGTATTTTCAAAATAATAACTTTAAATGAAAATTAATTTCTTTCAAAAATTTAAATAATTAAAAAAATCTAATTATTCAATTTATAACCTTAAGAAAATAGAAAATATCCATCACATATTTTGGAATATTTTTTGGATATAGTTCCGAATAGCACATACCTCCGATTTCAATAAAACTTAGTATCCCTACGTAATTTGGTGCGCTGATTACCAAAATCATAGTGAAAATTGGCGGAAATTTAATTATCATGGTAAAAACCATAAAAAACACCATAAAATCATGGTTTTTTTCGATTATCTCGTAAAAAACAAAAAACTTCGAAAAAAGTTTTAGACGAAAGTTGTAGATCTCTAAAAAACACACATTTCATGTTTTATGCATTTTTTACCAAAAGTCATTATTTTTCGAGAAAAACGCAAAATAGTAAACACGGCCTTCGGCCGCGTAAGGTACTGCTCGCTTTTCTTTTTAAAAAAACCTTGGCGAGAGGGGGTGGATATGGCCGAAAGTATTTTGCGGAATTCGTTGGATCCTGAGTAATGGTGAATATGATAATTTCTGCAAATTACTTTCGGACACATCCACCCCCTCTCGCCAAGATTTCTTAAAAAGAGAAGCGAGCAGTACCTTACGCGGCCGAAGGCCGTGTTTACTATTTTGCGTTTTTCTCGAAAAATAATGACTTTTGGTAAAAAATGCATAAAACATGAAATGTGTGTTTTTTAGAGATCTACAACTTTCGTCTAAAACTTTTTTCGAAGTTTTTTGTTTTTTACGAGATAATCGAAAAAAACCATGATTTTATGGTGTTTTTTATGGTTTTTACCATGATAATTAAATTTCCGCCAATTTTCACTATGATTTTCGTAATCAGCGCACCAAATTACGTAGGGATACCAAGTTTTATCGAAATCAGAGGTATGTGCTATTCGGAACTGCACCCTATTTTTTTAAAATAATAAACATAATAATAATAAACTTACAATTAACTGGATGCAGCCATACAAGATTTCCTCCAGGAGCTGCTCCGCAACAAACTCCTTATTTTGAAGAAAAAAATCACACACAACACTTTATCTACACGACTAATTAATATATACATATGTGTACCTAATGTATATATTAATATCGAATCCCAACACTCTTGTAATTTACAACTTAATTGCTAAATTTATCAACTACAATGATTTATAGCAAAAGATTTAAATTTCAGACGTTGTACAACTTCAATCAACGTAACTTGAAAAAACAACACAATTTTATTACATTTCACTTCACATTTCAACAAACACTTTTCTGGAATAGAAATACACAACTATAGATTAACGATGTTAAATAACAATGATACATCGATACCATTTCGATTTTAACATTAAAACTAAAATAATTTATTTACAAACGAAAGTACCGTTCCGGACAAAATATGGACATATACTGACGCTGCGCGCGTCGCCACCAGTCATCGCTCCCACCCTTACTACATCCTATTGGCTAAGCGCGAACCAATGAGCGAGCGGACAAGTTTTCTCCAGTTCGTGGTAGCAGGGTACGGTAGGTGGCTAAACGAGAGTAAATAATCGTTTACATAGATAATCGATTATGTTAAGGCGCGTTTACATTTCGATTTGTTGGAAAAAATGTCAAAATTTATAAATATTAACATCTCATCCCTGGTTTACAGTGTGAAATTTAAATGCCATAAAAATGGCACTTGTACAAAATGATAATTTATTAAAAGTTATTTCAGTTTTAAAATTATTAAAAAAAAATGGAGATCTCGATGAAGATAAATATTTTCTTTATCAAAATACTAAGTGGCGAAATATTTTGAAATACTCTGTAATAGAGTCATGGTTGAAACACCACTGCCATTTAGTAAGTATTTATGTTTAAATAATGTTTAATAATTTATAATTAATTAAATGTATTGAAATAGTTATTTGTAATACATATTTTATTATTTTCCTACTTGTTTATTACAAAATTTAGATTATTTTCATGTATAATATCAAAATGAATTTTGAGGTTATGTTTTTGTGTCATCATGACTAATTTAATATAATATTAATAATTTTAATGTATGAAATATTAATTTTTTTATAATTGCATGAAAATTAGGATTTTTTAAAAACGTAAATATTGTATTTAAAGCAATAAATAAGTGTTTATAGCTTTACAATATTTACTAATTGGATGTGTCATTTTTAATAATAATATTAAATATTAATATTTAATAAATTAAATAGAAATTAGAGAATTTATTTAATTATAATATATTACAGGTGAGATTAAACGCTCTAGCTTTAATATGCGAATCAAAAAGAAGTACACAGCCATTTACACCCACGGAATTTGATTTAATTCTTCTATTTTTAAAATATAATTTAGAGGAAAAAATGGAATTCGTACCGTTTATTAAAAAGGTAGTGATTTTATTTTTAATATTCCAATTTCAATTTTATAATTTTTTATGTAAATTTACAGGTTTTAAAACGTGCTGACGTTAGTATTGTTGCTTTGCAAAGACAATTGAATATTGAAGAAAAATCATTGGAAAATGGTGAATTAGATTTAGAGGAAGGTGGTTTAAAAATTGATGAACGTATTAATTTAATGAAAACTGCCATTAAATCTTATTATTCATTTTTTTCATCACTTAAAGATTTATGTTTAAAAAATATTTATCCAGCAGCTGTACATTGTCGTTCACTTTCGGCATTGCAAATATTAATTTTAATGCAAGAATTTTTAAAAAAAGAACTTACAATTAATTTATGGACACATGATGATACACAACTTTTAGTACAATGCATTTATACAGATTCATTTGAAGCAAATAAACAATTAGCATTTACAGTGATAAAACAGAGTATTGATTCAAATACTTTATATATAAATGATGTGAAAATTGTCAATGAAATAATTGACACTGCATTGAGTTTAGCAAATAGTATGAGACCAACTGATTCAATAACAGCGTCATTTATGTTTAAAATTGTTGTTTTATCACCGATTATTGATGATGTTTTACTCACTTACATTAATAATGAAGAAATATCAAATTGTCTCACAGAAAAGACATTGCTGATAATGATCAAAATTCTAACGAATCGTTTAACGGTATTTTAATTTCGAATGTAATAATTATATTTTTGGAATTTAAAGGAGATAATTAACTTTTTGTATTTTTTTTAGAATCCTATACAATTAGCAAAGGAAAATATTGTTGCTGCGTGTAGTAAACATTCTTTATATGGATATCTTTATTGTATTTTGAGTTTATTGCAAACACTCGATTTGAGGTAATGTTCAACAACTTTTAAATTAAATTTTACAGAAGTTAATTTGATTTGTTATTCAGGAAACTACAGTCTGAAAATTCATGGCGAAAATTAATTGCCGAAATAGTCGATATGTGTTTTCAATTAATTTACATTGCCTCGGAAATTGTTAATAATTCATCTCCCGAAGGACATTTGCCAATGGATTTAAGAGTACAAAATAGTGATTTGTTGATAGATGCTAAAACAACTTTAGTGACATCACAAATGGTTCTTCTTTGTTCATGGCGTTTAATAAAAGAAACTAGTCTTTTATTAGGAGATATCACATCAAGAAGTCCTATTTATTTGACAGAATCTAATCCTGGGCTTATATCTAAAGAACAGGTTTATTTTTTTTTAATAAAATATTTATCTTAATCTTAAATATTTATCTAATTTAAATATTTGAAAATAATTTAAATTTTAGATAATAAAAATTGGAGAGCAATTTGTTATGTTATTATGTGGAACAAAACATCGAGGAGCCATCGATCAAGCGCACATTGGCTTTCAACAAATGTGCAATAAATTATTTTCTCTAAAAGATTCTTCATTTCGACAATTACCTGTAACTTGGTTGCATTATCTATTTTTAGATATGATTGGATTAAAAAGTGGTAATTTTAAATTATGCTGGACGAGAAGAAGTGCTGGTGTTCCATTTATGGTTCAGGTACAATTATTTAGTTATTAAATTAAATAATACAATAATTTTTTTTTTTGTAATTTAATTTAATTTTTTATTTTCTAGGCAATTACATGTTGTACAACCAAGCGTAATCTTGATCATTCAATTTTTCATTCAGTAATGAGAATTCTACTTGGTTTTACACAGCTAACAGATGTGGAAAATTTGTTTAATGACATTAAATCTATAATGTACAATAATACAATATTTTGTCAATTTGAAGAAAATTTTAATTCAATTAATAATGGAGAAAAAGTTGAAATTAATGATTTGGCGGAAATTAAAACACATACATTGAATATATTGAGAGCACTTTTTAAACATTATCGACTTAAAGATTTAGTGAAACCATATATTTCGGAAGGTTTCACTGCTGCAATGAAAAGTTACGATGGACAATCTTGGGCGGTAATTAAAAAAATTATAATTTGAAATTTTTAAAATAAATATTCATTTTATAATTTTGTTTTCCTTTAGGAACGGAATGCAGCAACTTTATTGATTGGCACTTTAGTAACAAGAACGTTTGGTGTATTAAGAACGAGGGATCATATAAATTTAACGACACACAATAAAATGACGGGAAAAGTGTTTTTCGAAAAATATGGACAACTATTGCCATTTATGTTAGAAAAATTGAATACTTTTATTACAGAACGAGATGAAATGATTGATTGTAAAATGCAAACAATTCTATTGATTATATCACGATTATATGTTGGTAATGATATGGAAAATTCAAATTCTTTCTGGCAGGTAAATATAATTTACAAAAAAGAAATATAAATTTTAAAATTAAATTATTAATAGAACAATTTTTCAAGGTTGATAAATTTATTAATCTTGTATCGCAATGTGGAACGAATCGAGTGCAAAAAACTCGTGAACTTGCAGCAAGAGCATTAGTATCGTTATTAACAGAAAATAATATTTGCGAAACATTGGAATTTCTGATAAAAAATATAATGGAGACTAAAGAAAATTTAAATGCACTTCATGGATATATGTTACAGGTATTTAATTATCTAAAAATATATAAATTTGAATAATTGTCATAAATTGTTTATACTTTTTAGCTACATGAAATAGTAAGTGTTTTTGAATTATCTACGGATATTATGTCAAAGACCAAATTTCTTGACTTCTTACTAAATATGGAAAAGACAATTCTCCAAAGTTTAGAAGAAGGAAATGAAAATTCTGCATGCTTTCCGGCAGCTGCTTCATTTGTTATTATTTTATCCAAACTTCAAAAACAGCCCTTAAGCAGGTAATTTATTTATTTATTTATTTTTACCGACAAACTAAAATTTTAAAAACTTAAATTTTTTTAGGAAACTTTTTGAAAATCATCTTTTGGACAGCATTATAGTAAGATTAAAAATGCATCTAGCTAATTGTAAATTATTAAAGAAAAAACCAGGAAAAGAAGTTTATGAAATGGAAGCAATGAATTTTATTATATTATGTGTGAAAAATTCATTTTGCCATGAATTATTTAATGTAAATGAGGAAAATAATTTTTGGCTATCTATTTTAATACATGTCAATGAGAATATTCAAATAATAAGTTGGAAAAATATTTTTCCAATTATTGAAAAAATTGGTAATTCCAAATTTCTTCATCAAGCATTATTTATTGCTTTTAATACGAAATTTGAATTTATTGATAATGTTGAAGTACACGATGCAATTTATGAATTTTTATATCTTACTTTGTCACATTTACAAGAATCAAATGAAAAAAATTTAATTGTAAATAATGAATTAGAAAAGACAAATGTAATTTATGAATTTTGTACAATTATTGGTAAAATGCTCACATCTCATATGAGGAAAAATTGTTTTTACGAAAGAGGCATTTTTCTACAATTAATGGAGAAAATGTTTGCATGTTTTTCATCTATTTCTAAGGTATGTATTTTTTTTTTGGAAATGGAAAAATTATTTTGAAATTAACGAAATTTTTAATTACAGGATAATTCCAAGACACCTATGAGCCGAAACGATGTGTATAAATTAATAGTCAATAATTCTTGGATGTGTTCTGCGGACATAGATTGTCGAATTGGAATCGCAAAAAATCTTTATGATCTTTATGTAGAATCTGTCGATATAAATGATAGTTGTAAGTTTTTCTTATTTAAATAATTGTTTTTATTTTAATTTTTAACTTGTTGTCTATTATTTTTTAGATTTAGTTTTAAATTGGTGGACAACATTATTGCATTTATTATTAGACGATAATATGATTGTTCGTCAATATGCATCAATTGTAATCTGTGATATAAAACCCAATACAAAATTGGGATGCCATTCTGTAATTATGGAAATTTTTTTCAATAAATTTTTCAACACCATTGGTAGTAAAAATCCCACAATTGGACTTGCCGCTCTTATTTGTTGGATCGTTACATTAATGGATGATGAGGAGCTTGAAATGGATGAAACAGAAGTAATTATAAAAAAGGAAAAAAAATTTAACTTAATAATAATTTAATAATTCTTTTTCAGGTATTTAATAAATCGAATATTTATGAATATTTCGAACCAATGGGAATATCAAAACAGTGTATTAATTATATACAATTAATTTTTGAACAGTGTAGTGTCAGTGAAATAATTCCAGAAATTATCAAAAATTGGTTGAATGAACGATTGAATTTGCAATTCAGTGAAATGAATACATTTCAAGAACTTATTATTAATTGTAAAAATCGAATTCCTTCTCTTGAGGGTAAATTAAAAGATATTTTAGATCCATTTTATAAATCAAAATTGATACAACACGTTGGCTATGACGATCTTTGTCAACAATTTTCAAAAGTTGTATATTGAAATATTTTATTTCTTTTTTTAAATAAATTTTATATTTATTTTAAAAAAAAAAACTTTGTTTCAATGATTTACTTGTGACGAATCCAATTTATTATTTTTTTATCAATGAATTACTTAAAAATTTGTTGTATATTTGAAATTTATTTAAAAATTACATCTAATGTAAATACAAAGTTACTGAATTATTTAAAGTTTCTTTTATAGATTTCTTTTTGTAGTTCGCACATAATCATCAGAATTATCTGTAAGAAAAATGTGTTTTACTTCAGTGTCTGAGATCTTATTGTGTTTTAAAGCCGCAATATTTGCTAATGCTTTGAATGTACGAGGTTCCCATATTGAAACATCAGCTAGTGATTTACGATTAAGATGAACATCATATTTATAAAGACTGTCTCTTAAATGATATTTGGAAATACTGTGTTGTTCACATGCCGCATCTATACGTGTCTCCCAAAGCTGAAACATGTCAAGTGTTTAGTTAATTATTTTATTTTTTTTTTTTAATTAAAAATTTATTACCTGTCTCAAATCTTGTCGCTTTACTTCTCGTCCAACAGTTGCATATTGCATAGCACGATGAACTGCTCGAATTGTAAGACTATAACAATTTCTTATTCGACCTCTGAAATGCTGAAAAATAAATAATGTATTACATAAAACAATTTTCTTCACACGTGTGTGAAACACGATTTTAAAGATATAATTTAAAATTACACTATTAACAAAACAAAGTTATGTTTAATAACAATGAAAATTGCCCCTATTTATAAATAATTATTCTAAAATCAAATTTAAATGTCATTTCGAATTATTTTGTTTTTAAACAAATTAAATACGAAAATTATGTTCCGGTATAAAACAAACTTAAATTGATTAAAAAAAAATACATACTGCTGCAAGTTTAAAAATTTTCCTTTTTCGCCAAAATTCATCAGGACCTCTGCATCTTGTAAGCAATTTTGTAGTTTGAAATACCATTTTTCTATTTTAAATTTAATTCTTTTTCTTTCCTCTTCAATGTTTTTAAATCGATTATAGGTTATGTTCACTGCATATGTAATTTCCGTAACTCCTTACCACAAGATACGTAAGATAAATGTTATTACACAATTTTTTTTCAATATTTTTTTTACAAAAGTAATTTACAATTACATTGTAATAAAAAAAACTAACTTCAGAAAGTCATTTTTAATTCTTAGTAAATTTTTAATAATAATTATTCGATTTTTCATGAAAAAATGACTTTTTTAAAAAATATGTTATAAATTGTAATCAGGTTTATCAGTGAAGGGCGGTTTCAAAATCAGGAATAAAGAGAGATAGAGAGAAAGAGAAATAAATTTTTTCTCAAAAAAAAAATGTAATCATCTCAATGATGAGGAAACAATATCAGCTTGGTCATGTATTAATAGGAAATACTATAGTTTAAGTTTATGCAAGAAGTACAATTTTTTTTATTTTTATAAATAATGTAAAACTATGTGAATGAAGTCACGTGACAAAATTCCCACCCCTTCCATCCCAGGGGGAGGGATTAATCAGTTGCCGACTGGAATGGACCTCCTTTTCTATTTCAATGAATTGAAGAAGGATGACTGATCGAAATCGTAAACAGATGACTGATAGGAGCCGCCCCTGGTACCTGAATACAATGGAATTTCTGTTTGGCAACCATGTATGTATTTTCCCATCTGCTTACATTAAGACGTGACACAGTATACGTATCTCACGGTAACTAGTTGCCATCCTTTTCCATTGCATTACATTAGACAAGGTCGATACACAATTATCGTTTACAATTTACATTCCCAACCATTGTGCTCCGACCACATTCCTTTCACTCGAATTGTATTTCGTGTGGAGAGAAACGCCATTTTGCTATTTCCTTACTCTTTTCCAAAGTACTTCTTTATCAACGTAAATTGTAAATTTAAGAGTTAGAGCAAAAGCTCTAGTTATTTTGGTATGAGTGTATAAAATTTGGAGATGTTAAATTATTAAAAAGTGATTATTTATTATGTGTGCACTTGTGTGACAAAATTTGCATCGTGTTTTTTTATTCTTTTATTTATTTCTCGAAATTTTCATTTTCCTAATTTTTTATTTAATTATTTCAATAAATGTGTGCACTATCATATACATATAATTTAAAAATTACATTCAATTTCAATTATAATTAATTTTGTCACAAATATTCAAGTGAAAAAAAAAGTGTTAAAAATAGAAACAAAAAAAATTCTTCAAAAATCGACAATTCAAGGTTTGTATGTTTACATGTTTTTTTTTTACAAAGAAATGAAAAACCAAATATTGATTTATTGCTAAACGTTTCTTAAAGCGTAAAACAAAAAAAAATTTTTTTATTGAATTTCAATTTAATTTTATCAAATTATGGTAATTTTTTTTGTTTTATTGTTTTTATATTAATTATTGTCATATGTGTGATCTATATATGTTCTTTTTTTGAACGTAGGAGTGCCAAAAATAGGAATGATGTACAGTCTAAAACCTTGCATTATCCCTCCCATATGTAGCCTAAAGAGCGGATGTTAAGTTTAAAGTAGTGTTGATACAATACTCTTTCAAAAATTACATATACGTATATATGTCTGAAAGCCTACAACCACAAACTCTCGAGCAAAGCAAAGTTCCTCCTGTTCACGCATTCCTATCTAACTGCCCCGTGTGCCCGTCTCTTTTTACTGGTTTACAGCGTTGCCATATTTCGTGTAACAAATAAATAATTTTCAAATGTATTTAATTTTATACATTTTAATGGGCATTTAATTCATTATTGCCCATTAAAATTCCCCTCTTTAATTTACTGTTTTGTTTTTCCTGTTGTTATACGTATAGGTTGCTATGTGCATTTAATGGATATATTTTTATTTCCTTCTAAAAGTACCAACATTTTCAATGTAACTTTTGCAATTCTTGTTCCTTTGATACTCTCAGTCCTGATCCACTTTCTTATTGTTGCCAGATAACTTGGTCAATATTTTATCAGTTATTGCTTCATACACGGACATAAAGCGTGATTGAATTTAAATAGAATTAAAGAGTGATAAACATCGTGGAGTTCCCGAGAATATAATGACCTAAGTTTTATTCAGAAACAATAATGTGATACTTAATTTTCTTCTTAATTGTCTTTTATGACTCTGCTCTGCACGAGTCATTTTATTTTCATCCACTGTTTATATAAAAAAAAAGTGTTTTTGTTTTTTAATTTTTGGTGGCATTTTTTTTTTTTCCTTAAAATAATTCTCGGCATAATTTTTCGGTTTTGTGTTTATCTTCGTGTGCTTCTTTATGAAAAAGACGATTTCTATTTTCGGTGAGTTTCTTTTATTATTCAGATGTTTATTGTTAACAATATACTATGAATAGAAATGTTTAATCATTGAAATAAAAAAATTTTATATTGCATTGTATTGACAAAATGCTATTTATATTCATTGTGAAAAATATGGTATTTATATGGAAAAAAATACTATGAAATAGTATTGATTGAAAGAATTCTATAAAATAGTACCTAATTATGAAAAAATATTACAAAACAGAATTCAGTAAATAAAAATTTTCTCCACGAGAAAATCGAGAAAATTCAAGTTCCAGAATCATCCAATTTTTTCTACATCTTTTTTGCATTTAAAAATTTTTGATAATTTTTTTTGGAGCCATATATTAAATCAAGAATTCCCGTTTAGAAAGTTAAGTGAACGTCTTCATAAAAGAACTTTCTCATTATTTATTCAATGAAATACTCTGTACTGAAATTTGATATTAATTTATTCAACGAGTATTTCTATAATATTTTTAAATAATTGAATTAATTCAATGGCATTTGAAGAATAATGCCATTGGAATATATATTATATCATTGATTTGATATTCATGAAAAACATGATCAAGAAATTTCAGCATAATATAAGAAAAATAATTGTCAACAACAATGCTGAAACGTATAGAAGAAGAAAGAAAATATCGCGGGGAAATCCGACGGAAATTGAACAAACAAGACTTAATGAAGATAAAACATAATGAAGTGTAAAAGGTATCCATAAAAAGTATTCATTTAATTGCTTCTAACTTGCGGTTGAATTTTTTTTTTATATAAAGCTTCTAATATTCTTTCGCGTATTATTTTGCATACATATAAAAATTTATAATATATACACTGAAAACAATATTTTATATCTTCATACTGAAAAAATGAATCATCGCATTGCGGAGAATTCAACTTCAATCAACATGGACTTTGAACATCTGAAGCATAATATCTGCATATTATTAATAAAATAACGAAAGGAAAGTTTTCGATATTAATTTCAATCGTGAAATTCATAATATTGGAGTCTCTTCGTCATTTTTAAGGAAAGAATACTCCAATCAAGATTTCTATGGACCATCATTTACGCAGGACAACAGAAGTAATATTTGTAATTATAAGTTATATTTAAATTTAATTATAATCTTAATAATTATGTTATTATAATTAATATAAATTAAAATAATGTATTAATTATATAATTCAGTGCTATATTTTTTAGAAATAAGTTAATTAAATTAAAAGCTGCGATCAATACTGACGTCTATATATCATTTTTTGTCAGAGTCTACAAATTATATTAAGAATATTTAATATTATTATAATATTAAAACACATTAATGAGGCGCATGATTATTAGCAATTCTACATTCCGTTCTGTTCATTACGTCTAAATTCGAATTATCGATTAATATAACTTGCTACAATTTTCATTTTATTACGTAATTCTCAAGTTACCTTATTTTAATACATACCGGGTGTTGAAAAAAATCTCTATTTACAAGATTTTATTAATCAAATTTAGAAATTATTAAAAATTAATTTAAATTAAATGATAAATCAAGTAATTGATTAAAAATAATAAAAAAAATTTATTATTTAGGTGAAATGAACATTAGGGATTGTATTTGCCTCATATAAATATAATAATTAATAATTTATTTAATAGAAATAAGTTCGATTAATTGTTTAAAATGTGAATTATTTATTTTTTTTTAAATAAAAGAATATAATTTTTGAAAATTTATTGTAAATGAAAAAAATATCCAATCGTTTTTATAATAATTCCATTTATTATTTTATTTTCAATTTTTTCCGATTCTTGAAATATTATCCCATTGAATTTTTCCCCAATTATTAAAAAAAAATTGAACTTAGGAATTTATATCAATAATTAATTGTCTAACATGTTAGTTAATGTTATTGTTGATTTTGACATAACCTAAAATTAATTAATTAGTTTTTAATTATATACCCATTATCTAATAATTAATAGAAATATAATTATTTGAGTCAGTGATGAAATTTTGTCATTAAATTAATTATTTTTAATTAATTCAGCTTTGGAAAGTAGAGAAGGGGTAGTCGTCTCTGTCTCTCTCTCTCTCTCTCCTCTTTCTGCCGGCGTTACACGTGAATTTGCGCGAAGCATGTTACCGGGCGCACCCTATTATATCTATAGTACTTCAGTAGCCAAACAAATTCGATTTTCTTTAAAGAAAATACATTTTATTTGGTAAAACATTGATTCTTGTTGAGTGAAAAACCTAATTGTTGAATTTATATAAACAGAAAGTAAATACGAAGAGTATAATTAAAAAAAAAAGTCGAAAAAAATCAAAACAAGTCAATTTAATTTTATATTTTTTGGTTAACCAATTTTTTTTTTCCAGTAAAAGTGTGATTAATTTTACTTTAAACGTATTTAATTACATTAAAAGGTGAATTTAGTTAAAGATTTAAAACTTGAGAAACGATTATCAAATTTTAGGTTATGTTAGCTAAATATTATGGGATTTGTTTTATATAAAAAATGTTGTTCCAAATGTTTCTTGATATAAAATTTCATAACGTGTTCTTTTTTCATATTTTGCAGATTAAAAAAAAAATTGCATCGAAACAACGCACGTTGAATACAAAAACCATAATCAAAACGAAGACAATGACAGATATTATAGACCATCGAGATGTACGAGAATCACTGTCGAGCCCATTGAAATCATTTGATAATAATCAACACGTCAATTCATTAATAACACAACAATCACAATTAAATACCGACGAGGTGGATAACGTAGACTATCATTTTGAAGCGGTGAGATTGCAGAGTTATGAAAACTGGCCGTTAAATTATATGGATCCAGCGAAATTGGCCGCTGCTGGATTTTATTACACGGGCGAAAGTGATAAAGTGAAATGTTTCGAGTGTCATGTGGAAATTCGTCAATGGTTAGAAAATGATGATCCAATGATTGATCATCAACGTTGGTCGGGACGTTGTAGATTCATAAGAAAAATTCCATGTGGTAATGTACCAATTGGAGTTGATCCCGAATCAATACCAGCGCCAAGACCAAGAAGTCATGATGTTTGCGGACCATATGGAGTTGAAATACGTTCTGGCTCGGGACCCGATTGTTCATCAACATCAAATGCAAATTTACCAAGTTCAGCGAAACTTGGTATCTATGGAATTGGTCGTTCCAAGGGACCCGTTCACACTGAATATGCAAGTTACGATGCAAGATTACGAACATTTGAATCATGGCCAAAATGCATGCGACAAACGAAAGAACAATTAGCGGATGCTGGATTTTATTATACGGGCAAAGGTGATCAAACACTTTGCTATCATTGTGGTGGTGGTTTAAAGGATTGGGAACCAGAGGACGATCCTTGGGAGCAACATGCAAAATGGTTCTCCAAATGTATATACCTATTCTTGGTCAAGGGTCAAGATTATATTAACAACATCACGGGTCAACATTTGACACCTCCTTCGAAAGAGGTAATTTTTATTTTCTATTTTTATATATAAAAAAAAATATATAATTTTCTTTTAACTATTCTCATCTTTTTTTTTTAAAGGAAACAATGTTAATGGATCTACCGAGTTGTATTCAAAAGGTCCACGATACAATCACCGAGAAGGAAAAAGATTTCGTTGGTACGAGTAAAAACGAATTGAATCAACCCGAAAAGGAATGTTCAAATTCGATAATAAAAGATAAAGAACAAGTACGAGTTGATGATGCGAGAATGTGCAAAATTTGTTACAGTGAAGAATTGGGTGTAGTATTTCTGCCCTGCGGTCACATTGTGGCTTGTGTTAAATGTGCTCCGGGTATGACTGTGTGTGCCGTTTGTCGAAAACCTGTTACTATGAATGTTCGTGCATTTTTCTCATAGTATTTTTTCCTGGACAATTTATCAATTTATTTCACTAACTGGTATAATTGTTTAGGAAACAAAAAAAAAAACATACATACTTCATTGTATATACCAGTTTCATGCATTAAAAAAAAACACACACACACATACACACTCAAAAAACCAAAATGTTATAAAAAAAATTTTTATTTCAATTTGAAAAAATTTAAAAAAGTTAGACAGGTTTTTTAAAACCATAGGTTTTTAATTTAAAGTATTTTAAATATCACAGCCTTCGAAATATTATATTTTTATTTTTCTATATTAAAAATTAACCCTTTCATATTGTGGATTTTTTTATTTCTCAAAAAGAAAAAGATATATATATTTTTAATAAGCTTGCTAATCATCGTTGTTTGGATTGATGTGTGTTCATATTCTATATATATAAATATAAATATATTATCAAAAAGCAAGCTTTATTGTTTGAACATCTTTCATACCTAATTAGTATTAATTATTCTTTTTGTATTTTATTGTAAGAAAAATCAAATTTTTTTGTTTCTTTTAACGTGAAAACGACATTTTTTTGTTTTGTAAAAAAAAAGAAAGAAGGCCAAACAATATATTTAACGGTATTTATAAAACTTACAATTACACGAAAAAAATGAGCTTTTTATTCTGTAACAGGATCGAATTTTACAAGTCGCTTAAATAATGACATTTTTTTTAAAGAATATTAATTTTATGATTGTAATTTATTTACATGTGCTCAAAAAAAAAAATATTATTACTTAATTCTCAAAAAAACATTTGTCACATTCAAAAAGTTTTGTAAAAAAAAAAGTTACAAAACTTTAAATTCGATCCTGGATTCTGTAAATTGTAGTCTATAAGAATACCGAAAGGGTTAATTGACACTTTAAATGTGTATAAAAAAAAAAAAAAGAAAAAAAAAATTAAAACTTCTACAAGTGTACTTAAACACAAGGTTTAAGTGTTTTCTCTTCTTCAATTTACAATTTTTTCTCTCTTCATTCAAAGTAATAGAACACCTAACAAGTAAACATCACCTCTCAGTGCAGTTTAACAAATATTATGTAAAAAAAAAACTTAAGTAGGGTTGAATTCTGTTAATCACATTTTACATTTAAATATCTTCTTTTTTCAATGCTTGATAAAAGCAATAAATTTTTGTAGGAAAAAAAAAATTTAATTATCACGAAAAATTAGTAATAAATGTAACTATTAATAAAATTTTTTCTCAATGAGACTCAATTCTTGTATTTCTCACATTACCCCTCAAAATTATAATAAATGTACCAATTACTGTGGTTAAATTTTTAATAAATTAAATTAAAACATGTTTATAATTTTTATTAAAGTAAAAATTAAATTTCAATTCATAATACTCTAGTTAACTAATATATTTTAATATTAAATTTAAATTAATTGTAACTTATTAATTAAATGATTATAGGTTGTGTAATAAAACATCAATTACAAAACATCACGTTTTTATTTTTCTACAATTGGAAAATGATTAAATAATTAATTTTTTTTTTTAATATTGCGACCACATGCTCGATCGTTATTCACGGAAAAATGTTCATTTAAGTAAAAAAAAAAAAAAATCGTGAACAAAAAGAATATAAACGAGAGCATTGAAAATGAAACAATTTTAATTTTTGAATTAATACAAAAAAGAATCTTTTTTAATTCGTCGTTAAGGTAAAAAGACCTGTTATTGTAAAATTAAAAAATGTCTCACTACATTTTATTTTTTCATGTAGAAAAAGGAAAATGATCGCTATTAATCATTTTTTTTGTTTTTTTTTTTTTTTTGTTTGATGATATTAAAGTATATACAAGTGACAATATACAGAAGAATTCGTGGAAAAAAATTGAATTGTGTCACTTTTCAAGTTTAGCGAATTGTTGTTAAACAACGCGAACTGGAAAAAAGAAATTTGAATTAAAAAGAAAAAGCTTAATAGTTTATTTTTTTTTTATCAGCACACTTGTACCCTCATTCGACTAATATAACTTAAAAACATTTTTAAATTTGATATTTCATTATTCTCTTTTAAAAAAATAGAAAATTCAAACAATAGTCGATGACAAGCTCTTTCTTTTTTTTATTCTGATATTCTCTAAATTATTGACTTAAAATAAACAATAAATCCGGATATAAAACATTTTTTTCTCTTGATATTCTCTTGTACATATATAAAATGTTTTTTTTTTCAATTTTCTAATTAAAAAAAAAAAAAAAAAAAAAATAAAAAAATAAAAAAAAACAATCGTGTGCGAATATAATAATACCTACTACTTGTTATTATGCCTAGGATAATTTAAACAATAAAAGGTTAATCTATATCATAAATGGAAAGAATATGATTATTTAAACAATACAATTATTAAATCCCGCTTTATTCGTGCCGAGAAACTTTCAAAATACGTTGTATGTATACAATATTTGATTTCACGTGTAAATATATACAGTTTTCATTATTTATCAATTTTTTTTTTCTTTCTTTAAATTAAACACGTAAAAGCACATATCCTTATTAAACGATAAAAGTTTACACAGAATAAATTTGAGCGATGTGCAAAAATTTGCAAATTGCAAAATTAAAAAAAAGAGTGTACACTTTAATCGCATAATCTGATTTTTTTTTTATAATTCTCGCAAAATTTGTTCCTTGCGATAATTTTGTTACTATTCTTGACTCTAAACACATAGTTATAGCCCAATTAAATATATTGTTAATCGTACATTACTTTTTTTTTTTTTTTTTTTTTAATTAACTTTGTTTCTGGCTTTATCAGTTTCTTTGAAAATATGTACAATGTGATAAGGAATATTTTTTTTTCTTTTTCTTTTTTTTTATAGTAGTTATGATAATTTATAACAAAACAAAAAAAAAATATATATATATATATTTACGAAATGGGTTTATACTTAAAGAGGCTAATCGGCGTAAACAATGAATTGCTGATTATCAACATCAGCAACTTCCACTTGGACGAATTGTGGTTGTTGAAGTTGAATTTGCTGTACCTGTCTTCCAATGGCATTACGCGATCTGAAAAATTTGATTTTTATATTTTACCATAAATACAATTGTAAAGAAACGATTTTCTTTTAATTCTACATTTCTGTGTTCAAATGATTTTTTTTAAGATTGTTGAAATAAAAATTGTTTGCAAAAAAAAAGAAAAAACAAATTTAAAGAATGAAAATTAAAAACACTTGCGAAATGTAAAATTTGATGAAATAAAACGTCGGGAGAAAAAGAAAAGAGAATTATTAAATTAATTCTTACTTGGCTTTTGCGTGGGTTAAAATATGTGACTTCAGATTCGTAGATTGAGCGAATTTTTTACTACATCCATCAAATGGACAAACGTAAGGCCTATCTCCGGTGTGTATTCTAACGTGTGTTCGAAGATTAAAGTCTAAACTGAACCTTTTACCACATCCTTCAAATGTGCATTGAAAAGGCTTTTCTCCCGTGTGAACCAATTGATGCCTTTTGAGTTTTGAACTTTCAACAAAGGCTTTTCCACATTCTGCACAAACATGAACACGCGGTCCGTGTGTATGTAAATGCTTACGCATTGCACTATTATCACGAAACATTTTTGTACATCCCTTATGAGGACATGCAATAGTGCGTTCAACTCCATCCATCATTTGTTGTTTGCGAATTTTCAATTTATGTCCAGGACGAGCGAATTCAGCTAACTGTTTTGGATCAGAGAGATCGAGACCTGGCATACCATCGGACACTGAACTTCCCGAATGATTGAATTTGGTGGAATTTTTGCCTGACATATATTCCGTGTAGTCGGGATCAGGTTCTGGATTAGAACCTTCATCTGCAATTTTTTCAACAAAAAAAAAAATAATTAAATTCAGAATTGTTCATTTCAATAATATTTTAATCAATTTTAAAATAACAAAATTTTTTTATTATCCACGTTAAAAAATTATTTCAAGTACTGTGAAATATATACACCAAATATTTAATATATTAAAGAATTTTATATAAATTACCTATAAAATTTTAACATTATCAAAATACTAAAAAACATTATTATTTTATTATTAAAATTCAATTGATTGTAAACTAGTACTTTAAATTTAATAAAATCCCACTCATTTCAATGATTAATATTAAAAAAAAATTGTACTCTTCTTTTTAATTATTACAATTATCTGCTGAAGTTGTAAAATAATTTTCACTGTACTAAACTAAATACTCACGTGTTAAAATAATTTCAACTCAAGTACATCTTCATCCCATGTCATTTAGTTTACAAAATATGACCGTTAAATTATAATTTTTAATATTTCTTTACTAACAAAAAAAAAAAAAAATAAAACACAAGATTCTATCTATTTTTTAAATATTAAAAAAATTTAAATGGAAAACCAAATCACTTTAAAGAGCTAGAATAACGCTTTCTACAAATTACTTTTAAAGTCGACTTTGTTTCTATTGTTCCGTTCCTTAATGGCGAAGATCCATCAATTGAGAAGCCATTTTCAAAAGATGTCTGCTTTTTTGAATATTAAAAATGGCGTTTCACTAATCAAAACAAACACAAATTTGAAGTTTAAAAACCAGGATTGACATTTTTTTTATAAAATCCCATTTATTACGATGTTTTATCAGTACTTGAATATAACTATCCATAGTTTCTCTAGAGACCACAAAGAGTTTTTGACAATTGTAAATTCATGCAAACAAAAAGGATGAAAAAAGAACAAAAAAAAATACAAAATAAAATTACAAAAAAACATACCATCATCTGTACCGGATGCCCACATCGTAACTGAAAATTCACCTTCCAGGGTCTTGATTTGCACTTGTTTCTGTTCCCATTTTCTCGTTTTAGTTTCCGATGCCATATCGCCGAAAATAGCGTGGTCAGGAGCTCGAAACCTTGTGTTACCTTGTTTCCTAGGTTTTTTTGTAACTTTTTTCGAGGGACCGGGACTTGATTCAACATAAATATCGTTATCAGGAACGGGTATTTGGTCATAAACGCTTAAAGGATCACCACCGACAATTTCTTCCTGTGTCTGCAGAATGATTTCTTCGCGACCAGGTTCTGGAAGTGGCTGGAGTGCTATCATCGGTTGTCCATCATCACCTTCAATTGTCGTTTCAACTGTCTCGCACGGAATTTCTACAGGAATTGTTTCGATTTCTACCTCTTGAATGTCGGGCTGGATTTCAACTTCAGCTATTATGTCCGAAGACGCCATATTAATGTCGGCTGACGCCATATTACTAATCAAAATGGCTGGCGACAAATAGTTGCTTCGATGAATAAACTGTTTAGTCATGAATAAAATAGGCTTCAATGCTCAGCTAGATGGTAAACTTCGTATATAAAAAAGGAACACTCATTTTCGGATTAAAATAGAAATCTAAAGGTTGTATCGCATTTCTATGAGTTGACAATTCGAAATGTGACAGTTTTGCGTCACATTTTGAACGTTTAACTCCTTAACGAAACTACGTATTATACGTAAGATGCCTTTAAATGACTTTTCATTTCCCATCTTTGCATATGAAAAACACGGTGTCGGAATTTGTTTGCAAGCACATATTTCATAAAAAGTTATTAATATTAAATAATATAGAAAACACATGTGATTTTATTGTATATATTATTTAGTGTAATTTGTTCCTTTATTGATATTTTATTTTAAACCTAATGATAATAACAGACGGAACAACGCATAATGGAACATGAATGTAAGTCTAACCTTATTTTTTCATATTAACGCTAATCTTTTTTTGTATTTTTGATAATTCTTGCTTATACAACATTTTGTGAACATATTTTCTCAGTATTTTACAATTAAATTCAAATATATCAAATAATTTTAAAAGAGAAGAAAAATCAATGCTATGAAACGCCTATATGCATAACAGTCTTAATTCTGTCAATTGTCATAGGTTATTATTGAGTCTTAAAATCTGTAGCTTTTGATTTTGTAAGTTATTTTGTAAACTTGTTAAATAATCCTAAAATGAGTGTTTATAAAGAGTGTACTTGAACTTAAAGAAAGATAATTCAATAATGAAATTTTTTCTCCCACTATTGTAATTTTGTTATCTTTTATATCTATATACATACATCTTAAACATTTAAAAATAGTCTCCGGAGACAATATTTAAACCTTGAGAAAATGTTTAATTTTACGATAAATCTTTTTTGAAAAATGTTTGTTGAATAATAATTTATACCTAAAATTTTCCATAAGGGTGTGTAAAAATTGTTTTATTTTTAAGAAAAATTATGTTTATAGTAAAAAATAGTTCCGGAGACGGTGACGAGCAAGAAACAATGGATACAGAATTAAGTTCTGAACGAAGGTAATTTTTTATTTATTTATTTTTTATTGTATAATCTAATTCTAAACAATAAAATTGTAATTATTTAAAAAATAATATTTATTTTAGATCTGTTTCGCCTTTAAATGAGAAAAATCTATCAAAATCAATTGACGATGAGCTTTGCAATAAATCAAGGCCCGAATCACCAATAAATTCTCGAGAAAATTCAAAAGAAAGATCACCATCCGTTGAACCGAATAATTTAAATGGAAATAAATCACCAAAGTCAGACAGTGATTCTGAATCTAAACGAAAGTCCCGTTCAAGAAGTAGAGAAAGATCCAAATCCGGATCACCAGTGTCAGAGAGAAGCGTTGGTTCAAGAGCATCATCAAATGGACGAAGTCCATCTAATGCAAGTTCCACTTCAAAGCATTCGCCAGCACGATCTCAATCACCCCATTCACCTAAATCACAATCACGATCCAAGTCTCGATCTAAATCACGATCAAGATCAAAATCTAAGTCCCGTTCCAAATCCCGATCTAGATCATTATCAAAATCCAAGTCCAAATCGCGTTCTAAATCAAGATCCAAGTCAAAGTCTAGATCAAGATCAAAATCGAGGTCAAAATCTAGATCACAATCAAGATCAGTGTCAAGATCTAAATCGAGATCGAGATCTAAATCAAGATCAAAGTCCAGATCAAGATCAAAGTCACAATCAGTTAGAGTGTCGCGTTCAAGATCTCCTTCGCAGAGAAAATCGAAATCACGATCACGCGAAAGATCCGTGTCATCACAAAAACGATCTCAATCACGTTCTGTCTCGCGTAACAGATCACTATCTAAATCGCCATTAAGAAATAAATCCCATTCTAAATCACCCTCGCGAAATAAATCCAAATCACCTTCACGTAATTCACGTTCCCACTCGAGATCACAATCACGAAAAAGATCATTGTCCGGATCACCAGGAAAAAGATCAAGATCAAATTCCCCTAAATCAAGATCAGTGTCAAGATCGCGTTCTCGTTCTGTCTCACGATCGCGATCAAGGTCCGGATCAAGAAAGTCACGATCCGGATCGAGAAGATCAAGGTCTGGTTCAAGAAAATCAAGATCCGGATCAAGAAAATCAAGATCAGGATCCAGACAGTCAAGATCCGGTTCAAGAAAGTCAAGATCAGGATCCAGAAAATCAAGATCCGGTTCAAGAAAGTCAAGGTCGGGATCCAGAAAATCTAGATCTGGTTCAAGAAGGTCAAGGTCGGGATCCAGAAAATCAAGATCTGGCTCAAGAAAGTCAAGGTCGGGATCCAGAAAATCAAGATCCGGTTCAAGAAAGTCAAGATCAGGATCCAGAAAATCAAGATCTGGTTCAAGAAAGTCAAGATCAGGATCCAGAAAATCAAGATCCGGTTCAAGAAGATCAAGATCCGGTTCGAGGAGATCAGGGTCCGGATCGAGATCAAGATCTGGATCAAGAAGATCAAGATCTGGTTCAAGATCGAGGTCCAGGTCAGGGTCTAGAAAATCAGGATCAAGATCAAGGTCGGGATCGAGAAATTCACGATCAAGATCGAGATCTGGATCAAGAAAATCAGGATCAAGGTCTAGATCTGGTTCGAGAAAATCTAGATCAAGATCAAGATCCAGATCACGATCAGGTTCAAGAAAGTCAAGATCTAGATCGAGATCGAGATCAAGGTCAAGATCACCATCGCCATCAACTTCAAAAGTAGGCGCAAAATCGAGATCACGTTCAACATCTTCCTCAAGAATATCAAGGAAACGTAATCGTGATTCAAGTGATCATAGAGAAGGACGATTATTATCTGATTCGGAAGATGAAAATACATACAGTAAAGCAAAAAGAGTTCATCAATTATCGGATTCAGATACTGAGCAACCTGATAAAAGTTTAACTAACAATGTTATTGATGAAGATAATGAGGGTGAGAAAAATGAATTAAATGAAACACCAGCTCAAAAATTAGACGATTCTGATGATGATGATGATGCACCAAGACCAGGGGAATCGTAAGTATTCATATTTTTTAAATTATTATTTTTCAAAATAATACAAATTCATTTTTTTTTTTTTTCAGTGATGATTTTATATCAGATTTTGATCGTATGTTGGCACGTAAAAAAGAAGAGCAATCACGCCGTAGAAAACGTAAGGATATTGATATTATTAATGACAATGATGATATAATCGCACAATTATTACAAGATATGAAAAATGCATCAGAGGAGGATAGAAAATTAAATCAACTTGCTAAACCGGCGACAAATAAAATAGCAATGCTTCCTAAAGTTTTGTCACAATTAAAAAAACATGATTTACAATTAGCATTTTTGGAACACAATGTTTTGACTGTTTTAACGGATTGGCTGGCACCAATGCCGGATCGATCATTACCTTCATTGAGAATTAGAGAAAGTCTTTTAAAATTACTTTGTGAGGTAAGAAAAATAATAATTTCATTTTATTTTGCCTGTTGGGCAAATTCAATAATTTCGATTTTTTTTTTCTAGTTTCCAAAAATCGATCAGTCTTCTTTAAAACAATCGGGAATTGGAAAAGCAGTTATGTATTTATATAAGCATCCTAAGGAAACAAAGGAAAATAAAGAGCGCGCTGGTAAATTAATTAATGAATGGGCCAGGCCAATATTTAATTTATCGGCAGATTTTAAAGCATTATCAAAAGAGGAAAGAATGCAACGTGATTTAGAGCAAACGCCACAGAAAAAAAGAAAAGTGGACGCTGATGGTTCATCACAAAAGTCTCAGGACATTAATAAAGCATTCAAAGGAGATTCAAAGTAAGAAAATTTCATTTAAAAATCAATTGAAAATTCATTAATTTTTTTTAATTTTAATTAAAAAAATATTTTTCATATAGGCATAAAATTTGCTAAAAAAAAGGAAGGGGGATAGGGAAAATTTTGTTTGAAAAAAGAAGAAAAATAGAGCAAAATCTAAATATACATTTTCTTGTTTATATTAATAGAATTAAAAAAAAATAGTAATTATTAAATTATTTTAGACCTCTACGACCTGGAGATCCTGGATGGGTAAGCAGAGCTAGAGTTCCAACTCCATCAAATAAAGATTACGTAGTACGACCTGATTGGAAATCAGATATCGATATTAGCAGAGTAAGCATTTTTTTATTATTATTATTTTAGTATAATTTTGACTCTTTCTTTTTACTTATGACTTGATTTGATAATTATTATCAACAATTTCAGAATACGAAAAAACAAATGAATCGATTTGAGAAGCACATGAAAAATTATGTCGATAACAAGAGATTGAAATCTACAAGACGAGCTGTGACTATCTCAATAGAAGGACGTAAAATGGCGCTTTAATTTATAAAAACAAAATTTATTATAAATATTTTCAGTTTTGTTTATTTTGCTCGTATAGAGAAAAATTGCAAAACAATTTAGTTGCAAATGTTGTATGTTGTATGGAATTTTCTTCAATAAATATATTCACGATTTTTTTAATCTATAATTATAATCTAATCTGTATTTATTTTTCAAATATAATTAATTAATTCACTATTTTTAAAAAAAATATTCACAATTTGAAAATTTCGAATTTCCCTCTTTCGAAATGCGCACACTGTGGACAAAACTTGATAAACTAAACCAACCAATGAAAAAGGATATATTGTAACGACCCATCCCTGTTCGTTCAATAGATGGCGCAATTGTCGTTTGACAGGTGCGAATGAACTGACATTTTTAATTCCGAAACATGGGAGTGTGCGCAATTTATTTAGGCTTCTTCTAACGCCTGTTATGTTTTTCGGAGTAAACGAAAGAGAAGAAGAAGAAATTTTTCATTTTCACGGCGTACAATGGACGCCTGTGGAAGTGATAACTTGACCCCTGGACCATCTGTAACAGTGAAAGAAGAAATTAGCGATCAATTATCAACAGTGAGTGAACAAAATGTAACAATAACTGAACAACAAACAAGTTGCACCAGTGAACTCGATAATGATCAACAAATTGAATGCACAACAGAAGGTCATGGAAATGATATTCGTGCATTATTGGCAAAATGTGTTGTTTGCAACAAAACCTTTACCTCGAACGATAACCTTAAACTTTTAGAGTGCCTTCATACAATTTGTTCCGCGTGTGTCGCAGAGAAATGCAATGACCATAACACATCCGTGGATACTGAAGTTCTCTGTAAGTAGCACTTTGGTGCAACAAAAGAAAATCATTTACAATTTGCAGTTATTAAATTAAATATTTATATCTCAATTTAAAGGAAATTTGTCATATTTTCAATAATGTATGACACGTCTTTGTGAATACGATTTCATAAGAAAAAATTGATTCGAACAGCTGATTAGATCATTGATATAAAATTAATCATATACTTTGATTTTATTTACGTAATTTTGTTCAAATATACAACGTAACAAAAATTGACAATATTTGTTTTTATCTAGAGAAAACTGTAATGTAGACCATTTATTCATGGTCGAAAAAATATTACATATCATTCAAATATAAACTAGAATTTATTTACATCATTTGTAAAACACGTGAAAAGGTCAATGTTAATTAAAACTTATGCATAATTAATATATTTTAAAGCATAAAATTAGTATCTGTTTTTTTTTTTTTTTAAATTAATTTTTTCGAAGATTAATTTAAAAAAACTGGGTGAATGCGGCTTATATGAGATTTATGCCAAGTAAGATTTATTTGTAATTATGACAAATGAGATATATATGTCAAATTGAGCTTTATGGCAAATGAATTTTATGTCAAGTGGGATTTGGGGAATATTCATGCACTACGGTTTTATACATGTATATGAGATCAAATGAAAAAGGAAGGTTTACATCAACTTTCTCCAGGGAAAGCGCGGCAAGACCTTTTACGGAAGGTCACACCTTTATGTGCAAAAAAAAAATATTCCAATAGTTAAAATGTCGAATTATTTCAAAATGTTGCCAAAAAAATTTTTTTTTATCATTCTCAATACTATTATTTTTACTACTCTATATCAAAGTAAAAATCTCTTATTGTCTTAAAGAATTAGGAGACAGAGTAAATACGTATATTATTCTTTCTCATGAGTTTTAAATTTATACTCTAATCTCTCTTTATTCTTTTCTTTCAAAGAAATGGTCAATAATTCTTCGAAATTTGTTAAAATTTTGAAAATCTTTTCTGCTACAGTTTATCTGTTTTTCTACGAATCTGAAGCTTAAACAAACAATAAATATATATTCTTATTAAAAACAAATATTTAAAATATTATTTTAGAATGATAGAGATAATTATTTACTTTATATAATAGAAATAATTCAAGGACATTTTAATTAGACAAGTAAATTAAATTAAATTCTGTTTTCAGTGGAGTCGAATCATGTTGTTTGTACATCTTGCAATGTGACAAGCCATGCGGATAATTTGATAGAAAATCAATTCATCTCGAAGGTTACTCAAGAAGAATGCAATGCAGGTCCTGAAGAAGAAAATAAAGATGGAGAAGAAGAAAAACAATGCACAAGCTGTAGCGAAGATGCAAGAGCTACAAGCTATTGTATTGACTGCGAGGAGTTTATTTGTGAAAATTGCGTTATGGTAATTAAACATTTAATATCAATGATAAATATTAGGTTTTATAATTAATAATAATTATAATAAATATTCTTTTTTTCAGGCGCATCAAAGGTTAAAAATTACTAAAGATCATACAATTCAACCAAGAGGATCAATCGCTAACGATGACAGTACAAAAAAAGTTGAAAAGAAAAATGAAGGTTATTTATATTGTCTTATTCATCCTCATGAACAATTGTCGTTATTTTGTCAAACATGTGATCGACTTACCTGCCGAGATTGTCAACTTACTGATCATCGTGATCATAAATATAATTTTATTCACGAAATTGCTGCCACAACGCGTACTTCAGTTTCAACATTATTAAAAGAAGTTAGGTAAGAATTTTCAATTTTTCAATTTATATTTTAATGGAATATGAAATTCGTATTGAAATTTATATTTTAATTTTTACTTTTTCAGTTATAAAAGAGTTTTGTTAAAAAGTGCGATGAAAGTAATAGAAGACAGACAAGTTCTAATATTGGAAAAAAAGAAAAATTTAGTTCAAGATATTACAAATATGGTTGTACAGTAAGTAATAATATAATTTTTCTTCTCGAAAATAATGTACTTAATTTTTTTTTTGAATTTTAGATTAACAAATGCAATCAACGTTAGAAGTAAACAATTGGTAATGCGACTAAACGAAGTTTGCGATCAAAAACAAAATACATTAAACGAAAAGAAAACTGCCTTGGACCAATTATCAAAATTAACGGATCATTGTATTCAATTTGTCAGTTATGCATTGGACAAAGGATCCGATGTCGAGCTACTCTACAGTAAAAAGTAAATTATTCTTATTGATTACTATTATTAAATTATTATGAAGATTTTTTGATTTTTAAATTGTATTTTCAGATCAATTACAAGTCATTTGCAACGGATAAAAAGTAAACGAGCGGATATTCCAAATCCGGAAATTCCTGTGAGAATAAATCTTTCGTTAGAAAAGTTGCCAGATCTAAAAAAAGGTAAGCGTCAATGAATTAAAATTGATTGCATGAATTTCTGTTTAATGTAATTTTTTTAAAAAATTGTTTTCCCTTACAGTGCTATCATCGATAGGTGGTATTGTGGTTGATGGTAGAGTGTATCCATCAACAACTTCAGCGCCGGAGAAAGCTTCGACTCCCGTTCCGTTGCCTGAGCAACCAGCTAAACAACCAACTCCATGTCCACCTGTTCACGTAGATGCTCAACCATTACCACCTCCACCCCCTCCTCTTAATGCTGCGCAACATCCGATGAATTCGATACCTCCACACGCGAACAATATACCACCAAATTATCAACGAATGATTCATCATGTTCCACCTCAACAGCAGCAGCAGCAACAACAACAACAATTACAACCACCTCAACATCAAATACCTCAACATCAAGTACCACCTCAGCATCCATCGCAACCAACACCTCCTCAACATCCACCACAACAACTTCAAACCCACGTACCAAATCACATGCAACATTATCCATCTCACAATATGCCACCACGATCATCCCCCCAAAATCGAATGACATATAATACAAATTTCACAAATAGCATGCAACAACATCAAAATATAATGTTACCACAAAATACTGGCCTCACAGCACATCAACAACAGGTGACATCATCAACCCATCCCCATCAACAAGTACATTTCGATCAAATGAATTCAAACGCAAATCTTCGTAATCTTCTCGCCTATCGTCCACAATCACAACCACAACCAAATCCCATGCATTATCGAATGCCAGCAGGACGTTATCCAATGCCTGGACCACAACAAAGGTCAATTTTAGGCCTTCCCTATCAACCAAATGCACCACCAATGGTACGACTTCCAGCCTATAATAATGCAAATGTCAATCAACATTTAAATTATCCTCCCCATCAACAACAACAACAACAACAACAGCAGCCACAGCAGCAACAACAACAACAAGCAGCACGGTGGCATATTCCACAAAATATGAATTCCTGTCTTCCACATCCTGCTCGTCAACAATCAATGCCTTCAATGCAAGTTCCTCACAATGATAGTTATAAAATAACATTAAAAAATCCACCAGCCTATAATAATAATGAAAGATTTCCGAATATTAATCAAAATTCACATACTTCCAATCAATCGGCAAATTCACCATCATCGGGACAAACAATAAGTTCATCAATGCCAAAAACACCAAGTCCAACATTACTTGAAAAATGTGATGAAATGGAAAAGAATTTGGATAAATTTTGTCAAAAAAATATGAATGATTTAATGATGACTATTGCTAAATTAGATAGTAATGGAATTGTCGTTATACCAGAGGAACAAAAAAATCAATTGGACTCAAGTCAAGTTGATAGTTCTACTGATGAAGGTGTTCATTCTATTGGTTCGGCGAGTGTTCAAAGTTCTTTAAGTAAGTTTTCTTTTTTCTAAATTCTATCAAGTTTTGTTTATTCAATTTTAAGAATTTTTTTTTAAAGGTAAATTACACAGGCCTACAAATTTTAGACCCAGAAATCGGAATAGTCATTTTCGATGTAATTTGTCACGCTAAATCCAAAAATGACAAGGAAATTACTCTATCACGTCAGCATTTTGAGATATTTTAACCTAAAAGCGTGAAAAATGAAGTTTTTGGTAATATTTGACACTCTATAACATCGACAAAAATTTTTTTTAATCATTGGTCCAAATTTCAAAAGAAAGTATTATATTTCCCCTTTCAAAATTTTCTTGGCTTGATCTGATCCAATTTTTTTTCTCTGAGATACAGCCATTTGCGTTTTACATTGCATGAACTAAAATCCCTTTAAAAAAGAAAAATAAATTGCGAAGTACTCATGGCACTAAAAATTGTTACTCAGGGGGTTTTAAAATCGCTAATTACGAATGTGATATCAGATTCAAAAATCTGACATTTAATTCGTAATCAGCGACCCTAAAAACCCCCAAGTAATGAATGACAAGCGAATTCGGTAAATTTTTTAAAAATTGTCCGCCATATGGGATCCGACATTTTGAAATTCAAAAATCTGACGTCAGATTCGTAAGTAGCGACCTCAAAAATCCCCGAGAAATAAGTTTCAGTGATATGAGTACTTTGCAATTTATTTTTCGTTTTGAAAGGGATTTTAGTTCATGTAATGTAAAACTTAAATGGTTGTATCTCAGAGAAAAAAAATTGGATCAGATCGAACCTAGAAAATTTTGAAGGGGGAAATATAATACTTTCTTTTGAAATTTGGACCAATGATTAAAAAAAATTTTTGTCGGTTTTATAGAGTGTCAAATATTACCAAAAACTTCATTTTTCACGCTTTTCGGTTAGAATATCTCAAAATGCTGACGTGATAGAGTAATTTCCTTGTCATTTTTGGATTCAGCGTGACAAATTACATCGAAAATGACTATTCCGGTTTCTGGGTCTGACAAAATCCAAAATTTTGTAGGCCTGTGTTATTATTGTTAATGATTTTTAGAGGCCTTTTACAGTTAAGATGTTTATTTATTGTTTGACATAAAGTTGTTACAACATGTTTCGGCTATTTAGCCCTCATCAGGTAAGTCAATGCACTTTTTTTAAATAATTACAAGTATAACGAACAAATATAAGATAAATACGTGAGTAAAACAAAATCTGTAATAAATAAAAGGATTTCGATGTTATTTATTAAATTATAGGATTAAATTATTAAAATTGAAATAGAGAATTAAATTATTAAAATAGAGAATTAAATTATTAAAATTAAAAGAATAAAAGACTTACCACGTGTTTGATCACATTATTTTAATTTATTAGTTTGATTAATTTTTTTAATTTAAATAATTAAAAAAATTAAAAATTAAAAAAATTAGAAATTTTTAAAAAAATTCAAATTTAAGAATCCATGGTGAATAAATGTTTCATGGTGTTCCATGGTAATATATCTGTTATAGATTCTTAAATTTGAATTTTTTTTAAAATTTCTAATTTTTTTAATTTTTAATTTTTTTAATTATTTAAATTAAAAAAATTAATCAAACTAATAAATTAAAATAATGTGATCAAACACGTGGTAAGTCTTTTATTCTTTTAATTTTAATAATTTAATTCTCTATTTTAATAATTTAATTCTCTATTTCAATTTTAATAATTTAATCCTATAATTTAATAAATAACATCGAAATCCTTTTATTTATTACAGATTTTGTTTTACTCACGTATTTATCTTATATTTGTTCGTTATACTTGTAATTATTTAAAAAAAGTGCATTGACTTACCTGATGAGGGCTAAATAGCCGAAACATGTTGTAACAATTTTATGTCAAACAATAAATAAACATCTTAACTGTAAAAGGCCTCTAAAAATCATTAACAAATTTATAATAAAAAACAGTTTGAAAGAAATTTAACGTAAATTATTATTATTAATAATAATTAATTATTTAGGTACTGCTAAAAGTACGCCAACATCAATATCAAAAGACGATCCAAATGAAGATTGGTGTGCTGTTTGTATGGATGGAGGTGAAGCGGTTCTTTGTTGTGATAAATGTCCAAAAGTCTTCCATTTATTTTGTCACATACCTGGATTAAAAACATTTCCTGAGTAAGTTTTTCTTTGAACTTTCTTCTTTTTTTTTTTATTTAATATTTCTTTAACATATTATTGAAATTAAAAAAAACAAATTAATAAATTTTCAGTGAGAGTGAAACTTGGCAGTGTATGTTGTGTACAAATGTATTGGACTGTTCGGAAGATCCAATTGGTGAGAAACGTCCAAATTGTATGACAGCACGAGAATTAAGAATAGCGCAAAGAATTGTTCTCGAACTTTATTGTCAATATGAACAAAGTCTACCTTTTAGAGAAGTCGTTTCACCTGAGGTAATTTTAATTATTTTTTTTTATTACAATTTATCTTACAAAATAATATAAATGTCATTTTTATATTTAAAAATGTTTTGTTTTAGCAGATTCTCGAATATCATAAGATTATTAAAAAGCCAATGGCCCTGGATATCATCAGAAATAAATTGAAAACTGATAATCCCGAGCATTACACAGATTTAAGACATGTTATGGCCGACATACGATTAATGTTCAAAAACGCTTTCACCTATAATCCTGTAAGTATAACTCCATTTATCAATTACTAATTTTCTTCTTTAATTAAATTCATGTTATTTATTTATTTGTTTTCTTTAGGTTGAATCGCAAATTTATCAGGAGGCCCGTAATTTAGAAGAATTTTTCGAAAAATTATTACTAAAATGGGCGCCAAATTACGCTTATGACGATCCTTTCCTGGCGGCCGAAGGTGATGAGGATGAGGAAGTTGCCCCACCAAACAGGAAATACCGTCGCATTATCAGTGATTAAAAAGTAACAAAAAAAACAACTTATGCCTTATTTGTTTAAATTAAATTATCCATAATGATATAGAAATTTTAGATTAAAAAAAAAGAAAACAGAATTATTATCTGGATTGAAATATTTTGACTCGCTATTCAAATATTTGAACATGTTCGAAATTTATGAATTCAAATTGAAAACAAAGAAAAATTTAATCCATTTAATATATCGGATTTAATAATGTAATATTTTTCGACTTTTTACAAAAAAAATTATCGCACTTTTTCATAAAATATTTAACACACTACAATCCCATTAAAGAAAATAATAATAATTGAATGAAATTACAATTTTCGATTGACTGTTGAAAAATTGTAAAGTCGAAAAATATGAAGAATACAAAAGAAAAAAAAAAGGTGTATCAAAATAATGAAAAACAATCAATATTGTTGCTTTCATATATATTTTTTTTCTTGAAATTTTAAATGTTCACTTAAACCTTTTTAAATTATATATGCTAGATTCTGCATTATAGATTGTTTAATAGTTGAATATGTTAATTACAAATCAAATCGAATGCGATTTGTTCATTTAGAACAAATTTTGAAGGGAATACATACTTTTGGTATAGTTTTTGGGGTTTTTAATATTAAGTAGGAATAACTATGTAAAATAACAATTACGATTGTTTTAGTTGATAAAAAGTAATTGTACGTTAAGAAAAATCATTTTTCTTGTTCAAGAACAAGAATAATTAATTTGTATAATAGTTTATATATCGCATTATTTTTAAATACTTGGAATGAACTTTTTCTTCTTAACGAATTCATTTTTAAAAACCAACAACTGGTTTTTTTTTTTTTTTTTGATCAAGTGTTCTAATTCTATATTAGATTTTTAGATAAAAAATTTTTTTTTTACTATAATTGGAAATCGATTTCAATGTCTTACTAGTACTGCATATTTAAATGAAAGGAAAAAAGCAAAAACGCACTTTAATTTTACAATCTAGGAGAAATGGTAGATTAAAATATATCTTAAAATAATAAGTATATATACAATATAATCGTATCTATCTCCATGTAGATTTGTAAAAGCAAATTTTATCAAAACCAAAATTCAAAATCGTCAATGTTACATTATTTATAATTATATAAATTCTAATTAATTTTACTGATAGTTAAAATTTACCACCAGTGGATTTTGCTGTTTATTTTTCTGTGTTGAATGTTCACAAATGACGTTATTTAATTTCATCACTCAAAATAAAATCGATCTTTTAATATTAAGTTTTCTAAACTTTTTAATTAAACCCATTTTTATAAATTAAGATTATTTAAAAATTAATTAGCGATACCCAAGGAAAATAATAAAGCAATTTTAATTTTTGTTTTTTTATTTTTAAATAATAATATTACAATTAAGGGAATTAGTGTCCAATGTTTTGAAGATAATACATAATAGGAACATTTTCAACATTTAGCATGCTTTCAACTCAAGCACTTCAACACAAACTTTCCCAATAAAAATTTTATATTCAAAAAAAAAAATTAGAAAACTTTCATTTTACAAAATTTCAGCTACAAATTTTAAGAAAAAAAAAAAGCAAAAATATAATCCTTTTTTTACATTTAATTTATATTTTTATAAACAAATTTAATTATAAAAAGAAAAAACTTATAAAAACTATATATTAATTCGAATTTTGAATTCAGAACTTAAGTTTTTTGTTTCAACAATTTTATTTTTATCACATACGCAAAAAACTTTTTCTTTGTAAGAAAAAGAATTTCTAGAGCCTAAGTACAATAAAATTTATTCAGTCTTTCAAAAAATCTTAATCAGTCTCGCTCGCATGCGCACTTATGTTCCTTTTATCAATCGAAAATTTCGCTATTTTGCACTAATAAGAAGCAGCGCGGTAATATTTTTTGTTTTTGTTTCTTTTTTTTAATTTTCATATGGACGAAAGTATCATTTTTTTTTCTTTTTCTTCCTCTTCTTTCGTCAATATATAGTCAACTACAATCATAAAAATTACTTTGATTCTTTTAGATTACAATTTATACACTATTTACAATATTTTCTGCTTTGAATTTCTTTTTTATCCCCTAATTAATTAATCGTATCTCACGATTTTCAATTAGAGAATAAAATTATTTACAAACCACATAAAATTAATGACAAAAATAAACTAAAATCACAGGCTCACTCGTCTCGCTTTTGTGTGTTAATTTACTTATTATTCATATTAAAAGTTACAATAATGCTATAGATTTTATCTTGTTTTAAAGATTATTTTTTTTATGCAATTATACAGGAAGGCGGAAATTAATTTTCCACATGTAGTGAATTTTTTAAATATTATGTAATTACATAATAAACAAATTAATTTTTTAGATAAATTGTAAAAATTATCGTAAATTTTCAAGAATTTGACCATTAAAAAAAGAATTAACGCAAAAAAAAGAGAAATTTTTTTTAATAACACTAAAAAAATGTTATCATTTGTTTAAGGATTGATGCAAAAAAAAAAGTGTATAATTTACATTTGCGAAACGATCCTCTAAAATGTAAAATAAGGAGTTTATAAGCATAATACTCTCTTAACTTAATTCAAATTTTTTTTTTATATACGAACTATGTACATCTCCTTATTATTTAGAAAACGTGCGACGAATCTACTTGTAGATTCTGACTTTTAATTAGTATTATAATATATTTACACAATATCGACTTGGCGTTTTACGAACTAGAAAAATAATAATAATAATTCTTTTTTTTTAAATATAAACTAATGACTGTGAAATAATCTTTCTGAATTTTTAAATCAACTGATTTAAATTTATTGGGAAAATTAAAGTCAATAATATTAAAAAATTGTGAAGAGAAAAAAAAATTTGTGAATAGAAAAAAGAACTCCCATTATAGTTCTAAAAATTTTTGAATATTTTAATATTTCTTTATAAATTTTCCTTGGTGTAAATTTTTAAGTCTCTGATAAAATTAAAAAAAAAATTATTTATTTGCTTGTTAAATTATGAAAATTCAAAAATTATTAAAAGCAAAAAAAAATTAATAATTAATTCAATTAGTTTTCATATAGAATTTATGTAAAATAATTCGCAAATTAAAGAAATTGTAAAAAAAAAAATATGGGAGGCTATAAAAGTTTTCAGAAGAAAAAAAAAAAAAATTTCGTGAATTTTTTTGGAATATTCGATTGATTTTTGATCGTAGAATATTTATAATCAGTTAATTTATAAATCACGGCTCTTTATTCTCGAGCCGTGAGCAATTCCTAAGCAAGCTCTTGTTTGGTTTTGGTTTCGGTATAAAATTGTGTTGTGCCAGGTACATTGGTCGTTGGTTGAAAATGTCGCGAAAGAACATAGACAACGGCCTCATATGTTGACATCATTATGGCGGTATTTGGTATTTGTCTTATTAATTGTGTCGATAGTCCACGATATAATCCCCGTACGCCCTCCTCTGTGCAAACTGTATTTAAAGTTTGCCAAAAACCACGATATTTCGTTCCCTCCTCTCGTAATCTTGTCCTCGCCACCTCTGCAAACAAATTTTTTAATCTATTTAAAATATTGATTTTTTTTTTTTAAATAAAATTCACAGTCTTCAAATATTATAGAATTCAACTAAAAAATAAATTATAAATACAATTTTTTAAAAACTAAATTGAAAAATATTTATTATCAAACTTTGTTGTCCATTAAAATGTTATTAAAAAAAATAAATTATACGAAAAATATAAAATCAAGAACAAGATTGAAAATTCTGGCACAGATGAGATGAATTTCTTCTCGCGCTATGTTTAGATCAACTGTTGAAGGACAAACGATAGAAGAAAATTTTACAAAGAAAAAAAAAAAGAAGTCTATAATATTCTCTGTTGAAAGAAAAAAAAAATTTGTTGAGAACGGAAAAAAAATAAGAGATCGTAAACCACGTGAGTCAGGATGATATTCTAGAACATCAGATAAAATTTAATTTAAACGCAATTTGCTATTTGAAACATTTCAGACATATTTTATAGACACGAAGGCCTTTATAAAGCGCAAATCTTACATAATCTAAAAGTTAATTTTTGTTATTCAATAAACAAAATTTGAAAAAGTATTTCATATTTTTTTTTTATAATTACATGATTTGTTAATTACGTCAAAGAAAATTTAAATAATAAATTTAATTTAAAAATATAATTTTTTAATTACTCTAGAGTAAAATAATTACTTAAATGAAAATGAAATTGTTTATTACAAGTAAAGTAATTTACTAATGACTTGAAAAGATAATTGCATCGTAAATTTAGAAAGATGATTTATGCGCTTATTATTTGAATGCTTAAATCACTTCAAATTAAATTAATAATTTAAATAAATTAGAAAAATCATTTCATAGAAATTCGAAAAATAAACTAAAATACTAACCATGAGGATATGCGATACAGGATGCGACTGTTTTTGAAAAAGCTCCAGCGGCCATAAATTCCAAAAAGTCGCGTGACGATTTTGAATCGTCGTTTTCAGTCACCGTTGACCTGTGAGTCAGAAGCCAAGCTTTGACAGCCTCGTAGATGACGAAATGAACAACTGTCTCGCTAATTCCAAAGTAGGACGCAACGATGCCCTTGTAAAAGCCGAGGAAACCCTGTAAATGAAAAGTCAATGACTCTATTTATTCGTTTCATTGAATCATATATCAAAACAATTTTTTTACAAAATTTAAACATACATTTTTTTTTAATTTAAACGGATTAATTAATATTTATATCCTGAGAGCATATGGAACTTTTTTTTAACAAAACTAAAAATTCTTTTTATCAAATAAAACTTGCCAACATCCATCTACATCCCTAAAAGATGTTTTTTTTTCTGCACTATAAACATCTGCGTGCACAAAAAATGTTACAAAAATAATTCTGCTGGAAATATGAAATGTTTTCTTCCTCGAGAAATTCATCTCTCAATACCAGAAATTTATATTTAATTTTTAAAAAGAAATTTCCCTTTTCAAACAAAAAATCGTTGATAAAATATTTTATTTGAAATGTCTTCCATTTGGCAATGAAAGTGCCGAAGAAACATTTTCAGAAGATATAACGCACATGTTTACACAAAACATTATTTCCTTCTATTTTTAGAATAAATTCCTATTCGTAGGTCATGAGGCCAATTTTAGAAAAAAAAAAAAAATTGTAAATTCCTGTCGCAATAAGAAATCGAAGCTCTCTTTAAAAAAAAAAATCGCGTACAAATATCTAGATTGTGTGATTAAATTCGTATATATAATATAACGGATGAAATTTATTTTTTGATGAATAAACGAAGCTCTGCATCAAAACACAAAAGTTAATTAATACATACACACACACATAAACGGACATTTTTCAAAATCAATTAATATTCATGCAATTAACACGTGTAACTATATTTTTGATTTAATGAATTAAACTTTTTTTTTTAATTAAGAGAGTTTGTTTCATTAAATCAAATTGATTTCGTGGAAAATGAAAATTATACTAAATAGCAACAAAAAAAATAATTGTTAAAAAAAAGTTATATTGAAAAAAGAAAACAAATGAGATGAGAACAATATTATACAGTCGAACTTCGATAATTTGAACTTCAATATATATTTTTTTTTTATTCCTGTATACGATATTTTGTATTTTCGAATTTTCTCTAACTATTTTGGTAATTCGTTAATTATCGAGGTTTAATTGTATATGTGAATTTATTATTTTCATTTTTTTTAGTGAAGCTTTGCAGGAATCTCTGAAATTAAAAATAAATTGGATTATTATTTTTGTTGAAATCGGTTTGCCAGTGCATCATCGAAAGTCTAATTAATTCCTTACCGATTTTCGATATATCCTCTGGACACATTCTAGGGCACTGGCTCGATTTGAATGATGATCTAGTTGAAGTCTCGTTTTAACAAACCAAATGGGGTTCGTCGTTGTACACGCCACAAAACCTGTAACATCAATGTCCTATCAATATGCGACAGAAAATTCACTCAAATAGGACAATTTCACTTCGGTCTTGAGCAGAGCTTGATTTTAAATTAATTTTGTAAAAAAGAATAATAAACAGACTAAAGCAATAAAAAAAAATAATACACTCCAAGTACCTGAAATTAATTACAATAAATAAAAAAAGAAGAAATACGAAAATTTTAATTTCAAAAATTAAATAGTTAAATAAATGAATTAAGATATTATCATTTTATGAAATTGATTTAAAATCAATTTTTGTCATTACTAATTAGAAATTATCAATAAATTTAATTATTTCTAAGCTAATGAAATTAGAATTTCTTTACAAAAAAAAAAATGCATTTCAGAGAAAAAAAAATCCTGACTTCGGTTCTTTTTTTTAAATGCACGAACGCGACGCAGATAAGGAATTTTAATTAATGACCCCCAGTGATTTTTATCAATACGAATCGATTTACCAGAAGCGAACGATTATTTTTATCTGAATTAATAACTTTTTGATGATATCAATGTTGATGATTTATTCGAAATGATTGTAATATTACTAAAAATTAATTTTTTATCGATTATGAATATTAATAATCTTTCTCGCAATATTTTTTATCTTGTTAGAATTGAAAAATTCGGAAATTAATTATTTGAAACTTTCAATGTAAAATCAAAAGTATATTGAAACTATGAATAATTGAAATAAACGAAAATTTTTTTGAGGGGAAATCTTATTAAAAATGTAAAATATATAAATAAAATTCAATTTCATTTCGGAAATGATTGAAAAATTTTTTTTTCTTTAAATTCGCAAATTTTCTTTGATTTTGTCTAAATATGGTTTTAGATTGAATTTTTTTTTTTTATCTTGAGCATAATAAAAGCTCGTGAAATGACGTAGTGTGTTGTATTCGTTGGACCCGTTGACCCAGTTTTATAGGAAGACTTGCAGGGCAATGCCCCATCTGTTTCTACCTGGCAATGTGTATTTGCAATAAGTGACACTATGTGTAAGTGTGCTCACGAACAGAACAAACTATTTACAACATCATCATCATCATCTTATACTTGTCTTGTGTGTTACTTAACGCTTCATTTATTCTATGCTTTAAAGCTCTCAATGTGAGATGACAAAATTTCCATTTTTTCATCGTCAACAATCATAATTATAAAATTAAATAAAAAGAGAAAAATTCTAAATATTTTTCCTTATTCATTGATTATCACACAATTTTGCCCACGACCTATTCCAATATTATTTCATTAAATATAACATAGTCACGTGTGTCAATATTATTTCGTAATTCGTCAACTTTGCTCATAATTTTTCCTTCCCTTTTTTTTTTTTTTTTGAATTTAAAAAAATAATTCTAAACATTGTGGAAAAATCAGTCCCAGATAATTTAATTTTTAATCCTTTTAAAACTAAATCCTATTTTAAAATCAATATTCAATATCGAAAATCGAAAGCTGTTTATAAGACGAAGCGTAAAAAAAATAGATTATTATTGTCACGTGCATATTAGAGAAAAAAGAGTGGCGCTTACTTAAGCAGAAAATACACATTTGTTATTGCGTTTTCTCTTTTCTTTCGTACATATTTGTTATAAAAATATCGATTAAAATTTTTAAATCATGTCAAATAATTCAATTTAATTTTTTTCTTTTTAATTAGAAATATTAATTTATTATTAAAATGAATTTTTTAATTTAATTTTTTTTTTTTAAATAAAAAAGAAAAAACAGTTTAAAATTTCGTCAATGTAATCAAATATATTGATCTCTTTATTTTTTTTCTTTCCTTAAGATATTTTCTCTATGACTTTTATAAACTGGGTCAAACCCTTGTGCGCAGTCAATAAATGGTTCTTGATAAAGTTCATGAAAAGCAATTTTTGATTTTTTGTTTTGCGGGTTTCAAAAGTTAATTAAACGCTAAATTACTTTCTTGAAAGCAAATATATATATATAATATTCAAGAGGATGTCAAAATTAATTATTGACAACGAGTGAATAATAAATTGACTCTCATTGATCACGTGCAGCATACAAGTATGCAATATTTATAAATTTAAAAAACTATCAATAGAAAATAAAAATTCCTCGATAAAGAGATTATTTTTCAATGTAGACGTGCAAAATGTTTATATAAATCACAAAAAAAAAAATAAAATGTTTAATGATAATTTGAAAAAATTATTCTCTCGGAAATTTTGCTTACGTGACGTTAGTCTCGTGTTAGAATCGTGATAATAATTTATTATTGTTCTTGTTAATTTTTAGATATTTGATAATTATAAATCTATATTAATACAGATTTATCATTAATAGATTAATAATTAATTTAATTAATTGTTTGATTAATTTATTTTAATTAGTTTTAAACTATAATTTTAAAAAAGAAACTTCTAATTTTAAATAAATTAGAAATTTATTTTTTGCATTAAAATCAGTTTATTTTAGTGTCACTTGTATTATAAGGATTTTAAAAATTAACGAATATTGACAAAAATTTACCTCTGAATAATAAAATAACAAGAATCCTGAAATAAAATGTTGAATCTTTAACATTCGAATTTCTGTAATTAATTTTCTTCTCGAGATTTTGTGACAAAAATAGACTACCAAATTGACCCATTATAGAAAATTAAAATGACCGTGAGATTTCTTTTTTTAAATTTAAGATAAAAACATATTCTGTTTTAATTTTGGATAATGGAAAAAATTGTAATATTTTTCTCAATTCTAAAAATATACAATATTTTACGAATATTTTTTTTTTGTTTTATTGCTGTTAAAGATAGTTAATTAGTGAAAAATTAAAGAAAGTCGAGTTCCAAGTTACTTTTATTCGCGAGGACATTTTTTTTTATATATAAATTGCTCAAAAGCTTTAAAGCTTCAAGAGAACAAATATTACAGGGAATTTCACGACCTACGTTGACACTAATTGTCAAGGACAATATCGGTATTTTCGCTTACATAGCTAATCTAAAAATAGTGAAGAGCAATTGAAATGATCACACACGCAGGCTCATTATATACTTTTGAAGAAAAACAAAAAAAAAAATATAGAAAAATAAAGCACAAAAGTGCCGGAAATTGACGATAAAAAAAAATTTCAAATTACAGAAATAGTTATTGTCAATCAGTGATTATAAAGATAAGGGAAAAAATATATAGATGAAAAGATGTTAAAAGAAGATTCATTGTATATACAAAAGAAATAATCAGCACGTGCGATTCCTGACTCGAGGCACGTATACCAAAGCACCTGTTTTTGTTTCTTTATGTATACGCCTCTCTATAAAGATTGTTTACGAAATTTAATTGAAAGTAGAACTGTTATATGGCCAAATGTTAAATGCGACTTTAAGACAATGATTTCTATAATTGTATCGCACGATCCCAATGAGGTAATGATCTTTTATCATCGCTAATTAATCATCAATTATTTCTGGTCACAACTGAGATCATCAAACCTTCTCGTTTTCTTTCTGGTCTCAATTTCTAAATATCATTTTTACAACCTGAAATCATATTCTCATTATTATAATTGTTTCATTAAAAAATTAAAGAAAAAAAAATTATTTTAACACATTTTTAAAAATAGTAATAATAAAATTAATTTAATAATAGTTATCATAATGTAATTAGAAAATATTTTAGCTTAAAAAAATATTAAACTTAGTTATAAGATGCTGAACCGACAAATGACTAACATTTTGATTTCCGGTAATTCATGTTGATTGCTTCAATGAATTACAAACGACTGGGATACTATTAATAGTAAATGCCGCGTATATTTTCCGATATGATCGTTCACTCTTAAGAGGTGCAATGTACGTATTTACTATTCCCGCAATTTATTTCAAGGACAATAATGAAAATGAAACGTTCATGTATGTGTGTCAACAATGTTTATAGTCATTTATTTTTCAAACCAAAGTTGCATGCAAAAGTTAAAAAAAAAAAAAAAAAAAAAGAACAACAACAACTTCATTTCCAATTCTGAAAAAAATTACCGGTTATTTTGTAATTACAAATGTTTTTATGATTTTTTTTTATAAATAAATAAAAATTTAGTTTTTTTTTTTAATAAAAATTTCGAATTTTCTGTATTATTTGGAGGAATTGATTTTTTAGATTAGATTGGAAAAACAAATAAATTGTCATCAAATATCGCGTTGTGGATAAATAACGAAAATGAAAAATTGATTTCTCTGTATACAATATATAATCCTCCCATCCACCCCCTTGAGTTCACTGCCTACGTGACTGTGAACACGTGGTTCTCCTCAGGTTTGCAATTTATTTGTGAGAGCAAAGACCTGAAATTGTGTTCAATGGTATGAGATTTTTAATGAACAAGGCTGTGTTCCCTTTTCGAGAATAATAATTCGAAAGTTAAAAACAATAATCATTGTTGCTCGTAAAAAAACAAAGATATTTAATTTTCGAAAATTTTCATTCACGTAAACAATCATTAAATACGCAATGTTTTCGAACTATTTGTGTGTTTTTTTTTTTATTCAAAACTAAAATGATTTAATCTTAGAAGCAAATAGTTATGCAAAAAGGTCATAGTTGTCATGAATGCAATGTTGTTTTGCACTTGCCGCGTAATTGCATCAAAAATAAATTAAGTATCATCAACGTATATATATATACCATTATGCGAGAGACAGAAAATGAATTTTTAACTCAACAATTACATTTTGATAAGCAAGTCATACAGTTCGAAAAAGAATTATTTATAATCAGGTCGCTCACACGCAATTTTTATTAATTATATATAATTAATTTTAGAATTTCTTTTCCTTCCTACAAAATAAAAATTGTAATTTTCTTCTTTTTATAATTACTAGATTAAAATAAATAGAAAAAATTATAATTTTTAATAGAAAATTAGATCTAATCGTATATAATTTTGATGTAGAGATTTTTTTCATACTTTACATTTAAAAAAAAAAAAAAAGATATAAATAGTTTCTCGTTGACTGTATTTGATAAGTTAAACGATAATTGTTGTGTGAGTGTAATTTTCTCATTCTGACAATATATACATGCAAATGAAACACATACACTGATAAATTATGTAGGCATGTAGGTAATATGTACATTAACGAATGATTGAGCTCGCGTTGCACAAGTTGTAAACAGATGAGCATGACCCGACAAATGTCTCTCTCCCCTGCAGAGAAATCTTTGTCGAGCCCATTGTCTGAGTTCAAGTTGGACTTAGTTTTTAATTCAATGATATAAAAATTATTATCAATCATATATATATATATATATACATTTATTGTATTGTACATGTGTGAAAAATGTCTTTGCTCGAATTAATATTCATTTATTCATTCAGGAATTATTTAAAACAACATTTTTATAATGTAATACATTATCACAAATTGATTATTTACTTATTTATTATCACTACGATATTTTATCATTATTATCAAATAATAATAGTAATAATAATTTGCAATTATGTATATATTTAAAAAAAAAGGTTTTTTCAAATTTCATCTGCTATTTTTGATTGTTTACCATTAATTTGTATTATTATTTAAAGAAATGTAATTAAAATTTTTTTTTGAAGTAAAAATAAAGTAAAGACAATTTTTAAATCGCCTCGAGGAAAAATTTGTCAAATAAATGTTAATAAACTCTAAAAGAATGTAGAAGTTGCGCAATACATCTACTATTTTCAATGATCATTGCGTAATTGGAGATGCTATGAATTTATCAACGAGATGGAAATGTACGAGAAAAAAAAATTGTACTATCCATTCACTCAAAGTTTGAATGACAAAATAATTATAATAATAGTTAATTTTATTTTTGCAAATAATTTTCCTAAATTCAATTTTAATTTCAATGAATATCATTTTTTTTTTTTTATTAATTAATTCGTAGTTAATTATTTTTTTTTGTATATACTTTTTTTATATTTTATTATTATTTTTTTTCCGTTTAATAAAATATTTAAAATTCACTATATAGATTAAATATTAAAAATTCGATTAAAATTAAATTTAGTATGAAATTAAATTTCAAATTTTCTATTACGCCTTTTCAAATGTAATTCTCAACTATTTTCAATTGATAATGACATATCAATAGATTTATAATTAAATTCTCAAGTGTGTCTATAGTGAAGAGTATTTTATCAGCTTTTGTATATGTAAAAGATCAGAGGGCATGAGAAATCGTAATAAGTGTCTATATATTATATATGTATAATTCAACGTCTCTAACAAGCCCTTTTGATAAAAATAAATCTATGACGCGCATTGACAGTTATTATCACCATGATTCGCGTAATTCGATTACAAAAACTAATGACAATAGATTTATAATTATTATTGCTCTAGATATATTAACATTAACGCGTAATGCAAAAGTTAAAAAAATCTTTTAAATTAGCGAAAATTTCTATTCTTAAATTAAAAATTCTTTTTTAAATTTTGTTTTTTCCACACGAAGATGTTGACAATGTTTCTAAGTACTTTAATGAATAAATTCAATTTTATAAATGGAAGGATATTATAAGTTTTTCCTTGAGAGAATGCGTCTCTCATTAATAATATTAAAAAATAACATAAAAAAATTGTTAAGAAAAATTTTTTATACTAACCGGCACAAGATGCGGAACAAACGTGAACAACTGGACTGTCAGGAGGTAGACAAGAATTAAAGAAGCCCTTGCTTTGTGAATATGTGCAGAAATAAATCGCCCTTGAGGGCGCAACACCGACGAGATTTGGTCCTAATCCCTTAAATAAGGCCCGATATCCTTCGTTGTCGATGATATATTTTATACAGTGAATAAAATTCGGAGTATGTGAATGTGGAGTACCGCCCGATGTTCCATAATGAGACAAGACCATTGAGTACCTGACAAAAAAAGAAAAAAAGACTTCAAAATTTTTTTAAATTAAATTCACAATTAAAAATTTTCTAAATAAAATTCAAGTAAATAAAAATTTTTCGAGATCAGAAATTAATAAATAAAAAAAAAAATACCTTGGATTTTCACCAGTACATAATCGTCTTTGAGGCGGATTTGGAAAGGTTTTACATGTGACATGACCGGAAATAAATTCCTTGTTTCCAGGGGGGTAGAAACCAGAGGTAGAAGATTGCAATCGTGTTTTAACAACTTCAAGAGGACAAGTCGCAATAGCACCAACTGTTCCAGCCACTCTGTGACAAATTTAAATTTATCTCATCAATATTGTCATATAATTAAAATTTTATTTTTTTTTTTTCTATTTTACGCTCTTAACTTTTTACTCAAAAAAAAAATTAAATTGACAAAGAAAAACAACAAAATAAGTTAATTGGCAAATGTGTTTTTTTTTTGCTCCAATTAGAGGCTCATATATAATTTTTGTAAAATCGATCCACGTGAGATATATATTTGAGTCGAGAGATTGAAAGAGAAGGTAAGACCGGTTACATATACAGGTGTACAAAAATTCCGCATATGTCTTTATATACAATCATTGAACTTACACTTTTACATCGAACCGGCTAGAATTCATCGCATGTATATATACTTCTAAATATAGCTCAGGAAGTCTCTGACTGTAGTATACTCTCTGTCGAGTCGGCATACTGCCACTTCAAAACACAAACAACGTATAGTATGTTGTTGTTTACCGGCTCTTTAAAAAAAACGCATCTAATTCTTAAAATTTCATAATTTACCTGTCAAATTTAACAAATTTATTCCTCCAAGTAACAAATTTAATATCAAAATTAACAAAAACAAATTTTTACAATAGAATACTGCGCATAAAAAGAAATCACAAAATATTTAAAATGTTTTCTTATTTTACAAAAAGTAAAATAAATTAATTAATTTCGAGATAAAATTAAATTTCGACTATTTCAAACCAAATATTATTAACTAATAATAATCAGAAATTACAAATTATAGTTTCTAAAATGAGTCTAGATAAGAAACTTAAAAATATGTTGCGTATTTTTTTTTTCATATCGAATAGAATTACTCATCAAGAATATCGTAAATTGTTTTTACATTATTAATAAATTTTTTTTTTTTTGCAATTTCCCTCAGTATTATAATTATCTTTTGAAATTTTTGTCTATTAAAAGTGTTTTTTTCCATCATCTAAATGACAACAACTTCTTGAATTTTTAATACATATAAAAAGGAATTTCTTTTTTCAAATATAATTAAATTTCCAAAATCAAATTCTATTTGACTTTTAATCAAAATTAGGTCACTGCACTTTTATCATGTGATGTAACCAAATAATGATCAGATGATGATTATACTTTAACGCAAGAGGCAAAAATAACAAAATTATTTTATATGAATTTTGGCAAAAAAAAAAAGCGTAGAAAAATAGAAATTTTGATTGAAAATCGATGTTTAGAAATGACCACGTTGTAAAAACTAAAAAAAAATTGTAATATTTTCGACACTGCGCAATAGAATCTGTGTCGCACATTACGTTATAAGTATTGGCCTAGGTCTTGGATTCTAATGTCTATAGACAGATTGATTTAATTTTGTTTTTCAACTAAACTTTCATATAAATCAAAAAAAAAATAAGCAGCGCAAAATTATGCGAACTTATTTTACGAATGTCAAAATCTAAAGACAAATTATAAAACATTAACAATGAGACGATCTGACTATATTTCTCACTTATCATTGTTTACCTCTTTTTTAAATTTTCTTATCAATTTTCAGTAATAGATTACTAAATATTAAATAAATGTCAGCAAAACGTAGAGAAAGTCCATGGAAAGATGGAGGGTTTGAAAATCAATGGAATTTCAAGATTAAAAAGAAAACCGGTTACTTGGAAGGACTATTTTTCAAGACAAAATTTCTAATGTTGAAAAACAATAGTATCGTCATGTTTCAAAATCAAATATGATTATTTATAATTAAATGTGACCCACCCTCCGGCAACAAGGTGTATTACAGTGTCGCGCTGCGACATTATTTGATGACAAAATAATAGTTTATTCCGCTATCACTCCGGTCTTCTTTTTTGTATTCACTGTTACAGTTTAACTCCCAAAACTAAAACACACTATTTCACTATAGGTAAACAAATCCATAAGAAAGACCGTCAATCACGTAACAAATCAAGTTTATTTTCAATGATTTTGTTTTTTTGTCTTGCGGTATTTTTTTTTTTTTTTTATCGGCACACACTACAAATAATTCTTCACCGGGAAAACACAACCATCACGTATTGTCGCCTTTAAATAACTGAAAACATTAACGTTTTGCGGAGCTTAACCTGCGCCAGCGGAAAAATAAACTTTAACCAATGAGCAAGCAATGAAGAGAGAGAAATTGCGCGCGAACTATAGTTTAATTTTCAACCGTAGTAAACAAAAGCGCTGTTAGGCGCGAAATTTCAAATTTCACTTTTTAAAAAACTATTACTATTCTTAATTAAGGGAAAAATGAAATATAATTTAAATCGATTGTAAATAAAATAAAGAGAAAATTTATTTAGTTTAAATAATATATATTTTAAAATGTGCAGTTTACAAATATGGTTCTCTTTTTTTTTTGCAAAATAAATAAAAAACTTTTATAAATTATCATAGCTTATGATTAGTAGTTGCGATGACTAAAAATTCCAGTATAAAAAAACGACGACATAAAGCACTAATAAGGCACCTTGTTAGAAGTGTCAATTTTCTTAAAAATGTAAGTTTTGAAATTTTCAAAATTACATGTACAGAAAAATACTGTAGTTAAAAAAATACTGAATACTTCTTTGTTTAGTCTACTTTTTTGCATAGAATATTCTGAATTTTTTATATTAAAATAAATAAACTTTAAACATAACTTATTATAATTATAAATTTTTAGTAACGAGAACTCAAAAAATAGTTGCAAAATCATGTCAAAAGCATAAAAAAAAACTTAAAGCTTGAAAATAAAGAAGAAAATAATTAGAAATAAAGAAAAAGAAATTTAAAAAAAGAAAAAATAAATTAGAACTTGGAAGAGAAAAAAAATTAAATCTCTTTTTTTGTTATTTAAGCGATATCTTCTTCTTTTTGCTTCTCGACAGCAAGATGCATTGCTCTTAAGAAACGAGGAACTGGACATTTCGTCGAATGTGTATAAAGTGCATGAGCCAAAAATGGAATTTTTCTCAAAACTCGTCCACTCATTCCCACACTTTGTTTACTTAATTCCAATAATTTTAAACTGTGTCTCGTTTCACTGTTTTCTTCATAACCAAATTTTTTCAAATATGCAATGTCACATAAAACTTCTGACTCTATGAATCCAGTCTTAAATAATAAAAATTAAATTAAATTTTTTTTTGTACTTTAATAATAATAATTTTTATTATAATTAATTGACTTACCCTCATTAATTCTTTAATGCAAGAATGATAAATTTTGTAAATTGCCTGCTCACTGGGAAGTCCAATAAATTGTTTAAGATCAGCACGATCAATGAACGCCAAATCAATTGCTTCAGTCACATTACTTGTCGTGAGTATTATAACATTTGAATATTTTTTTATTTGATCCAGTTGTGTTAATAATGCATTTACAACTCGAATCGCATCACTTGGTTCAGTTCCATTTGTACATGATTTACGCACGTGAGCAAGAGATTCGATTTCATCGATCAACACACAAACGAGAGCTTTTGGATCTTCTAAAAGACTTTTTACCTCATCGAAAAGTTTCATTACAAGCTTACCACTCTGTTAACAGAAAAAAAATTGTTTTCTTTTGTAAATTATTTTTTAAAGAAAAAAAAATTAGACGAAAAGAAAAATAACCTCTGAAAACCATTTGGAAAATAAACTATGACTATTTATTTCAATAAGTTCGCCACGAGTGTAATAATTTCCAAGACGAATTGATGCTTTTTGTGCGAGAGCTTTACACAAACTTGTCTTTCCTGTTCCAGGTGGTCCATGAAGAAGTATCACTTTATTCCAACTTATTATATTTGGATCGACTTTTCGATCCGAAAACAACATTGTCGTCTCCACAAAGTGCAAAAGCTGTAATTTATTTTGTTTTAATTATATTTAAATAAATCTTTTTGAAAATTTTATTTTACAATAAGAAATCACTTACATGCTCTTTAATATCGGATTCGTAAATAAGATTTTCCCATAGACCGTGAAATTCCACTGATGGAAGAATCCAATGAGATGCAGCAGCCATCTCGTCAGATTCACTTTGAATTGTTTCAGTTGCTGCACATTCTTCAGTTAATTGATAAACATAAACTTTCATATTACTGCTATGAATTTTCATGTGCATTCTCTGTAAAGAAACATATTTTTTTTTATTTTATTCTAATATTTAAAAATTTTTTTATTAATTAAAAAAATTTATTTATTCATAAAATTTTGCCTCTACTGTTTTGAAAAACAATATTTATAAAATTAAATTACCTCAGGATTGGTACTAGAACAAATTACTGATTGAACATGATCTTTAACAATATCCTTGGAGAATTTTTCCCCAGGTATCGGCACATTTAAAGTAACTTCATCCAAAGAACTCAATTCGGCTCTCACTATCTCTTCTATGTCATTTCGAGATAACATACTGTAATATTAAAAAATTCATTTTTAATAATACATGTTTCTAACCTCCATGGTAAATTTATGAAATTTTAAAATTGCACAATAAAAACAAGAGAATTTAACAAAAAATCTCTTTGTCTTGTATTTTAATTAGTCGTAATATTTAGTAAATTAATTCAAAGTAAGAAATCACTTGAATAATTCAATGAAAAACAGTTAAATTTTATAATTAAAAACACGCGGCGTGATAACAAAGGCAAAGTAGCCGACAAAGCATTTAAACAAAATAAATGAATATTTACCTTTCATCATTCTGACAGATTTCCACGTGAATTATATCATGCATATCCATTTTAAGTTTTGAAATTCAAATTGAATTTAAAACGTTAAATAATTAATAAATATCAAAAAATAATATAATAATCACACTCAACAATGTGGTAAACAGACTTTTTTATTTAAACGACTGATTTCACTGGTCAAATTTAAGGTACATTTACAATGAAATCTATTATCCTTAAGAGGTATTTACAAATAAATATAAATCTTTGTTTTAGGGGAATAAAACAAAGAAATTAATACAAAGGTAATTAATTAAGAAAATTTTTAATTAATTTACATAATTTTAATATTTTTATATAAATTTCTATCTTTTTTCTTTGAAAATTTTGACATTTTCTCGGAGGAAATTCAAATGACAGATGTCAGCACTGTAGTTCGATTTTTTAAATATCTCTTTTTCTCCTCTTATAAACTTATAGTTTTTGACATTTACAAGACGCTTGGCATTTTGTAAATTTTATTAACGGACAAAAAAGAAGTGACGATAATAATAATAAAAAACGTTTTGTTGTCAATAGAATATATATAATAAAAATTAATCTTTAAAAATGTAGAAAGTTGTATTAGTGACAATAGATAATATATAATTATTAATAATCTGGTCAAGTAAATATTTTAGTTTAAATTTTTCGTTATAATTTGTTAAAATAAAAAAAATAAAAAAAAAAAAACCATTAAAACGTTATGGATGAAGAAGAACGTAGAAGACGCGCCGTGGAAGCAGGAAAAGAAATGGTTAGCATATTCATATATATTTTTATATTTATATAATGCCATATTAATTAAATGTTGGCTATTTATAAATACAATTTGTCCCTTTCAATGGTATATGCTGAAAATAGAAAATCCTCTAATCGAGTTCGTCGTACCTTGTATTCAGAAATAACTATTTCTTACGTTTCCTATTTAATGTTGAGCTTTTCTTAATAAAAGTATGTTTCTTGTCTTTAAAGGCTTTTATCAATTTGTTTACTGTACATAATACTTTTTGAACAGTAAACTTATTGTTTGTAAGCCAATGTCATTAGAGACACATTGATTAAAGACATCTAGATATATATATATATATATATATATATTGATATTTTTATTGTTGTGTGGCACATGAATTCTTGTAAAATTAGAGAAGAAAAAAAATTATACCAATTAGCGTTTAATTTATTAAAAAAAAATAGTTTACATTTTGTTCTGGCTATTTGATTTATTTTTTAATTTACTTACATAATCTTTTTATTTCAATTATTATTATTTTTTCTATTTAAAGTTTAATTAATAATGAAATTTTGTTATTAATATAAATAAGGGTATTATTTATTAATACGTTCATTTAGAAAGTACTTAATAGTAAATTGAGAAAAAAATGTAATTATGTAATTTTTTTTTTATTTAAATGTTAATAAAATTTAATTAACGAAATAAAAATAATGAATAAAATGTTGAAAAAATAGCAATATATTGAAATGAATTTGTTTCAGCTTGAAAAATTTAAAGCTGAACGATTAGCACGAACATCACAAGCATCTGACGATGATTCCTTTCGAAATAGTTTACCAAGACAATATTTAGGACCCGAAGGTGCCAGTGTAAGTGTTTGCTATATATTTTTTAAATAAAGGGCGATAATTAAATTTATTTTATAAATTTTTATTTTAAAAATAATTTTTGAAATAATTATTATTTATTGTTTAAAAATAGGCAAATGAAAGTGTCTTTTCTCGCGATGTAACATATAGCAGTGTAAGTATGAGTGAAGGCGAGGGAGAAGGAGAATTGGAAGTAATGGCTGGTAGAGTAGCAGAATTAGAGGAATTAGTACAGGGAAAAGAGGCTGTTGTGGAAGCATTAACAGCAGAAATAGAACATCTTCGTGGTGATAATTCCTCACCAAATTCATCTCACAACAGTAGCCATACTAGTAGTATTCAAAATAATTCAAACATCATAGCCATTTATCATTCTAAAGTGAGTAGAAATTTTTAACTCCATTTCGCAAATATGCAAAATAAAATAGAAATTGTAAAAAAATTACTATTTTACAAATTATATCATAACAATTAGAAATTTAAAAAGTTCAATGTGAATGTAGTTACAAAAATTTAACAATCTTTTGTTTTTTTAGCTTCAAGAGTTTGAATTAGCCGTTCAGCAACGTGATAAACTTATTGAAGATTTAACCTCGTCTTTAGTGCAAGCCTTGGGTGCTCGTGATAATTTAGTTGAACAGTTAAATGCTCTCAATGCTGTACAGTTAGAAAATCCAAATGTCGAGAAACTCACACAAGAAAAGGTATAATTAAAATTACTCGCTGTGAATTTAGATTATTTATAAATTTTAGATTTAAACTTTAATGTTTAATTTTTTTTTTTTTATTTAGATTAGTGCCTTAGAGTCGAATGTCGGCGAACAAAAAAATGTGATTAATGATCTTAAGGAAAAAATCAAAAATTCTTACGAGAGGATACAAAAATTAGAGATGGAGAAAGAATTACAAAATTCCGAAATTGGAGATTATAAAATGCAAATTAATAATCTTAATAAAGAAATTCGCGCTGGCGTTGAAACAATAGAACAACAAAAATTAGCCGAAGCTCGAGTTGAAAAAGTAAAAAAAGAAATGCAGGTCCTTATGGAAAAATTCACAGCTGAAATTAATGCAAATGCTTTGGAACATCAAAAAGAACTTGCGGTAATTATTAATATTTTTTTAATTTTCAAACTTCAATTTAATTACTTTTTTTATTTTAAAGGAATTGGAAAAGAAGTACGATCATGAATTGGAATCAATTAAGGAAACATACGAGAAGAATATACAGAAAATAAGAGATGAAAAAATAAAACAGGAAAATGTTCATTCAAAAGAATTGGCAGTTTTTCAGGCACAGGTGGTGAATTATAAAAAAACTGTTGAGGCATTAAGACTTGAGCTAATGAATCGCAGTGAATTACAATCATCACGAACAAATTCAAGTTTACAACGTTCAAAAGTCGATGATCTTGGGGATGATTTATTAAATGAACAAATACGTTTACATAAAATTCAATTAGACGATATGACTGCTAAATATATGGCAGCGGCAAGTGTTCTTGAATCAAAAGAAAGTATTGAACGTTCATTGGAGCAAGCTCTATCCGATGTTGCCGCTTTGAAGCAAGAGAACGAAATTCTTAAATTTAAAATGGATGATCTTACAGCTCGTTATGCGGCCGCTCAATCTCTTCTTGAAAATAATCAAATGCACGAGAGATCGCTTAATACAAAAATTTACGATTTAGAAAAAACTCTATCGCGTATCAGTGGAATTAGTACAAATTCATCGCCATTTGACGCGACTGTTTATCAAAATCTCGATGATTTTGCAACTCAATATCAACATCATCTTCTTGAGCTTGAGGAAAAATCACATTTAGAAATGAAACTTCAAAGTCGTATTCAAGATCTCGAGAAAAATATTCGTGAAGCAAATGATGAATTAGAACAAGCTAATAATATGAAACGTTCATATGAAAAACAATTAAAGGAAATGAAAAATACATGTGATAAATTAATTCAAGATGCATCGAGAAATGAAAAAAATGATGAAATTGAAAATTTAAAGAAAATTCTCCACGAAAAAGAAAATGAAAATAATGAATATAAAAATAAATTCCAAGAGATTAATGAACGTGCAAAAAAAGTTGAAATTGAAAGGGAAAAATTGAAAAATGGTTTAGCTGCCGCTTGGGCAGAATGTGCTGAATATAAACGATTAAATCAAACACTAATGGGTGAAAGTAGAATTGATGATTCAATGATTTCTGAAAAAAGTCACATTATTGAGGAATCAAATAATAATTTGGATTTAACAAATTTGGAACAATCAGGAAATAAAAGTTCAACTAACGATAGTACAAAAACAATTGCCAATATTTCAAATAATGAATTCATGAAATTACAAGAGGATTTCGAATTTATCACCAAAGAAAATGAACGTCTTGTAAATGAAATAAAAGAAGTGACAGTAAAATTGAAGAATTATCAAGAAATGGAGAAAATAATTGACAAATATAAGGAACAATTTGAAAAATTAAGAAACGAAAATGAAAAATTATTAAATCAAATTACTGAATTGAAAGATGAAGCTGAAAGTATTGATTCATTGAAACAATGTATCGATCGTCTTAATAAAGAAAATGAAAAATTTGTACAACGTATTGATGAGATTTGCGCGAAACATAAGGGAGAAATTAATGAAACCGAAAAGAGACATCAGGATGAAATGGAAGAGTTGAGAACTTATTTTGAACAAAAATGCCTTCAAATGGAGAAACAATATTCAGAAGAGATTTTTAGTCAACAATCAAAGAAAATGTCGGATGATAGTGAAATTGAAGAATTAACGGAAGATTTATATTATGGCGGTGGTGGTGATTGTGGTGCGAATGTGACAAATTTTGATAGTCACTCAAAAATTGAGACTTCTTTAACAAATGGTGAACAGACTACTACTATTGCTGAATATAAGGCAAAAATTGAATCACTACAAGAAACATTGAGAAATATTAAAGAAAATGGATCTCGTACTTCTCTTCTTAAGGCTGTTAATCAGGTAAATATATTATTTTTAACAATTTCATATTTTTTTTAGCTAACATTTTTTTATTAACATTAAAAAAACATTCATTTTTTGCAGTTAAAAATTTTTATTTACATATTTAAAACATTTTTTGTTTTTATTTTTATTTTATGGTTCCTTTTCCTAAAAGATTATAATATCTTATTTTTCTGTTATTTTTTGTTTTATTTTCTTCTTTTGTCCTATTTGTCTGGTTTTTTGTTTTTAGATTTTTTTTTGTCAAAAATTTTGCTTCATATTTTTGGTATAGAGGTAAATTTTTGCACGATTCATCGATTAACATTTTTGTTATGTTTTTTTTGTTAACAATTATTAATAAGGTTTTTTTTCGATTTAACTTTCTAACATTGTAATCCTCATTTTTGTGTTTAATTAACTTTTTTGCGTGATTCCTAAACGCATGTAGTGTTGTCAAACTGATTTGGACGAAACAGCGTTGGAAAATAGTGAGTTGACGAAATTACGAGCCGCTTATAATCATCAACTTGAAGAACAAGTGGCACTTGCTCGGCTCGATATTGTCAATGCACTTCAGGACCAGATTCAGGTAGCTTTTTTAATGGGCTACATTGCAACAAATTCCTTCCATTTATTTTCATCTGTGCTTTGTCTTTGTTTTTTAAATTCATTAACTTGGATTTTGGGATTCATTTTCTTATTAATATTTTATAAAAATATTTATTTAATCATTCATATTAATCAATTATCAAATATTTATGGTATTATTTTCATAAAAAATAATACAACTTAAATAAAATTGAAATAAATTATTTATTCTATAAATTAATTGAAAATTCTGAAATAAATCTATTTTTTAAAATGTTTTACTTTAATCAAATTAATTAGAACGTAAATATCATTTGAAATTGACAAATTTTCAATATTTATTTACTTTTTATTGTAATTTTTAAAATGAGTTTTCTCTGTTACTTCAGACTTTACTCACAATTGATGCGGACGTCGAAGAAAATTGGCCATTAGAATTGTTAGAATTACGAAATAAATTCACAAGTAATGCTAAACGCGAGATTCAGGAATTGAAGGATAAACACGATTTGGAATTAAAACGTTTAAAAGAGGAACATAATTCTAATTTGAATATTGCAAATCGTTCACTTAAACGATATGAAGAAGAAATGAAGAAAATTAAAGAACAATATAATCAAGCGATTCAATCCTCAAATTCGGAAGGAGAAAAATCTTCCTTAAGGAACAATTTACTCAACGAGCGGTAAATTATTTTTAAAAAAAATTAATATAATTAACAATTTATTATTATTATCTTATAATAATCACATTTTTTTTTCCAGAGACAATTTATTAAAAACTTGCAGAACATTAAAAAATGTAATTGGAGATTTAATAAATTACTTTACAATTTGTGAGGACGAAGTGAATAAATCGTTTATTAATGAATTTGTCGACAGAAGAACACCAAAGAAATTAAATTCACCAATTGTCGATTGTTCTTTATCTTCGCCTAATGAAAATCGAACACAAAAGGAAAGTACACAGCAAATAAAACGCGTTCATTTTGCTCCTCCAAATACCGGTGAAATTGCCACAATTGTCAATAGTGATAATGAGAGTATTTCGGAAATAATTGAAAAGGATTTAGATATTGCAAAAAATTTCCGACGTGAATTAAATGATTGTCTAACACGTTTAAAAGTTGAAATTGCACAAATTCTTGATATTTCATTTACACCCGATGAATTAAAAGCCGATCAACTTTCGAAAAAATTATTATTAATGACAAAAAACAATGAGGAATTGAATGAAAAACTTTTAGATGCTGAGAATATGCTTGTTGGATATCAAGAGGAAATGGAACAATTAAAAATGAAAATTCATAATATACAAAAATCAATGATTGAAAATAAACAAGAAATTATTTCCGAAGGATATGGTGAACAAGATCAAACATGTGAGGATGAATTGCAAGATATTTCGCAGCTTCAAGATCGAGGTTTTTAATTTTTTGTTTGTAAAATTTTAATTACATTTGTAAATATAATTTAATTTGAAAATTTGTTATTTACAGCGAGATCTGTAATTATGAATGGTAGTGCTGATAGCAGTTATCTTTTGCAATTAGTCGAGGAATTGTGTAGACACAACGACAAAATTGCTGATGATTCAAAAAAGGATAAAGACGATCTACAAAATCAGGTAAGTTTTTATTTCGAAGATTTTGTTTTTTTTTATATAAAGGCGCACAAAATGCATGGGTCAAATTATTTAGATGTGGTGTTTTGTACCTAATTTAAGAATATATTTTTTTTCGGTTTTGGTGTGATATGTATCAAAACGCTTAAATATAAAATAGTTGAAATGAAAATTAGAGATCCATTATAAACGAAGAATTATTTCTCATTATTTTAGTCTTTTTTTTTGTTTTAAGTGAAAGTTTCCGTTCATTATTTATTATAGTTCATTATTAGCTCACCGATTGATTGTTTAATTATTGTAATCAGTTAATTATAATTTTACTAATTTTTACTTTTTTATTTTTACAATCTTTATAATTTTTTCTATTTGCAAAAAAATCTGTTTCTTAAAAATTATTTTCTTTTTTTCTTAATTAAAATTAGTGAATTATAATTAACTAGTTACTATTAAATTATTACCTTTTTTTGTTATTAGTTTATAAATGTAGATTGAAAATTATTGGGCTTGTATATATTCATTTCCCTTAACAATTTTCTAATCGCAGACACATTTTTGAATCGCATGTTTTTTTTTATTTGATAATGAGGAACCGTTTTTTTTTTAATAATATTTATTTTTGCTTAACAGTTTTCTTGTTATCTTCTGTCGTTTGATCTTTTTTTTCTATTTCACTTCTTAAATGATTTTTACATTCACATTTAGCATCTATATTAATTTTGACAATATAGTTTATCATTTTATCAAACCGACATTCATTTCATTGAAAATGACGCTCATAATTGTCAAATTATGTAGAATGAATTCAATTAGATAGAGTTCGTTAAATTATATTTGACTTAATAGAATTAGTTACTGTAATTATATACATATATTTAATTTTAACACTTTCCTTTTATATCACTTTTTTTAAAAGAACTTGGAATTTTTCGTCTCTTAAAAAAAAAAAGTTGGAAGAAGCTTTTGTTTTCGTTCTTTTTTTTGGGATTTTTGCACATAATATATATTGAATTTTTACAATTATTTTATTTGAGTGAAAGAAAAAGAAAGAATCTCTCATAATCAAAAGAAAAATTCATTGGCTACGAAGAAGATTATTAAAATAAATTGATTGGCGTTATGTTGTCTTGCCAGCAGGTGTCATTAGAACCCAATCCTCCCTCATACATTCACAGGGTTTGCTGTCGAAAGGTAAATTATAGAATTACTAATATTCAAATTATAAATCCTTTCTCTATTATTAGAGCTTTAATAATATACGTCTTCGATTCTCTTTTTTTTTTGCAGCTATTTAACAAATCAGACATTTTTTACTACTATAATGTCTGAATACAGCTATTACCGCTTTAGCAAAAATAAAAAAAAAAATCTCTACCTGATATTCAGTTCAGAAATTCCTTGCCGAGCAAAAATATTTTTAAAAAAATGGGAAAGGTGTTCGTTAATTAATTTATTTTTATTTATTTATTTTTACGATGGTTGAGTTTCATTTCATTCATTTTAAAATTTAAAGAAAAACATTTCATTTTCTTGTATAATTCATATTTTGTTGAATTAATTAATAAGGTGTATATAAATTAATTTCATTATACACAATAATTTTAATGGTAAATATTAAATAATTATTATTTTCTATCATTATTATCACAACTGACATTATCATTATCATTATTAATTAATTAATTATTGATATAAATCATTCTTTTAATTTTCAAAAAGCAATTTTATTTTCATTGCATGAGTGTTTTGTATACTTAAAACAAAAATAAATATAAAAGAAATCTTGCTTGATTCGTGAAAATAGCACATATAATTTTTTTTCTGATTGTGGTGTTTTCAATAAAAATAAAATTAAAAAAAAATAGCTTCCTGCATGGTTTTTATATATTAATCAATAATGCATGGTAATTCATGTTTATCGATGTTTTTTTTTTTATTTGAAATTGATTTTCGATGAATAACTAAATTTATAAGAACCTTATTAATTTTTATAACCTTTGTATTTATAGTTTTATAATAAATTTTATTATGTTATAGAATCATTGAATTTAAATGCTTTTAAAATTACTAAAATTGTAGTTATTCTTTCAAAATTCAACAAATTTTCAAATGTGTTTCTATGATACTTTTTTTTGAAAGTTTTTTGATTTTTACCCCTTCAAAAAAAAAAAAAGAAAAATTTGATTTTAAAACAGTAAATGAAAAAGGATATGTTTGTAATGTTTTTTGAATTATTATAGATAACCGCTGCCGATAAACAACTGAGGGCAATGAAAAAATTCCTTGAAGAACAAACCAGCGAGCGGGAAACTGAAATTGATGAGGCAACAAAGAAAATTGAATATTTGGAAAATCAGCTGAGAGATTTGGAAAGGACCAAAGAAAGAGATCAGCGAATGACATCTGAGGTACGTTATTTTACTATTATTTTCTTTTCATTCATATTTTATTAAATTTTATTTGTATTTAAGTTTTTATTTTTCTTTGATTTAAAATTATCAAATTTTTAAGGAGGCAATTAACTCTTTTTTTTTTAATTAACTCTCTTGAGTATAGAATAATTTTTTATTAACTGGTTTAAAAATATTTTTTTATTAACTGGTTTAGAAATATTTTTTTAATTAACTAATTTAGAATTTTTTTTATTAATTTTTGTAAACTTTTATTTTATAATTATTTATATAATTATAATTGTTTTTTTTCATTAATTTTGAAAATAATTTTCTTTTTATTGGTTTTATAAAATCGTTTTTCAATTAGATTTAGGTAATTAAAATTATTTATTAATTGATATTACACGCTGATAGCTTTAGTTTTGGTGTAAATATATTAATTTACGATTGAACAAGGAAAAAAAGTAGATTATAAAATTCACTAACGGTGTCGTATAATTTTAGCTTTGTAAATAAAATGCAATTACGGGTAAAATTAAAAAAAAAACAAAAAAATTTAATGATATTTTTGGCAGTAAATTTTAACTTTTATATGATTAGTAATTATGCTTGTAACACCGCATCACTGCTAATTTTAATTATTAACACGAGTTTTTCTGCACTGTGGTTTTGGTTTTCTGTTTGTTGCACAAATGCAGTCTTCACTATCGCCTGTACCGTCGACAGAATCCCTTGTACTTCGAACAACTGACACCCGAACAGATGTGAGTCAAGTTTTTCTATTTGTAAATAAATTGAAGATCACTATAAATTCTGTAAATACTACATTATTCATAAAATTTATTAAATTTATTCGTTAAATTTTTGAATTTTAATATTGAAAATTAAAAAATACTACTTAAGATATTTAATATTTAATAGAAAATTGAAATTGATTTTTGTAAATTAATAAATCATTTTTCAGGTGGAGGCATTGGAAACACAAATGCGGGAAATGTCATCAATGATGTCGGACACTGAGGCGAAAAAATCAGAAGCCGAAAGTGAATTAAAGGCGGCAGTTGATAAAATTTGGGTTTTGCGTGACATCATAACTGATCTCGAGCAACAAATGCAGGCGAAACTTGAACAAGAGGATGTGCTTTTAAATCGAATCGATCAATTGGAAAAATTGATATCGGCACAAAATCGTAATCAACAGGAACTTGCGCTTGAATTGGAGTCCATTAAATCGGGAAGTGAGAATCTTCAGTTGAACGAGCACATCAGTCATCTTCAGGAGGAATTGAGAAAGCATAAAGTCAGTTCAGAGCATTTTAATTCAAATTCTTCGACATTGAAACAAATTCGAATGGAAATTCGTGAAATGCACAGTCATGTGGATAAACGAATCAAAGAATTGGAAGCACTACATGTTTGTGGTTCAAGTCTCAGTATCAGTCAACCAAGTGAAGATGTTTCAATTCGTGATCAAATTGAAGCAGCACGTTGTCCAACACCTGACGATCCAAATGCACCGCCCACACTTCCTCTCGATCAGGTGTTAAAATTAAAGGACAAATTAATGAAACACTCGAGAGCTGAGGAAGTGGCATTGAAAAGAATCAAAGATTTGAATATTCAGCTAACAACATTAAAAAATCAAAACGAAGAACTTATAGCCGAACAAGAGATTTTACAGCAAACAGCTTCTGAACAATTGTTTCAAATGGAGGCAATGCGAGGTAGACTTGAGCAACATAAACAAGACGCTCCATTTGCTCAGAGGCAAGCAACCTCACGATTGGAACTTCAGTTACACGAGGTTAATACCAAATTACATTCATTCGAACGAATGATCGCCGACAAGGATTTAGAATTAAAAGAGCAACGTGATCATCTCGAGAGAACAAATCAATTATTAATGGACAAGGAAACGGAAATTGCAAATATTGTTCAGTCGGAAAGTAATGTCATTCAAAAATTGAAAGATCGTTTAGAAATCATTGAAGAGGAGAAGAAGCATTTTGAATCGAAACTCGGTAAACAGGAACGTGTTCAAATGGAAATTCCCCAACTTCTTGATACAATGCTCGCCGATAAGAATGAAGAAATCGATCATCTTAAAGAACAATTGCAAAAGAAAGAAAAACAACTTGAATATTATCTTGCTCTTGATTTAGATGAAATGAAAGAAAAACAACAGGAGACAAAAAATAGCGCTCGAACACTCAGCGATATTTTATCAATTAATTCTGAATGTGAAGAATTACAAAATTCTGGTTTTCCCTATCAGGAAACTGATGGAATTCGTGAAATTCAACATTCAACTAGAAATACACATAACATTTCATCGTTTCGTGTTCCAATGCCAGGAATTTCGAAAAATACTCTCGAATTCACACCAACTACAATTGATGTTAATAAAACTATTTTTGTCCCCGAATTGGATTTGGGTAATTCACAATCAAGTTTTTCCAATCCAAAAGATTTAATTGACACTCAACTTGAACGAAGTGAAGTCGATTCTATATCTCTTGATAAAACTCAAGAGAAAAGTAAATCAAAAATTTCACCTAAACAAAGAAGAAGCAAATCATCATCTTCATCTGATGAATTATTACGACAACAAATTCAAGTACTCGACACTCAATTGAATGCAATTAAGGATGAATTGAGTTTAAAATCGTCAACATTACGACAACGTGAAGCTGAATTAGTAACACTTCAAGGAAATCTTGAGAAACTACGTTACGAATTAAGAGAAACAATTGAATCTCTAACGCGTGATAAACTTCTTTTTAAGAGTCAATTTGAAATGAGTCAAGTGGCTGAAAGTAAATTGAAAAAAGATTTGGAACAAGTGGAGAATACAATGAAATTGAAAATTGAAGAATTGGACGATTATAAGAGTAAAATTCAGGTGAATGAGAAAATTCTCATGGAATTGAAAAATGAGAATTCAAAATTAAAAAAGAATATCGAAATTATTGAAAGGAATAAAAATAATGATGGTACATTGGAGGAGAAATGTCAAGAAGTGAAATATCTTTCAGAACTTATTTTCCAAAAAGATGTGACAATTGAAACACTTGAAACTCGAAATATTGAAATTGAAAATGAAAATAAACAACTCTATGAATACAGAACGAAATATGAATTATTTAAAGAAGAAATAGCAAGTTGTCAAATGGAAATACAACGTTTGACACAGGGTTTAAATAATCGTGATGATATTATTCGAAGATTAGAGGAAATGGCTAGAAGAAATAGTTTTTCTGGTGCTTCTTCGCCAAGTGATAGTAATAAAAATAATCAAGAGTACAATAATAAAAGTCAAGAGATTCATCATTTGCAGGAGTACCTCAAAGAAAAGGACAAGGTCATTAGGCAAATGAATGATGATAGTAAAAGTTTACATCGTGCCTTGGAAACAATTCAAAATAAAATGAAAGAATCAGGAAATGTTGTTGAATTGAGGAGAAAATTAAAAGACGAGAAAAAAATGAATGGACAATTGAAAGAATCCCTCGATAAGGCATTAAATGAACTCGATCGATTGAAAGAAGAGGGAATTCAATTGGAAGAAGAAGGAATTGAAGATATGGTCCATAGGGAATTGAATCTCTCGGCTCAATTGGATAAACAAATAATGGATGCCATTGAAAGTGAACCAGAAGAAGGAGCAGCGATTCGACGAATGGAGAAACATTCCTGTAATTCATTGAATATTAAACCAGCCGCTTATAGACAACAGGAAAAATTAATGGAAAAATTGAATGAAATGAAATTGAAATTAACGCAAAGCAATAAAGAAAAAGAAGAAATCTATCGATTAAAGGATGATTTAGAAATCGAGAGAGAAATGCTAAGATCACAAGTTGAAGAGTATGAGAATCGAATTCTACAAATTAAATCCGAATTAATGGAGGAGAGAAAAAAAGTCACGAATTTAGATGAAGAAATTTTGCGTCAAAGAAATATTATTAAAACACTAAATGTTCGTATTGAGAAAGAACATAAAAATTTTGATATCTCACAAGAACAGGACGCGGAACTTTTATCGGCACTAAGGCAAAAACTCACAGCATCAGTGAAAAATGAATCAAAATTACGTGAAGAATTAAATCAAACACGACAATTGATGAAAAATTTGGAAATTCAAATCAATTCGATTAATCGCGAAGAAAAAGTGCAAACTAATAATGAACAAACAATTCCATCTGATTTATTAAAACAAGAACAAGAAAAATATTTGGAATTATCGGAGAAATTTGAAAATTTACAAACTGAGAATGATGAATTGAGGGATAATTTGAAATTAATAGAACGGGAAAAAAAGAGATGTGAAGAACAATTAGAGATTGCAATTGAAAAGCAAGAGAATTTTACGAGTAAATTAGATTTAATTGAATGTGAAAAGGAAAATTTAAATACCGATCTCAAGAGATTGAAAGCTGAATTAAAAATGAAAAAAGAGGAATTTGAATTTTTACAGAAAAAATTGAAAACAATGACTGACGCTGAAGCTAAACGACAACAACATAAGAGCAATGAACATGGTGAATTAAAGAAATTAAGACGTGATTTGGAGAGTAATAAATCTGTTTTAAAAGATTTGGAAACAGATTTAGAGCATTCAAAGACTGAATTACGTTTTGCAAAAGATAAAGAATCAAGATTAAAGGAAGTGATTTCCGATTTACAAAATGAAATTCAAACAAATCAAAGAATACAAGTCGAACTCTCTGAAAGTCTCAAGAGAGAGAGAATCACTAGTGAGAAAAATGTGCCATCCAAATTTATCGAAATGATAAAAGTAAGTTTTTAATAATAGTTGAAATAATTTTTTATTCTTACTAAAGAAATTTAAAATTCAAAAAAAATTTCAAGAAAACACATGTTTCATATTAAAATAATAATTTTCTTTTCGCAGGAATTAAATGATAATTTGGAAAGAGTTAATCGTGATAAGTCTGTACTCTTGGAAAAATTGAATAGAGTCAGAGAGGAGAGAGAGAATTTTGCCCTTCGTGTAAGAACTCTTGAAACACAATTAACACAAAAGAAATCTTCACTTGGTACTTTAAATCCACTCACTGAAGACAAGGTAATTTTTCTCAATATTAATTTTTTTATTGATTTATTTACATAAATAAGAAGAAAAAATTGTTTTAAAAAAATATTTTCTTTTAATAAAATGTTTAAATAAATAAAAATTATTTTAGTTACAGCATTTTTATGGAAAATTCCTGAGAACGGACAGTAGACGCAAGGCGCTTGTCTATCAAAAACGTTATTTACTAAATATATTGACGTGTTATCAACGATCTGAGGAGAATACTTTAGCGTTCCTTGCACAATTGACGCAAACAGAAAGAACATGCGTGAGAAAAGGTTCGAATCGAAAAAATTTCAAAAGTTATTTTAGAAGTGTTGTCCTGGTTGTTATCACCGTTCATCGAATAAAATGGCTAATTACAAGATGGCGAAGTGGCAGAAGAATTGGAGCAAAAGCAATATTATCAAATGGTGATCAATCTTTTGTTCCACTTCCAACGTCAGCGTCAAATCATTCGCCACCGGTTCGAGATTTTCAAAATGCAAAGTGAGTATTCTTTTTTTCTTCTATCGTTTTTTTTTTACGTTTTTAATTAAAACAAAATTTTATTTTGCAAACTTTATTTATTACAGTAAAATTTCACTCGTGTCAATAAATAATTATTTAATTTTCTGTTCGCTTAATAAAATCGATTTCAGTTTTGAAAGTACAAATTTTTTTTAGTGTTGCAATCGTGGACTGTGATTAAAACAAAAAGCATGATGTTGATAAAACCTCGAGTAAGTTTATTTAGCTTTTTATTTTATTTAAATTCTTAATTTTTTAATTAACATTTAATATTCAGAATAGTACAATATTTTTGACGTTTTATTAGTTTAAAAAAAAACAAAACAATTAACATTGTCTATTTTTTTTCCAGTGGCGACCAGAATTCCAATTTCGATGAATACCTGCAGCGCTTTTTAAAAACTTACAATATGAATTTAAAAAAAGACATTGATGCAGATCATTCAGATTAGAGAGAAAAATAATTCATTATTAAGAATACTCTTTTTTTTAAATAATTATTTAATATTATTTTAATTTAATATTTAATTCCAATTTTATTTCAAATTGATATTATGAAAACAAGAAATTATTTTATACTAATTGTTAAAAATTTATAGTCACATAAACACACTCATTTTTAATTTTTAATTTATAGGAATTATATATTTTTTAATTTGGTGAACAAAAGAAAAAGTACTAGTTAATGAAATTAACACTTTTTACAAAAGAATTTAGTCACTATACGATAAATGCTGTTTAGTTTTTAATAATAAGCAAGTCAATGTTATTCCACTTTGCACGTTGTAAGATATTGTGATTTACCATTAATTATAAGAATTTTTTTATACTCTTAATTATTATATTTATATAGGAAGATGAAGATAGGTGCTCAGATATTTTTAGAAAAATGTTAATGTGCCGATTGTTCAACACTAGCTAAATGGGCTCTTCCTTTTACCGAAATTTACCAAAGCATGTTGATCAGAAATGTATGTTTTTTATATTGTAAATAAAGTGTTAACGAATGACCTGATATATTTTTTTTAATTCATAAAAATAAATATTGTACAAATAATTTTTTCTATTAGAAATTTATATACATTTTAAATTAATTAATACAAAATGTATAAATAATTATGTACGTAATTGATTTTTATTTAGAATTCAATTACTTTTTTTCACCTTTAATTAATTATATTTCAAATTAAATTATTTATTTATTATTTATCTTTGTACGTTATGTACTTCTTTTATTGTTCTAAATTTAAATATGCCGCGGTATAATTGAACCGGAAGTAAAGAAAATTAAATGTTTCTAGAAATTTAATGCAGTAAAATTAATTTTAAAATAATTTACTTTGATATACACAATAAATTTACATTTCATTTATAATTATAAATCGATTATTAAAATTAAAATTGATATAATCAAAATATATTTTATAAATAATTAAAATTTTCAATGTAATATAATTTAAATTTGAATAACGTGCGGTAGTTTATCGTCCAATCAGAACTCTTTTTACATTTGGTAGCCATTTTTATATTTTAGCCAATCAGAATTCATGATTCCCAAACCTGTCATTTCTTGTAAAATTTTTCTGTGTTAGTCGCCTCGCTCTTTATAATTTTCTTATTTTTTTATAAAAAATAGTTTTTTTTCATGGTTTTTCGTCAAAATTTGTTTGTTACATCTATTTATTATAAGAGCTTGCTATTTGATGAAAATATTGTTAAAAAGTGATCGACAATTGCATCAAATTTGAAAATGAAAATCACCATGAGGTCTGGTTTGTTGAATAATTTTTATCTATTGCTTTTAAATTATTATCATTAAAAACGAGAAATTTACGTGAATTCTATAGTAATTTCTGTAATTTGTTGGAAAAAATTGAATTATATAGTTGAAGAAAAACAATTGAAATTTACGACAATGTTATTTTTCCAAAATGGAGTCGTTAAAAAATGTTAATAAATAAAAAGAACAAAAGAATAAACAATAATGTTAAATAATGATTAATTTTTGTTTCTAGGTTACTTTCTTAGCGTGATATTAATCAATATAATAAATTTTGAACTTGATTGTACGTTTGGAAATATATTTTGCAAAAAAAAAATATTTTTTTATCGAAACTGTAAAGAAACATAACCTAAATAATGGAATTCTTGGATCTAGTTTTGAAAACATTTCCTTAAACGAAAAAATCTTTTTATGGTAAGTTATACAATTAGTACAAATTTTATTGCAATTTTTCTGTTTTTATTTTTTGTAAACGAGATATAATCATGATTTTGAAAATTTGAGAAAATTAAAGGTATAATTAAGTAAAAAAGTACTCTGTGCATATAGACCGTTTTAACGTCTTTAATACCATCATAAATTTTTACATAAAAACAGCTTTTGTTTTGGTTCGTGCGGTGCTAAACAATTGAAACAAATCTTTGAGAGAACAGTTTTTAAATTCTATAGTTTCTTTTTTTTTTTTAGTAATTCGTGTGCGTATCGTATTTCTTAACGAGTGAGCGGTTGTTAGCAACCAGGAAGAAGGTACAACTATTTTGAAATTTGAATATCATTTGATTATCACCCACCTATAAATTATTATTTTCCTAATCTAAAAATTATCTAAATTCGATTTTTTCCATAAATTAATAATTAAAAAATACAAAAATAACTGTATTTTCTCAATAAAGAAAGAGAAATTCAAATATAATAAATTTTGAAAAATTAGAAAAGACAAATGCGATAATTTTTTATATATAACGATATATAGAAAGCTGAAATATAAACCGATTAAAAATTCGAATTTAGATAATTTAAATATTAAGGAAGAATACAAATTTAATTCGGAGATAATTATCCATTCTTTTTTTTAATGGAATTTCATTTCGTAAAATGGATGTGCTTGGTCGTGGGTTAAATCCATATTAGATTCTACGCATTTATACCCAACTATAATAGTTTATTTTCATACTTCCACCAAAAGCTTGCATTTGTAAATTTTAAATCTGTTTTTCTGTTTTGTTTTTTTTTTTAATATTCAAAAATTTTATAATTCAGTTAAATAACTGAGATCTGGAGACTATTTTAATAGTCTAATAGTGTAACAAATTTTAAGTTTACATGCAATATCAGTGCTTTTAGCAAATCCTTCTAACTTTTGTCTCGAGAGATAATTATTTACATATTTACAATAAATCGTGTGATAAAATATACGTAGTGGCCATCTAAAGCTAAATATCTGTGAGATTATCGCGAAGAGTTTACACAGTCTAGATTTTTTTTTTTTTTTTGTTTTTAAGGCTCCATTGGATCTTGAACATTATCTAAACAATGTTCCCTTTTAAGTATATATATATATATATTTTGATAAGAAATATTTTTCATGCAAACTAGAGGTTTTGCATATTTCTTTTTTTTTTTTAATTGTAAATGAAAAATTGCAACCTCGTTTGCATATTCTATAAGTACTTGTGGAAATTTTTAGTTTCTACTTTTTCTAATAATAACGCAAATGAGATCAATATTTAGTGCCTGGAAGTCGGTCTTTAAATAAAAGTATAGATTAAGCTGTGAATTATGTTTACCCGCGTCAAAATCATAATTTTATAAAATATCAAAGAAATATTTCTATTATATAATAAACTTTTTTTATTTAATTTTTAATTAAACGAATTTCGTTAAATATTTTAATTGGAAAATGTCGCAGGTAAACCGTCTTATTAAAAAAAAATTTTTACCGATTCTTTTCATAGTGCTTGGAACATTTTTCTCTGAGTCTTATATCGAGGGTTTCGCGAGAAAAAAGTGAAAAAAAAAATGTAAATTCAGTCAATAAAAGAAAAAGCTATCGATACTTGACATGTAATACTGAATATATATATTAATATTGAAATCTAATCTACATCTTATAATTAATTATTATAAATAAAAGTCTTTAATGAAACCCTTGATATGTAAAAATTGATTAGTCATCTATAATTAATGTTTGTGATTCGAGCAAGCGTCTTTGAAATTTGTCGCATTAAATGGAACAAAATAATCGTCATGTAAAAGTCGTATAATTGCTTCGATTGGACATAATTTCGTTTCTTTTTTACCCCTCACATTATCATCAATAAATGTTGCGCTGTAAAAATTTGCATTCTTACAAAAGGGAATTTTTTGCGTTAAATCCTTTCCATTAACAACAACACGAAAATAAAAATCACTGGCAACATGATTTTCATTTCGTGGATTAATTTTATAAATTTCGATGATAAATCTGGACGCATAATGTGGTAAAATTGCATGATCAGCAAATATTCCCAAGGCAGTTGATAAATATTCCAATGTTCTATCATGACCCGAATATAAAACAATCTTTGGCTTTCCCTCTGATATAATTCTCAACATATGATTGACAATATTGCGAAGAAGTCCATAAGCTCTTAATAGTCCATGTCTTCGTCGAGCTTGACTTTTTCCATGTTGACGCGCTTCCCATTCGGTATAGGCAAAAATACCCGTCACATGTTCAGTTTTAACGCACAATCTTTGTGATTCAAAATCCATACATGGAAGAGGTGCATTGTGACAAACATACGTTAATAGTGAATCAACAAGAGTATTTGGATTTGTCGTTTGTTCTGGCATTTCGAGAATAATACTGGAAGCTTGTTTTATTAAATCCGACACTGCCGGATGTGATTTCAAGTGATTTGTTATTTCCTGAAAAAAAAATTTAGTTTCATTATTAAAGAATAAAAAAAAAATTATTTCATTTATAAAATATGAACCTTTGAATTGAGTTTCGAATATTTGTCAGCGGCCGCACAAGCACAATCCGAATAGCAAAATGCATAACTTTGACTTTCTTTAAGTGAGATTTTGGCTAAATTTTGAAAACTTTCGTTTCCAATGAAAGCGTAAAGAAGTGCAACAGCACTTTGGACTGTTCGTCGATAGCGTGTACTAAAAACAATAACATCTTTTGATGTTACAGTATTATTCGCTAAATTCAATCGATGATAATAAGCATTTCTTAGGACGAGACCAATTTTCAATAATTGTCCAACACCGAGTGTTGTTAATTGGCCAAGTTTGCAGTCCCTTGAATTGGACGGTAGCATTGGAAATCCATGAAAAGGTCCCAAAAATTGAGCCCACGCTGAACGCGAATAAAGTGTGACATTTTGTAAAAAATTCTGATAATTTTGATAAATTCCATCTAATTCGGGATTATTAGAAAAATCTCCAGCACAATTAACTGTACTTATATTTCGAACGTGAGCTAAAGGTCCTCGATCACCGTGTCGAGTGAGAATTATCACACCTCCCAAAGTGACATTCCCGTCTACTCTTCCTAAAAAAACACGCATATAAAAATTATTATCATTTAGAAAATCATTTTTTTAATTTTAGAAAGAAAAAATTAATTTATAAATTATTTTTTTACCTTCGCTTCCTTGAGTAATATCATTTGGAGTGTTACAAAATCGAAAAATCTTTTTTGTCTTTAGATCAACTTTAAAATTTCTTGGAAATTCTTTTATCGATAATTCACTACTGGATGGTCTATTTTGTATCGAACTCTTCTCATCAACTCCGATATATTTATACATTCCTGTTGATGAAAAATTTAATTTTTATTTTAATTTAATTTTTTTAACTCAATTATTGTTGAATCAAATTTTTGTATAATTTTATCTACATAATTATTTATCTGTCAAAATGAAATTTTATTTAATTTTCTCTTCCAAAAAAAAAAAAAAAATTAATTAATTAACGAAACTCAAAAAGCTGAGAATTATAAAACAAAAAATTGTATTTATTAATTAGATAAAATTTTAATTATCATAGATGAAAAAATTTAAGATTGATAAATAATATTTGTAAAAAAAATAATTTGGTTAAAAAAAAGATAATTAGGAAAAATTATATTAACCTATTATTATAATTTTCAAATATCCCGCAAATATAATTTTCCTATACAAAGGAAAATTGTCGTCTGCTATAAATACAACAAGCTTATATTTTGTTTTGGCGGTCTGTCAAAGTTTCGACAGAATATATTATATTACCCATTAAATTAGATCGATTTATTTTTATAAATAGACATAAAATTAAGTAATCAAAAAGAAAATTTACCAGCCACAAGTAGAAAAATCCAAACTGTAAGGATGACATAGCAATAGAATGCTCTATGTTGATAAGAGAGGCGAACCATTTCGATGAACATTTTTTTGATTATACCTTTTGTTGTTTCCTAATATCTCTTTGTCATCGATAAAAATGAAAATAATAACGATAATTGCCAAGTGGATGGAATGAAATCCAAAGACGATTAGATACTAATCGTAGCATTCTTCGTGTTCAATCTATTTTTTTCATGTACCAGTCGTCCATAGTAGCGGCATATTTTACACAGTGATTCGAATTCAATTATTGTTTGCAATTTCTTGTACCTCATTATAAATTTTTTAACTTCTCCCAAGCCATATAATAAAGGTTTTTAATTGAAAAGAGAACAATTTATTTACAATTAAACAACGCGTCGCGAAAGCCAGAGAAAATACTCAATAGGTTAACCAAGCGCAGGCGCCTGACAACTACTTTCTGTTCTACATTTGTTAAATCTACGCAATCGCAAATATATAGTGGTGTAATTAACTAATTTTGATAGATTCATTAACGATGTGATGATTATGATAATAAAAAATATACATTGAGAAAGAAAATTAATTATTTAGAAAATATGCGATCAATTAAAAATTCATTTTTAGAATTAAACGATTGAAAATTAATCTCAAGTTTTAGTCCATGTTCAAATTTTCCCGCTGGAATTGAACCGGAAATAGTTAAACTTTAAATTCCCCATAGTGAATAAAATTTTATGGAATTCTTGCAATTATATAGAAAATAAACAATTTGATTTTTAGTTAAATTAAATGTATCTTTAATAGCAATGTATTATTTAATAAATAATTAAATTTTTAATTTATTTTAAAGCTGAAATTGAAGAACGTAGTTTGTTGTCCAATCAAATTTCACGTTACATTTTGCTGCCAATCAAAGTCCAGGATTTTGAATTTATATCATTATTATAAAAATTTTCTAAAGTGATCGCGTCGCTCTCGGCAACATTTTTCGTTTTTTCTTTAAAAATAGTTAATTTTTGATATTTTTTGTGAAAAGTGTTTTATTCCATCTGTTGCTAAAGTCATAGGGCACGATATTTTATAAAAACATTGATTAAAATTGATCATTAATTGCCAAAGTGTGATATTGATAGTTGGCACTTCGCGTAGCTAATTGATTAACTTTTTTGTTATGTGTAAAATGAAAAAAAATTGGATAAATTCGTCATAATTTTCGAAATCATGTCTCTCAATTTAGTATTTTAGATTGTAGCTTTCCTCGGGAAATTTAATTGTTTAAAAATTAAATTATTTATAATGATCAACAATTGTTCTTTTTTTAGGTTATGTTTTCTTGACGTGCTAGTAATAAACAATTAAATCAATTTTTAACGCGGTCTAAAATTGTGAAAAGGAAGATTTACTTTTTCCAAAAAATGATTTTTTTTTTGTCAAAATGAAACATAACCTAAAAAAAGATCCACTGAAATCTTATAAATTGTCTAAAAATAATTAAAAAAAAATTGTAGCTATAATTTTTCTTTTTTAAACTTTTCTAAAATTTTTTTTTTCCAGCATCATCTGAAATGAATAAAACTGAAATAAAAGTTATTAATAGATAAAAAAAGATAAAGAATTTGAAATTTTAATTTCACGGACCATTATTCTTTGGGAGAAAAAATAAAAAAAAAAAATTCAGCGAAAAAGTTTAATTAAAATTTTACAATAAAGTTTAGAATCAGTGCGGGTTTAAAGTATTATTTTATGAAGTGGTTTAAAATAGAAAATTTCGATCAGAATTGTGTTAGTGAAACAAGTGTTGTGAGTGGAAAAATATTTTATTCACAAATTGTGTAGTTTGGAAATATTAAAATAAAAATTGGAAGGATTCCAATCATGTATTTTTCTAATTTCATTTGAGGTAAAAATTAATTTTTAAAAATTCTCAAAAAAATTTAATTATTTTAAAATTATCAATAATTTTTGAAACTTTTAAAAATTATTTTTACAGGACTGGAGTAAAAAGAAAAGGAGAGAATTGAGGAGAAAAACTATCTTGGAGCCAGCATCAGCAGTCGGTGAGTCCCTCCTGTTTTCAAAAGTGATGTGGCTGAGGCAGGTTGTAATAATTTTGAAAAATTCCTTAATGGCAGCTAATTAAATCAATTAATTAATTTATTTCAAATTATATTTAATTTATTTAATTAGCAGGTGGATTTTTATTGTTTATATTTTTTTTAGATTAGGTTGAAACTTCTTGGTACACGGGAATTTGTTTTAAAAATAAAATATATTATTAATTTACTTAATATATATTTATTTAAATTATAATTAAGTAAAGTTACTGAATTACGAGACCAAGAAGATTTTTTATTTTAATAATTTTTCATTAATCCTTACATTCGAAATATTATGTTTTTCACCTTATTTACTATTTTTTTAATTAAACATTCAGTTTTCACTAAAATAAAATAATTAGTAAACTAAAAATAAATAATAAAAGTATTTTTTTTGTAATTAAAATTCAATTTAATTGAATCTAACTTTTTAAAGATTATACAATTTAGATTAGAATGTTTAATAATATTATTTCCAGGTATTTGTACAGGTACTAATTTATAATTTTTTCTCATGAAAACCAATTTTTTTAAAATTAATTGGCTTTTAAGAGCATCCACTATTGTCATTATGTGAATTTTTCCCCATTTTCCACATCTATTTTATATGTTAAACTTTCTCACTTCTGTTCGATTATCTAAATTTTCGTTAGGTATTTTATTTTCGTTTATAAAATTTCTTAGGAGTCAGGAATTGTTTCCTATTTTTACGTTTGTTTTTTTTTGTTGATTATTCTCACTTTCGTTTGATTTAATCTGTAGCTTTTTAGACCAAGTTTTTGGCAAAATAAAAAATAATAAAATAATTTATTTAATTCAAATAATTGACTATTTGTATCAAATATAATTATTAAATCAAGCGTCAATAAAATATTATTTGTTTGAATTGTTTTCATAAAATTTAAAATAGTCTAGTAATTGAAAAAATTAACTATAAATAAAACACAATTATCGTCAAATCTTTTTTCTTTTGAATATTTTTTTTTATTCATATTTTTTAAGCAAAAACACAACGAGATTGAAGTAAGTTAAATCTTACACTTTATTTCGATACAACTAAAATTTTTAAGTGTACAGTAACATGACTTTTGTGTTCGTCGCAATTATATATGTATGTGACAAATGTATCATATGTTTTATTTAATGCATACGTACTGATGTAGCCATGTGTGAGTTTTTTTTTAATTAGGGTATGTATTATGTACATACGTACGCAATGAATCTGTTAGTTACATGAAAAGGAATCGGTGACTTTTCACATTTTTTTTTTATGCACGCCCAATCAATATATAATTACCATTTCTCGTGTAATTAATTCTGTCTTTTTATCATTAACAATTATTTCATTTAGCTGGTCCAATTATAAGACCACTCACTTTTCGTTTTTTTTTTTCTTTTTATCCCCCGTTTTAATCAATTTTCTTTCTTTTTTTTTTTAATAATTGGTTCGCACCTCGGTAAGGATCAATTAGCTCTGATTTTTGAAATTGTTACAAAAATGGCCGCCACAGAATAAGGCACACAATTGATGCAACGCGCACTTTAGTTTAGCGATAAATAGACCTTGTTATCAAACTCATGTTTATATAGTACATATATATATATATACGTGAGTGTGTCCTTTGCCTATTAAATATATATATTTATATGACGCGATTATCCTCGTCTCTATTGCAACAAAATTCGCTCTCTCCTTTTTTTCTAATCACTTCACAGGCTTCAATATTGAACCTTTAACAAGCTTTTACCCTATTTACAATGTTATCTCAATTATAACCTACCGTACAATCTATTTAGTTTGCGTCTTTTTTTTTTTTATTTTACTTTTTCAATTTTTTTTTTCTCGGCCAACTATAAGTTTGTTATTATTTCTCTAATTCAACTTTGATATTTATTTGGGAGCCCATTATCAATCATGCATCGTCATCTAAATGTATTTCTAATTCTTTTATAACATCTGTTACATAATGTTTTAACGTAATTTTTATATTTCATCTTCCCGAATTCGTAACAAATTATATAAAACAATTTTGTTTTTTTTTTTGTAAAAATTTTCCTCTTTAATCTTTTTTTTTTTAATTCTTTTATATTAAAAAACAGTTTCTTAACAAGAGAAAAAGTTTATAAAAGCAGGAAAAATATCATTAAAATAAATTTCAACAATCCTTTAAAAAATTAGTTTCAACATTAAAAAATAATTTCAATGATTTTTTTCCGTCTCTCATAAATTGCTTTTTCTATTGTTTTAAAACATTTTTTTTTTTTATTTTTATATTTGATTTATATTTTCAATTTCACAATTATTTTAATAATACTTTTTTTTTAAAAAAAGTATCAAATTGTTGGTATAAAATATATTTAAAAAGAGACTTCTTTTTTGAATGGAAAGTTACGATTTAGGAAGATAAAATTCTACGTGTTTAACTAGCACTTTAGATTCATTTTGATAACACAATTATGCTATTTAGCAATTCTGTTTGGTAAAACTTGTCGTAGCCTTTCAACAATCAAAATTTAATTCTATATTATATCTCTGTGCGACCACAAAGTCAAAGCTTAATTCTCTAGACGGAAAAATGTCTAACACGCGATGTTTATTTGGATATTTTTATATTTCAAAAATTTGTTTTTTTTTTTTTTATGTACTTAATTGAGTTTGTAAAACATATTCTCTAACATTGAGACATTAGGACTGCCCTGTTCAAGATTAACATCTATAGAATAATAAGAACAATAACAATAACAACGCGTCGTTAACTTGTTTTTTTTTCTCCCCTATTTAACAAATTATCGTTTCTCAAAAACTATTTTTTTTATTTCTTTATTTTCAATAGTAATTAGCCTCTTGTCTCACGACCAATTAATTAATTAAACTTAAATTTAATGATTCAAATAAACTCAAAATGATAATTTTAATATATCAAATTAGAAATATAATTGTAAAAATTATCAAATTAACATCGAATAGTTTGAATCATTTAAATAACATTTTAATAAAAAAAAAAAACTAAAAAGAGAAAAACATTTTTTTAAACATTTGGCGTGAAACTATTTTACATATTTTTAAGTAGATAGGCGAAAATTTTTCATTATAAAACGAAATTTCTTTCTTTTCTTTTTTTTTTTTTTGTAAAACTTGCTGCATGACACAAAAAAAGTGTTATCGTTGAATGATAAAGCTTACATGCAGGCAAGATAACAATGACAACACGAGTCCATTCCCAATATATATAAAAAAAAAAAAAAATTATGAACAATGCTCTGCGTAAATACAGTCTAGTGAACTGCAAGTGCAAGGCTAATTTACACCTAATTGTAGGACACATGAGCTTTTCTTAAGATTCACAACGTTATTACAATTGCGATTAAAAAGCTATTTACAAAACACAAAAAATTGCAAGGCGAAGATCCTTCCATTGCGATTCCAAGTTTCCACGACTCAATTCTCATCTTAAAATCGTTTCTATATAATAATATTCAATAAAAATTGAATTCCATATTGTTTTTTTATCAAGAAAAATTATTAGCTTTCCACGAGCTTTTTTTTTGTTTTCGATATTGAAATCAACAGAATGTGGTATTTTTTTTTTATCAAATTTAGGAATTTCTGTTATTGCCGCACTCAATGAGATCAATTTTTTTCAGAGAACAAAAAAATTATTTAAAAAAAAAATGAGAGAAATAAGTATCAAAATTCAAAATAAAATTATTTATAAAATATTTCGAATTTTTGTTTTATAAAAAGTTATTTGAATTGTTTCTGAAAAATATTGATCTTTGAAGAAATAGAGATAATGAAGGAAGACCAGTGTCATTTTGAATTATGATATATATATATATAAATATATATAGGTATATAAAATACTTGAAGAAATGAGTAAAATTCTTATTAAAATTTTATACTTATATTATGAATCACTAATATTATATTATATATTAATTATTATATATAATAATATAGTAAATTAAAAAACAAATTAGTAAAATTTATCGTAAAAATTTTTTAAACTGAAAATATTTAATTATTACGTGTTAGCAAACATTAATTTTTAGTTATTTCAAAATTAATTATTTCATTAAGATAAACTAAAAAAACGAGAAAGGTAAAATTCAAAAATTTGGAAATATCAGTAAATTTTTAAAAATTGTAATCAAGATTTTTTTAAATTAAACGAAAATTAAGATTGAAATAATAAATAATAATTAGTCTTATGAAATTTGTTGTTGATTTTTGAAAAATTGTTAATTGACTTTCATTGCTTTGTTATTATATAGATAAAACGTTGTACTTTCTTGTCGTTAGTTGATGAGTTCGATGAGAGAATTTTTTTTTTTCTTTTTCAAAATGACACTGGTCTGAACTAATCCTAAATAAGAATATCGTCCCTGCCGATACGAGTTTACAAATAGAGAGTAGTTTACTGTATATTGCAACAGACCGCTTTACAAGGGATGGGACCGTCCTCGTGACCAATTTTCGACTGTCTCGTGAATCTTGAATCAAGAGTGATATATTGATTCTGTCCATTATAGCAACTTTCATAAACTTCAAAAGCCTCATCAATTGGCATTTTTTTTTCTTTTTTTGTCGACATGAAAGCCGGAATCTCCTCGCTTTGGAGACTCGCGGGACTGTTTGGCACGGTTCCTGAGTTTGTTTTCTCATCATTGATGACGTCACTTGTGTCACTTGTAGTGACACTACCCCTTACAAGTCTGTAATAATGTTTCACGTGCTCATTATCATTATCTTCAATTGCAACATTTTCATTAGAATTACTCGCGTGTTTTTGATTTTTTAAAATAATTGGTTCAACAATCTCAGCCTCCCAACAGTCAAGTACATCTGGCTCCTCGATACTTCCAATTGATGTCTCTCTCTCAATTTCTTCATTTGACTTTTTTTCACTATTTATTAGATTACTCATCGTCGTCTTGTCTTTTTCAAACCGCTCTGTCTGCTCATAATTCTCAATTAATTTCGATTCATAGTGAAATAATTTTGTGTCCGGCAAAAGTTTACCATCAATTGATACAACAATTTCGCCTTTTTCGAATGTTTTGACAATTGTTGAATCCTCATTACGATTCTCTTGAATCTTCATCAATTCTTTCTCATTTATCCGAGAGTTTAAGGCAACCCTCATACCCACAACGCTATCCTCCTTATTGCTAAAATCGCAATCACCAACAAACATTGAATTATCCTTCACAGAGTCACACAATTTGATGTTACCATTGTAATCGGCTGTTGTATTAGCAAATTTTTGTTTTTTATTTTTTGAATTTTGCTTTCTCCGTGAATGTGATGACGTATTATTCGTCATACATTTGATTTGCTCTCTTATTCTTTTGTTAGTTCTTGCGAAATCGCCGCAATTGGCCAAATGCATCAATAATTCTTTATTGACACAGCCTTTAGAAGATAGTGCAGGTATGGGGTTGCCCTGCAAGTTTTTTGGCGGCTTTCTCGTTAAATTTTCATCATCCTCTTCTTCATCGTCATCATTATCATCATTACTATCAGTCTCGGATTCAAGACCCGTTGTGACAAATAAATCCGTCGAGTCTGCTTTACGAAGCCATTCGGTTACTGCTTCTGTTATTGGACGATTCACTTTACCTTCTTGTTTGAGTTTTTCTTCGTCTTCCTCTTCTTCTTTGATTTTTATTCGTTCATTGAATTTTTCATCTAATTTTGTTGTTTCAATTAGAGAATTATCAAGACGCTCGCAAGAACCATTTTCCTCGATTTTTTTCTCAATTGTTTCCAATTCGGAATTTATTTCGTCGGTGAGATCAGGTCCAGGCGTTGGTTCACGTACGAATTTTGTATTTTTTGAACTGTATTTTCTTCTTGGAGGAACAACAGGCCTTGTGACTAGGGACTCGTAACTTTCAGGAAGACGTTGCGTCTCTCCATTTATTGGAGTTATCGTGCGATTTATTTCTGGACTAGCAGGTCGTGAACATGGTTTCTCATCTTGGGAATTAGTTTCAACAATTGATTTTGTTGTTCTAATACCGTTTATTCGTATTTTTAGATTGAGAATCTCTCTCGATAATTGTTCGCGTTCATCATGATTGAGATTATCGAGGGATGATTTACGAACATTTGATGAATTATAAATGTTTAATGAATTTTCATCATTTGACAATTTTTGATCATTTAATGGATTTTGAATGTTTGATGAATTTTGAATATTTGCAGTATTTTGAATATTATTTGTTGAATTTTGAACATTTGACGGGGAAGATTTTTGAATAGTCGCGGATTTATTTGATTTTTTGCCATTTGACGATTTTTTACTGGTTGGCGATTTTTGAACGTTGGCCAACTTGGATGATGATGATGATGATTTTTGACTGTTGGACGAATTTTGAATTTTGGCTAAATTGGAATTTTGATGATTCGATGATGAATGATTGTGCTGATTTGATATTATGTGATTTGATGATGAATTGGAGGAATCGTGGAAATTGGACTCGTCTTTATTATTTGAATCACCTCGAATTGTGCCTCCATCATCAGTCTCGTTTGCGGAAGGTTCTTGCGGGAATCCTGACGAGGATTCGGTCATCAGTCTTTTTGAATTGTCCCCATTAATGGAACAGTCGTTGAGCATGTTTGTCATGGAAACAGTTGCTTTTTCTTCTTCGGAAGAATTGAAATTCATCTGAAGTGTGGAAATTTCCAAGGAAGGCAGATTTGAATTTGTTTCCATGTGAGAGTTGTTCTCGTGAGGTGTTGATTCAATTTTTATCGATTGACTATCGACAGTGGATCGAAGTTGAAATTCTTGGCATTCAGGATTTAGGGGCCTTGTTGTCGTAGTTAGTGTTGTTGTTGTTGCCGTTGTTGTTATTGTTGATGAACTCTCCGTCCAAGGCTGACGAGTTGAACCATTCTCCCATTCCGAACTGTATTCCTCTTCCTCTTCGTCCTCCGTATTTCCCTAAAACCGGAATTTTAATTTTAATTCCCATTTTATCACTAAATTATATTTTGCTTATTTAAAAAAAATCTTAGGAATCAAATAATAAAGTAGATTAGAATTTCATCGACTTACAGGAACAGGAGGTCGCTTCTGCTTTCTCTTCCTTTTCTTTCTTCTCCATTTGGCGCATGTCATTGGTGTAGTTGGTGCCATGACATCGTTGTACCTGACCATTGGCCCGCTTTGGATGGTGACACCTTGGAACAGAAAAAGTGTTTTCTATTTATTCTCCAAAAGTTTAAGAGAAAGAGTGCGAGAGAAAAGAGACAACACTGATTTTTTGCGCGCTCGGTTAAACTCGGTATAAAAATGCCAATTCGTCACGGATGAATGGCGAGACGTCTTGGCTTTTTGCTAAAAAATTCTCACCACATGAGAATTGTCTTTGAAAATCTTTGCGACGCGCGCTTTAACGGTTTATAGTGTTTATTTTTAACATATCTATTTAGAGTGTAGCAATGTGCCATGACTGCCAAAGCCCTCGCACTTACAGAATTGCACCTCTGACTACATATTTCTCATGCTAAATACCGAGTCCCTTCGTGCAAGTCAATAAGACTTTAATGTGCTTTTTATTGTCATTATTATAGTGTCCCAAATTTATTACTCGAATCGGGATTTCTCGTATGAAATTAATCATTTAATTTTTCAAGTGAAACTTGACATTCCAAGTGACGATGATGATGACGACAGACAAACAGTAATAATACATCGAGTGATGGATTTTTTTTTTTTTTCTTTTTTGGTTACGATCGTGAAACAAGTTCCTCTGATTTTATTTTTAACAAATCGAAATTGGTCAATTTATTATTCAATTTTTATTTAAATTGCAAAATAATAATTTTGATTTATCAATTATTTATATTATATTAACTTATTCGTTTATTAATTAAAATAATTAATATTTAATTATTATTAAATAATATTATTTACTAATAATAATTTTCAATCGACAAATTAGAATTTTCTGTACCTTTTTATGAATATAAAAGTTGTAGAAAGATAATGGAAATTTTTGAAATAAAAAAAAAAAATTGAAAAATTAACAAAAAATGCCAAATAATTTATTTTTTCGACAATATTTCAAAACTAATAACTTTTTTTAAAATAATTAGTAAATTATTGAATTTAATTCAAAGAAAATATCTCAATTCTATTTGTAATGTCATTAATAATTGGTAATAGTTACAATGTGAAAATAAAAATTATTGAGCAAGAAACTAATTTTCAAAGTACTAAATAATTGTCAAACTTGGTCGTATTTTAAATATTGCAAATTTTTTCATCATTTCTTCTCCGATTACCTGACTTGTTTCTTTTCTATTTTTTTTTTTTTTGGAAATTTCTCGACTTTCTATAATTAAATGTCGGCACTTAATTAAGAAAATAATACGTTGAGCTTTTTGAATAAAACAGATAAGAATTTCACAGAAAGGTAAAATGAGTTCAAGGAACTTTGCCAAGACAAATGCAACAAACAGTACTTTGTTCTCTCTAAATGACTAGATGTAGAAGCAATTAAGCCCACTAAAAGACGAATAGTTGAGAAACCATAAATTTAGACTGCTAAATAAATATTAACGTCTTAATTTATTGAATAAGACAATAGTGTGTTTGAAAACTTTCGAAAATTGAGGAATATATTTGAATCGAATTGTCACGCCTCACTGAATAAGTTAATTGAAATTGATTAGAGGACACGATCATATCCAAAAAAAAAAAAAAAATTTTCTCTTTCGCGAAATATTACCCTCTTTTACCTTAAATGTGGTAGAGGTAGAACGGAAAAAATACTGCAATGATGTTGATGAACAGGACAGCAATCATGAATATGTGTTAATCTCTTTCCCTTGGCCATGCATCCAATTGATACTGTTTTCCGATTAACATTAATAGAATAATTTACAATCGAGCGCTTTATTTATTTACAATTATGTAAATCATAATTTTCAATTTTTTTTTACATAATTGCAATTAAAATTCATTCCAAGAAAGAATGAAAACGATTTATTAATTTTTTGAAATTAACAAAATTATGGCGATTAGAAAAATTTTGAAAATAAAAGAAAAATTTATTAATGAATCGTTTCCGGACCTTCCTTTAAAGCGATTAGTGACAGTCGTGAATTGAAGTATTTTTCTGAGTATTTTTTTTTTAAATGTCGTGTTTTGAAAACGATTAATCAGGGGAACTAACCATTAACGTTAACGAGCGATGGTCCAAACATATAATGACCAGGATACATGTAGGGCTGTGGTAAAGGTTGCACGACGGGTGTTATGTGCATTGGTGGGACAAGTGTTGGCTCAATGTACGGTCCACCATTGTAGCCATCCTGAACTTCATTAACTGGAAGCTCTTCAGTATTTTCCTCAGTTTGTTCCAATGTATCTTCACCGGCGATACTTCCGCTGCAACTTGCACTTCCAGCGTAACTTTCGTTACCGTTCATATTCGAATTCTCAGTAGTAGTCACCATCATTCCTTGTGCGTCTACCATTGCTGCGCAATCAACACTCTGCGCTGACTGGAAAAAACATTTTTTTTTCATAATATTTTATTGGCAAATAAAATTTAAAATTTAATTTATTTCTCTATGGAATAAAAAAAAATTGAAATTAAAACATTTGATTGTCAAAAAATACCTGATAGTCAGTGTAACAAAATTGTTGGCTATCAATTTTCGGAACAAAAGCGGGATTAACCCACTCGATAGGTCTGAGTGGTACCGGACCACAAGACATTGCTGCTAAACAATTTGGCTCCATTTGTTCGGGCATTGGTGGTCCCACCAGCATCACTGGATATTCATAATAATAACCACTGGCATGATCGTAAAATGTGCCATATCCTAACTGTGCCGCAGGTTCAATCATTGATGAGTACTCTCCTGCTCCGCTGTCCAGCAGCTGTTGATCCTCAGTCGTCTCACTCCCATCTATATAGAGAAAACAATTATTCAATAAAATCAATTTGCTCATTGATCCGAGTGCATTCCTCGTTAACTCAAAATCATTTTCTCTTCAATCATGATATATTCGTATATTCATATTTATTCTAGATTTAATTCGAATTAATTATTTTTATTAAATTCCAAATTTAAATAGTGAAATAATTTATATTATTTTCAATTTTATAAATAGAGTTCACTATAGAGTGCATTCCTCGTTAACTCAAAATAATTTTCTCTTCAATTATGATTTATAATTACATATATATAAGTTTCTGTTTATTTTTATTCTACACTTAATTCGAATTAATAAATTTATTTAATTATTTCATTCGTGAAATAAATATTATTCTTTAATTCTTTTTTTTATATTATAAATAGAATTCCTAACCACTAGATGAAAATGATTAAAATTAAATTTTTATGAGTAAAATAATAACAGCGTATATGAAAAAGAGTGTCTAACAATTTAAAATAGTAATTTCTTCTATTGTTCATTTAAAGAGAGAAATTAGTGAAATTTACGTTGTTTACAGGCATCAATTTTTTTTTATGTGATTTTTTACGAGTCAAATTTTAATTTCATAATTTCGAGTTCTATTTAAAAAAAAACTTAATAGGTAACTAATAACTTTTTTTTAAAAAAATAAATCACATAAATTTCAATGATTTGAAAATTCATCAGTTAATTTTTTAAAAAAAAGTACGTTAAATTTTTTATTTATATTTATTATTTACAAATATGTAAAAAAATAGAATTTTAAACTTTAAAAAAGATTTCAGTAATTTTTAATTGTTATACACTCTTAAAAAATGATAAAATATTAAATAAAAGTTTAGGATTAAACACCATAATTAAGAAAAAGTTTCTCGAAAATTGTCATTTTAAAAACTTTAAAATTTGTCCTAATTTCTCAGATAAAAAAAAACAATTACTATTTTATGATTAAAAAAAAACCGTGACGATCATTTTTTATGTACCGAAACGAGAAAGTAAACAGATGACTATAGAGAAGCTTTGAAATAATTGAAATTTAAATAATAATTGAAATTATAAATATAATAATAATTAAATAATAATTTATTAATATAATAATTATATTAATTAATAATCTGTTAATCTCATAATTACATTAAATAATAATCTATTAATATAATAATAATTTAATTTAAATTTAATTTCATAAATCCATAAAATAAATTATTTTCAGAGATTCTCCTTTAGAATAAATAAATAAATCCAATTAATTTATATCTGAATTAGATAAATAATTATTTGATTTGTCAATTGTAGTTTTTACTTTAGTATTGTTTTTTCTTGTTTTCACTTTATTTGCGATCTCGAATTTAATTCACTGAATTGTTAACATTATCTAGATTTTCGAAATAATTGAGACAAATTTGTATCCAGTTTCATTAAACTCTATATAATCAAACTCACCCCTTTTGAAAACACAGAATTCAACTATATTTTATGTTGATTCAAACATCTGATAGAAATTTATTGCTTTGTTAGCTATGCTCGTTAAAATTTCATCACGTACATAGTGCCAAGTTTTACTCGTTTCATTCATCTAATTGTAAGAAACAGTTTTGGCCATTGATATGCATTATCCTCAAATAGATTCTAAGAGATGCATTACTTTTTTTTTCACGCGCGGATAAAATTTACAATTTATATATTTACCTCTTTGAATAATATTCCATTTAATTATTTTTGTTTCTCTCATTTTTATGAGAATTATTAAAAAGAAAAAAAAAAAAAAATTTGATGAAATTTTTTTACATCTCTACCTATACCTCTACCTGCGGTGGAATGAGATGCTGATTGACTCTCAGTTGTCGATGGTGTTGCACTGGTGCTAGCTCTGCTTGTCCATGGTTTTTTCTGTGAAAGATAACCTTTTTTAAATAGAACATCCTGTCGTGGCGTTGTGATTCGCGTATATTCTTCTTCATTGAAAATGATCTTTGGCAGTGACGGCGAACCAGTGGAATCATCTCTTCTCGATTTTGAACTGGCGCTTGTATATCCGCTCGTTGTGGTGGTCCCGCTTCCCGTTTTTCTTGGTCTATAACTCGTTTGTCCATTTCTATCAAAGGGCCGTGAATTTGTACCATTTTCTTGTCCCTTTAAATATCCATTTTTTAATCCATCTTCCTCGTCTTCCTCACCCGGTGGAGCTGTAAACAATTCAATTAATTATTAATTTGCTCTCATTTCAAAAATTTTTCATTTTATTTATTTTAATATTTTTGAAAAATTTTCTTATTTTAAAAAATTTAATATTTTTAAAGAACAAATAAATTGAGAAAAAAAAATAATAGAAAAAAAATTGATTTCAAATAATTGATTATTATCGAATAAATATTTTCTTGAACGAAATAATTTTTATTTGAATAAATTATAAATTTTGTTTCAAATATAAAAATTATTTATTTAAATATAGTTTATGTATACAGTCTAAATTTCTAAACGTTCAAATTAACGAAATTTTTTTTTGTTTATTTTATTAAAAATTACTACAGCAATGAAATATAAAAAAATACATTAAAATTTTTTTTATTTATTTTAGGAACACAATATTTTTATAATAAAATTTGAAATTAAAAAAGGAAACAAATTTTTCATGTTTTTAATTGAACGTTTAGAATTTAAGGCAAATTTTTATTTATAAAAATTATTTTGATACAAATAAATATTTATTTGATATATTTGAATTATAGAATAATTATATTATTTGAATCAATTAAATTTTTTTCAGTACAATAAAATGTATTATTATTATAAATTACTACAATCAAATCTGTCTCGCTTATCCAGGTTCAATTGCATATATACTATTTAAAAATTACATAAGATTCATATTTGACAAATAGAAATAAATCATGTATCTAAAAATAAAATAATTAGTGTTTGTCAACCAGGAATCGATTACAAATGAAAATTTCAAAACTGTTTTTTTTTCTTTTTTAAGAGAAGTCCTCTTTTCCTCGGCACGGTTCGTTAAATATTTTAAGTACACTATGGCCTCTTGTCAATTACAAGTTAAAGAAACAAAAGGTAGAAAAAAAAAAAATAAAAATCTCATTCACAAGAATAATTAAATAACGGTGTAACATAGTTGAAAGCAAGTCAAAACTATTTCTAAGAGTTTGTAACGAGTCTTTCTTCGCACGGCATACTAATTGTCACGTGGTCACTGCATCGACACGTCCGCTAATTAGGCTATAATTACAGTAACCGATACAGCTTCGTTCTCTCGTTAAAAAGTTCTTCTCTTTTTTTTCTTTTTGTTATTGCAAATATACAATTGATAAATACAAATAATAAAAATATGTATTAATTTTACAATTCGTTTTAATATACTATTATGTAATAGTTTGATTAATTAATACCAGTAGTAAATGACTCATTGAGAAATTATAAAAAATAAATTTTTTTTGATTTTTGAAATTTTTATATTATTATTTTTTTTTATTAACGAGGTTCTTTATTTATTTTTTTTTTTTTTATAAAAAATGTAAATCTTTTTTAATAATATACAAAATTGCAAAAACGGATGTAAAACTTGTCATTACACGTTTGTGCCCTAATAAGAAAATTTTAACCACATACTGTATTATATAATTTTACTATTACATTGTAGTATCTAATTGTTTAGAAGAAACATTGTCTTCATACCAAATGATTTGCAAGTATAAAAATAATAATTCAAAGTGTCAGGGTCTTAAGATGAAATCAAATTTAAAAGAGATAAAATAACAATTTTATTTTCATTTATAAATTTTTCGTTACTTCTTAATTTTTTTTTTATATAAAAAATAAATTTTTTAGTTTTTTTTTTATTTTTATATATAATTTGCAAAAATAATTCCTCATCAATTAATTAAAATTAAATATGTTTCAATTTTTTAACAATTTTGTAAAAAAAAAAAATTGGATTCTATTGGATTTTTTCGATAAAATATTTACAATAAAAAAAAATTTTTTCTTAAGTAAAACTTTCTAATATTTATATTTTTCCAAAAATTTTACCAAGTAAAATGAAAATGGTTTTTCATTTAAATTTTCTTTACTTAAATAAAATTAATAATTTTTGTACAAACATTTGTACTTACTGATAAATTTTTCTGCCATTATTTATATAAATTAAACATTTTTATTAATTATAAAAAATTTGTATTAAATGTTACATTTACGTTACATTTACATTTACGAAACAATTAATTATTGTCCATAAAATCCAATTATTTGATAATTAAATAAATAAATTTCAAACAAAATTTATCAAATATTTGTACTTTCTAAAATAATTATTTAATTTAAATAAATGTTGAGAAAATTTTTTGATATAGAAAAAGATGAATCAAATCTTTGATATAGTTGAATAAAACGATTGGTTAGTTGTACAATTTATTTGGTTAATTTAACAAAAATGATTCAATTAATTTTTTGTTTGAAAGTAAAAATACTTGATTAATAAAAAAATACAAATATTTTTTTTCAAACATCTAATATTAAAAAAAAAATAAATTCGATAAAATTAACACTAAAAGAAAGTTAATTTAAATATTTCCTATAATTAGTAAATTTCGTACCGTCTTGGTACCTCGCAAAAAGTAGAACATGATTGGAAGAACCAATCACGTGGGTGACTCTTTTTTGTCGGCGCCACTGCATTTTCCTTTTCCCTTGACCTTCACCAGTGATAAATAATTGCAATAAGTCTTAGATTCTCTTTTTTTTTTTTTTTTTTTTTTTTTTTGGTTTTTTAATCAAATTCCATCAAATACATCCGAGTAAATTTTTTTATACACCATCTCAAGAGAAGTGAATTTCAAAAACAAAATTCAAAACAATTGTCAGATGTCGCTAGTTGTAAATTTCTCTCGCACATACAAGAATTGTACATATATGTATAGGTTAAGAATTTTTTAAAATGGACGTTAGTTTTTTTTTCAGGAAAATTAAAATGAAAACTAATTTTGAAAAAAGGGTTCGTTTGAAAAAAAAAGTATAGGGAGTTCAAAAACACACGGCTGATATGTATCGCACGCGAAATTCAACTGCAAGTTGTGAGTGAGGGGAAGCGGAGCTTCTGAATTGGTGAACACTGTGACGGGTCTCTTTTTCTCTCTCTCTCTCTTTCTTGTCGTCTCTTGATGATGCTGCCGCTGCTTGGACTAGAATAGTGCTAGAATTAGAATAGCACCGCTAGTCTGCAAAATCGTGACAGAGTACGAATGGAGCGAATGGTGAACGAGACTGGTGTCTCAAGTGTGCCCAGGGTTACACGCAGGATGAAACAATCTTAAAATGTTCCACACACAGAATTTCAAGAGATACTGCGCGCAAAGTCTAAAGAGAAGAAAATAAGTCAGTCAAATACTTGGGCAAATAGAATGTCTGGATCCAAAACTGGGCTCTGAGCTGACACTCCAGAAATGATCCACAGCTGGTCAAAGAATTTTAAATGTTATTTTTGGTTTTGCTGCTTTTTTTTTAAGCAAAGAAATTTTTTGTTTCTCAACTTTTAGTTAAACAAATTTTCATTTAAAGGAATTTTTATTTAATTGAAATTTTATTTACTCAAATTTTTCACTTAATACCATTTTTATTTAACGGAAATTTTATTTAATTTTCATTTAAACGAAATTTTATTTAATAGAATTTTTATTAAATCAAAAATGTGAAACGAAAATCAAAATTTGGCTAAATGGAAATTCCGTAAAATTAGAATTCTGAATGAAAATTTGATTAAATTAAAATTCGATATATAGAAATTGAAACTAATGAATTTTTATGTTTATTATTATTATTATTTTCAATAATTATTTCTCTTTATAAAGTATTTTATTAATTAATTTATTTATTAATGTTGTTTATTAAAACTGTAAAATCTATTTAACTTAAATAGAGCTTTAAAAAATTATTTTTCTGTGTTGCAAAAAAAAGAGGATGAAAATTGGAATTGTTTCGATTTTTGTTTCTTGGAAAAGCTCATTTTTTTATTACTCACAAAGCCTGCGGTTTCTTGTAACTGTAAATTCATTTCTTTCCGTGTATACTTTAACAGTAAACAAAAAATTTTATTTTGACTTTTTCATTTTCGTTACAAAAAATATTATATTTATTTGTCAAATAATTTAGTGATAATATTAGTTTCATTTTTTTTCTGTAAAAAAAATTATAGTTTATTTTTTATTTAATTCAATAATATTTGTAATAATTACCTACATACATATAAGTTAATTAACAATTATTTAAAATATTTTAATATATAAAATAAATAAAATATTTTCATTTTCTAAAAATTGAATTTTTAAAAAACTCTTCGTTTCCACCTCTATTAATTTTAAATAATGTTGACTATTTTTTTTTTGTTAAGACAAACACAATAAATTTTAATTAAAAAAAATAAAATGACAAAAATTTTAAAGCAACACAGATAAAATTGTCTTCTTTACAAAAGTGTAACATTTGCAAATTATGTTCTTTTATTGATCCCTTACTATTACAAATCAATAAATTAAAAATAGAACACGTTTCTACATCCCGGAAGTAAAAGTAATAATTCATAAATGATCCTCATAAATAAATTAATTAATGTCTATACATATACACGGAAATATTATACACATTTTCTAAAGATTAAAATGTATAACTCAGAGCACAGGAATTGGATCCTTATAGTATATAATATAGAAAAAAATTTGAATTTGTTGAATGATTTTCGTTTTGTTTATATTTGTTATAAATAAAATTCTTAATTTTATTTTTAATTTATTATTCAATTTATTTATTAATTTGTTTAATTTAATAATGACAAAACGTTTAAAGTTAACGCTATATTAATTTTCAGACCTATTATTTGTGCCCGAAGCCTTGACGCAGGGGGTCAAAGGTCACTAACCCTCAACAGGGAATATCCAATGACATTATTGCATAATACAGATAAAAAAGCATTTCTCAATTCATTCATATATTTTGCAAATCACATTTACCTTTTTTTTCCAAATACATTAGCAAATTCAAATTTTTTTTGAAAAATTTTTTATAAAAGAACTTACATTTTTTTGTTTCTTCTATAATATATAATTGCAGTATTCAAAATTTAAAAATTAATTTTTCCAAAAAAAAATTGTACAACAAAATCAAATTTACAGAAATTCATGAATTTTTAGCCCATTTTTTAATTTAGAAATTAAAAATAAATTTTAATTCTTATATCATTCTGTATATAATTTCGCAAGGAAATGGAAAATTTTTCGCCATTTCTCTCTTCTTCATCTGTGACTGTGAAGGAAATTTTAATAATTGAGCAATCGACAATAAATTAAGGCCAGAATATATATATATAAAGGGCTAAAAAGGTTTCCTGATCGATTAAATTTAATAACAGGCTTCACACTTTCTCTCGTCTTATTTAGTTTTCTTCCATTCCACTTGTAAGAAATTCAATATTCTTAGAATAGTTATATATATATACATTTCTCAATTGACTATATTTCATTTTTAAATGGAATTTTTTTTTTTTTATCACAAATTTGTGTTTCTTTTGCAAAAAAAAGAAAAACCATCTCGATTTTTGCCAGTCGTGCAATTAACGCGAGAATAGATCTCAAAAATTTGCAAGTGTTCTTCTTCCATGACACTTGAATGCTAAACAATGCTAATTGTCCACGACCACATGAAAAGAGATCCTCTTCTCCTTTTCTCAGCTTCCGTAATATATCTCGTTTCGACCGCAACAACGATCATCGTGTCAAGCTCTGAGCAAAACCGGTGTAAACCGGCTTCAACATCAAATGACGTGTGTAATTTGCCGGTTTAATAATATTGTTCCATCATTAGTCCGCGAATATGCTTCGTTTTCCGTTTTGACATTTGTATATAACATTCAGTCATTCGTAAATAATCGAACTATCAGTTGCAAATTTGTCCACAATCTTTAAAATTCTTTTTTTTTTAACTTTTTCAAAAAGTGTATAGAAATATTTTTAAAAACTATTTAAATTTTTACACGTGTATTTAGAAAGAAAAAAGTGGTTCCAGGATACACCAGGATGAGGAACTAAGGAATTAAAATCATTTTTGAAAATAGAAATAAAGTAGGATCATTTTTCAGATTCTTTAAATATCTTCCAGCAATGCAAATTTTGAGCCTGAAAGTAAAAATAATAATTGTAAATTTGAAAAAAGAAAAAATTGAAGAATTATAAAATAGAGAAAAATAGAGAAAGAGAGAAAGAGAGAAAAGGTAGAGGAACTTGGTTGGTGGAATGCACCGGACTAACCCGAAGTGCAAGTCTTCGATTTTTAGAACCGGTGGATGGAGACTGTGACGTTGTATAGGATTGGGGAGGCAAAATGTGTCTGTCGACCTACCCCAACATCCGTGTTCATATTCACCCCCTCAAAGTAAATGTGTATGTGTATAAATATATATATATATATATATATTCAGTGGCATGCGCGAATACAGAGGGGTTACCAGACTTGCCAACTATCGAACAAAACTAGACGCGACTGCGCGTCCGATTATTGGCTACACGGGGAAAAAAAAGGGGGAGTAAAAATCTTTTTGGGTTTCTGTCTTATTACACAATGCAAAAAGCTTTCATCAGTATAGATTGGCAAATATAAAGAGTCAATAAACTTACGATGGAATTTCAAAATTCTCACAATGATTGGATGTTGTCGCAGATACAATTGAATCCGTATAAAATTTTATCTTCTCTGCAATTCAATTTTCATTTGCTTTCTTTCAATGCAGGGAAAAATGAAGCTGTATTTTTAGTACAACATTTGAGATAAAACCATAAATTTTAAGAATGCCTGATTGTAGCTTTAAAAAACACAGATTTTGGCCTATTACTGAAGTAAGAACCGAAGCATTTTGAATCCGAAGGATATCTTAGAATTGAACCTGGTTTTCGAACCGAAAAGTGCCAAAAAAAGGTTTTTTCGACCATATTTGAGGTCATGTAACATCAAGAGATCATTTTTTTCAAAAAGGTCGTTACAGCATCTGAAGGTACTATTCTTACCCTTTAAAATGCGTTTTAAGGGTTAAGAATAGTACTCTCAGATATGCTGTAAATTATTTCTTGATGTTACACACGACCTCAAATATGGTCAGAACACTGCTTTTGTCCACTTTTGGGTTCGAAAACCTGGGTCAATTCTGAGATCATTCGGATTCAAAATGCTTCGGAAAGTTTGGTTCTGAAGGATAGGCCAAAATTTTCTCGGCCTATAATGAAACAAAACAATTGTCATGAATGATGAAATAGTTTCAATGATCGAATTGTAGTTTAATTTGACGAGACTTGAAATAATGATTGTTAATGATAATTCGAATTGTTTGAAATAGTCCGTTTTGTATGTTTAGGAGGAAAGTATTTTAATTTGAGACTTAGTGACAGCTCATCGTACTACTTTAGAAAGACGAATAGCTTATCGTTTCCAAAGAATATATATATATATATATTTAAAAAAAACGAGAAAAATTGCAATAGAACTTTGCCAAAAACGCCTACGCTTGAACTAGACCGACACAAATGACAAGTCGCATTCATGTATAAGAAGAGTTTAAGAGACAACTGTCTCGGGGTTAACGACCATGAAGTAACTTAGGGGTACTATTGTATATTTCTGTCCTGGTGTGGTGTAAGATGGGAGATAATTGCCACCCATTTAGTATAACATCTATATATTTTACTTCCTAGTTTCTATTTTTTCACTCAATAATTGCAAAGAATCGATTTATTGACATTCTTTGCTTCGAAAATAAATTTCATTCAGGATTCAAGTTATTGTATAGATGTACAAATCAATTTTAAAATTTATCTAATCTTTTTCACTGTAATCTATTTTCAGTCCGTACTAATTTCGTATTTAATCGGACTAATTCCATATAGATGAGAAAAGTGTACAACATAATTCATTTTTGGAGATATTTGCTTTTTGTTTGTTTCACAAAACATTTCTTGGATCTATTTCTGATAGAATCAGTTAATACTATACAAAAATTACTTATTTGTAGAACAATTTTAAACCATAATCGGATATGTAAGATGATCATTCAAGAAAAATATAAACGAGACTGTTTCCTTGTATGCTAAAGTACTTCTTATATTGACAGAGATAATGATATATCAAGAATAGAACTTATCAAATATAGTGCACGAGAAATATAACAGAGATAGGATTTATAGAGAGTAATGGAAGAAAAATTAATTTTGGAAAAATATATATGGAATTTATAAACTTGTTAAAACTCGAATGTGTGTAAAAGTTGTTGGAAATATATACAGTGATGGTAGGCGGAAATTTAAGAGTGACGAAATGAAGAATAGTCTTTATGGGCGTCATCGTTGTTGGACGAAACTAGACGCGATGGCCGAGGCAAGAGAGTGATTTGGAACGTTGGACCATTATAGAACAGCATAGGTACATTGTTGAAAACATTCGACTGAGGTTCTCCGGTTTATCTACGTGTACATCTTGTGTCGTTTGACATATTCGAAATGCAAATTATCGTCCATAAATTTATTTTCAAAAGTTGCACACAAATCAATTTTCTGCACTCTATTTTCGATATCATTTTCTTTGCACCTTCAAGATTATTTGAATATATTGCATTTTTTTTTATTCGTATATTTATTTTGGAAAGATATCGAAGATATAATATTATTTTTATTGAAGGCAAATTTTATCCTCAATAATTCTATAACTTCAATCTTTTAGATGTGCCTGAAAATCCGAATCTTCAAATGGCCAAAAAAATGTTTCCCTAGAGAAATAATAACTAATTTTTTGCCTACAAATTTTTCTCCAAAAAAAAAAATTGTTTAAGAAACGTTGCAACAAATTTTTTAGATAGAAAATAATAATAGTACTCTCTAAATCAGAATCAGTCATATTTTACTGATTAGCAGTAGAAATCTACTAATTGCCGTAGCGAGAATTGAGCAACTGCCAATTAGTAGAAATTTACTGATTTAATTAGTAAAATATCAATTACTGATTGAATCAGTAATATAAATATATGGCGGCTGCCACAAAATCTACTGATTTAATGTAGTTAATTTTAAAGGTTATGTTATATACAAATTACTGATTTACATAAGTTATTTTTTATTGCTTGCATATTCACTAATTATATTAGTAAATTTCAAAAAATAACTGAAACTTCAGTTAAAATAAAAAGTACTGATTGAATTAGTAAAATTTCTACTGATTCAGATTTAGAGAGATAGTCGTAAATAAAAATATTTTTCATCAATATTTTTTGCCAAAAAAAAAAAATTGTAAAATTAAATTAATATAGTATTAAAAAATAGTTTTTTTTCGTATCTATTCATAGATACACGTATACAGTTCATTATTGGGGTCGTTTCTATATATGTATTGAATGTTCGGCAATAGAGTAGTCTATTTTCAATTCACAATATTTACAATGCACTATTCTTGTTTATTGCTAAGGGATGTCAATCACCTTCTATATTTTATTAATTCCAATATGTAATATATCTTCCTTTCTTAATTTATCTTTCTTTAATTACATTTTTGGTATTATTTTATTTTTCTTTTATTATTATTATTATTATTATTATTATTATTATTATTATTATTATTATTATTATTATTATTTAAATACTGAGAATATTCAAAGGAAGGTCTTGAATAATGACAGTAAAAAAAAAGTTTGTTTTGAAAAAATATTTTTTAAACTCGCGAACAATCTTTAGTTTTTTTCTTTTGTATTTTATATTTCTTTTTCCTGTAAAAATAATTATATATTTTTTTTTTTCAAGACACTTGTGTAAATTATGCAGCAATTCCTTTATTTTATGATCAAAATGCGGGGAAAAAAACTTAGAAATTAGTTTTTCTAATGCTACAATATTCTAGAAAATAATGTAAAATGTTGCGCAATTTATTTTCAATGAAAAATGAAATACATTATATCTATATTTATTTCCTCTCATTGGAAATTAAAAAATTGCCAATAGGTAGTTAATTTTTGTTTGTATAGTTAAAGTATTTTATTTTTACTATGACTAAATTATTATTATTAATAGTCTGGTCACAGATAAATTTTCCAAACTTATTTTTAGATTAAATTATTATTATTATAAATAAATACGAAGCATTATATTATAGTTAAGAAATTTATAAGATTTGTCAAATAAAGATATTCAAATGATGAAAAATATTTTTATTTATAGAAAATTTCATGGTATTCGATAAAAAAAAAAAATTTTTACTATAGTACATTATTTAAATTTTAATACAGAAGCGAATAAAGACATTTTGTATTCTTTTTAACTATACGAATACAATGTTTCTTGTGAGAAATTATATATATTATGACTTAATAATATTCTCATTCTTCTCAAATATAAATTCTTGACAAATAGAATCGTAAATTCAAAATTAGACACACTGACATACTCTTTAAAGCCACGCAAAATAAAACGAATAAACATGCCAGAATTTTGATGAAATATAATATAGACAGAAATATGTATATAAATAATAGAAATTATTGAATTAGCTTTCTTAAAGATTATACAGAATTTCTCACGTCGTTTAATATTATTAATTTTTTTTTTCATTGTAATAATAATAATTTAGTTATTATAAAAAAAATCTACTTTTTTGCTTCATAAAGACTATATAAATATTTGACGAAAACGCAGGTGAGCCGCTTTGCAAAAGGAAGGCAATATATTTTATGGTCGAATATCGATCGGATGAGTATTATGATATATGACTACTCCAAAGGAGTCTACACAAAGTTTCAAAAACTTTATCAAACAAACATTGTCCTAAGTTAATTATATCTGAACTTTAAACAATTTTCTATTTTTATTTTATATTATTAAGTGTTTTGAACTCTTCTTGTTTTTTTCTTTAGATAGAGAGATAATCGAATAATTTATATACAGAAATTCTCTTAAATATTCTCTTAATGCTATTTCAAATTTTGGCAAAAATTCTGTTTGATCTTTATCAAATTCGAACTAATTAGAGATATAATATAGTTTTGAAAACTGAAAAATATATTGTTTTAATTAAATTGAAAATGAAAACGTAATTTTTCTCTCGTGACACTTGGGAATATATATATATATATATGAAAATTGTAGAGCGTGTGACTATCCTCGTGGTTTTTCACGTGCTATTCATATAACTCCACCTAACTCATATATGATCAGTCGCAGTCTCCAAGCGTCAAATTGAAGATGTATCATTTATACATAATATATATGTATATGTGTTTAACTTGCGCATATATAAGTTTTCCTATTCAGCAAAGTATATAGCGTAAAATTACGACAGTGCATGTATACAAAACGCAATAAAGCGATTCATATATAATGTTAATGTTATATCAAGCAAAATTGTTACGTAACGACCTTGCATATAAGAAGCGAGGTCTTCGACTTGCACTTTTCTGGAAAAACAAACTTTTTTATCCATAATTATAGTTATATATATATATATATATATATATATATACATTATTTCAAAGTACCATTCTTATCAGTCAATTTTGAAAATATTTTTTAAAACCGGATTCTTATATTCCCTTGAACCAAATCAATTTTATTTGAGTCAATTAAGTGGTATTTGTTATTCAAATGCAGAAATTATTGGTTCAAATACAATTTATTAAATCAAAATAAAAATTATTTGGTGCAAGTAAATATT